CAAGAGGAGCAGAAAAGCTGAGCTTGATTTTTTTTTTTTTTTAGGAATTTAATGCTCCTAGAGTAGCGATTCTTAACCAGGCTTGTTTCTAGTGTGCCATGAGACTGTCTTATTCTATTTTTTTCCTCAGTATTATTTATATCCCGCCTGATTATTCTTACAAATTAACTCAAGATCCTCTCCGACACGTCCTCCATCTCTTTATTTTATGTTCCTACATTGTGTATATTCCGGGTAATCTGTACGTTCGATAGTGGAGACCTTTCCACAAAGGTTCATAATTTCCCCTCAAACCATGATGATGATGGTGATGTTATCCATTGACGACTGTTGGCCAGGTCTCGCCACATCTTTCAATGTTGCACTATTGCACACTAAAACAACTGGGCACAAGAGCAATTCCCCCCCCCCCATGCCATCACTCTGCTAAACAACTAATTCCCACAACTCTGTCAAACTACCGAATAGGGCTGAATTACTTTTATACTTCTCATCCTTCCTATTCCCTATCCCTTATTTTCTTAGGACTATAACTTTGTTGCTTGTATGGAATACTGCATCCAGTTTTGGTCACCATGATGTAAAAAAGATGTCGAGACTCTGGAAAGAGTGCAGAGAAGAGCAGCAAAGATGATCAGGAGACTGGAGACTAAAACATATAAGGAATGGTTGCAGGAATTGGGTATGTCTAATTTAATGAAGAGAAGGGCGAGGGGTGACATGATAGCAGTGTTCCAGTATCTCAGGGGTTGCAACAAAAAAGAGGGAGTCAAGCTGTTCTCCAAAGCACCTGAAGGTAGGACAAGAAGCAACGGATGGAAACTTATTAAGGAGAAGTTAGAACAGTGGTTCTCAACCTTTTTAATGCCACGACACCAACCGGTCGTTAAGTCGAGGACTTTCCCTGCCTGGGAGCGCTGCACATGCGTGGTGCCGCCCCCTGCGCCAACCGAGGCGTAGCTGGCAAGCGGCAGAGATGGCGCAGGCCAACCAACGGCTGGGCTACCAGCTGGCCCAGCCCAAGGGAGGTAAGGCACCCGCCGGGCCGACACGCGCCAGCAACCCTCCCTGCGCCCGCCGGCCTCCCACCTCCCACCCCTGGCCCTCTTTTACTTACATTTTTAGTAGTTGCTCAGCAGGAAGGGATGGAAACTTCCAGACAGCTTGCCTTCGCTGCAGACAACTTACAGCACCATTTGCAGAATGGGACTTTTGGTGGGCTCAGCAGGGCAGAGACAGCCTGGACAATTCCTATTGGCTTTTGAAAGCCAATAGAATTAGACTCTATTCAAGAGAGTATATTCTATTGGCTTTCAAAAGCCAATAGAATAAAAGGGAGTAGCACAGCTAAGGAAAAGGGGAAAAAATGGCGGACTGCGTTGTTTGGCGACCCCCGTGAAATGGTCGTTCGATCCCAAATGGGGTCCCGACCCACTGAGTTAGAACGAAGGAGAAATTTTCTGACAGTTAGAACAATTAACCAGTGGAACAACCTGCCTCCAGAAGCGTTGAATCCTCCAACACTGGAAGTTTTTAAGAAGAGACTGGACAGCCATTTGTCTGAAATGGTATAGGGTTTCCTGCCTGAGCAGGGGGTTGGATTAGATCAGTGGTTCTCAACCTGTGGGTCGGGACCCCATTTGGGGTCGAATGACCATTTCACGGGGGTCGCCAAACAAGGCTGTCCGCCATTTTTTTCTCCTTTTCTTTGGCCACGCCCCTGGCACCCGGTGATGTATAAGTGGTTGGGGGTCACCACAACATGGGGAACTGTATTATGGGGTCGTGGCATTAGAATGGTTGAGAACCACTGGATTAGATGATCTCCAAGGTCCCTTCCAACTTTATTATTATATTACCATTTATATTGTTTTTTTAGTATCCTAGTATGATTTATGGTGATTGCTCATTTAATATCCTATGACCATCACTGAATGTTGTATCTTACAAGTCGTGATGTTTTTTATTATTATGATCTTGATTTATCATTTGTTGTTCGTATGTACACTGAGAGCTTATGCACCAGAGACAAATTGCTTGTGTGTCCAATCACACTTAGCCAAGAAAGAATTCTGTTGTGTTCTGTTTTGTTCTATTTCTTTACGTTTTTCTATGCGCTGGCTGGTGTCAACTTTAATACCATCCAGCCTCCCTGTTCTTTGACGGCCTGGTTTCCTTTTACTGCTAACTCTTCCACACATAATTGTTTCCCTCAATGAATTTCCTGACATGGCCGAAGTAAGTGAGCATTGAAAAATACTGCATACCAGGTAGTCCTCGACTTAGAGCAGTTTGTTTAGCGACCAAAATTACAACACTGGGGAAAAAAAGTGACTTTTGGACATTTTTCACCCTTAAATCCATTGCAGCATCCCCACGGTCATATGATCAAAATCCAGGCATTTGGCAACTGACTCATATTTAGGACGGTTGACGTGCACCAGGTCACGTGGTCACCTTCTAACAGGCGAAATCAATGGGGAAGCCAGAGTCCCTTAACAACCGTGTTACCTACTTAACAACTGCAGTGATTCACTTAACAACGGTGGCAAGAAAGGTCGTAAAATACGGCAGGACTCACTGAACAAAGGTCTCGCTTAGCGACAGATATTTTGGGCTCAACCGCAGTCGTACGTCGAGGTCTATCGTTCTCTGGTGAGCCAGACAACTACTGATATATTGAATACTGTAGCCCAGCGCTTCCCAACCTTTCCGGCTTGGCGGCCCAGTGCATGGGGGGGGGGTGGCGGGGGGGATGGTTCCGAAAAGATACAGGGCTACAGCCCGGGGATTGGGGACGCCTGCTGTACCGGATTCAAAAAGATTGAGATCTCTCATCCTGGAGCAAAGGACGAGAGCAATTCGAATGGTGAGAAAAGGCTGGGAGGAAAGGGAGTTGAGACTATGAAGAATCCTCGGAAAGGGATGTTCCTGGATTGGTTTTGGGTCATCAGCTGCACACATCCCTGGGTTTCTTTTAAGCCTGTGATCAACAACACAGTCACAATGATAATGATAATGATGATAATAATAATAATAATAATAATGATGTTGGAGGGGACCTTGGAGGTCATCTAGTCCAACCCCCTGCTCAGGCAGGAAACCCTATACCAGACACGTCAAACTCGCAATGTCACGTGACGTTGCATGACGTCTCGGACCTTTTCCCCCATTGCTGGTAATGGGGTAGGCGCGGTTTCCTCGTGACGTGTCCAGCTTGCAGTTTGACACTCCTGCCCTGTACCATTTCAGACAAATGGCTGTCCAGTCTCTTCTTAAAAACTTCCAGTGTTGGAGCATTCACCGCTTCTGGAGGCAGGTTGTTCCACTGGTTAATTGTTCTGTCAGAAAGTTTCTCCTTAGTTCTAGGTTGCTTCTCTCCTGGATTAGTTTCCATCCTTTGCTCCTTGTCCTGCCTTCAGATGCTTTGGAGAACAGCTTGACTCCCTCTTCTTAGGGGCAGCCCCTGAGATACTGGAACACTGCTATCATGTCCCCCCTCGTCCTACTCTTCATTAAACTAGACCAGGGGTAGGCAACCTTGGCTCTTTTGTGACTCGTGGACTTCAACTCCCAGAATTCCTGAGCCAGCCTGGCAAAGCTTGGAAACCTTTCCCTTCAGCGTGGCTGGCTTAGGAATTCTGGGAGTTGAAGTCCACGAGTCATAAAAGAGCCAAGGTTGCCTACCCCTGGCCTAGGCCCCTTCATGACTCGTGGACTTCAACTCCCAGAATTCTTGAGCCAGCATGACTCAGCATGGAAACCTCTTTTTCCCTCAGCATGGCTAGCTCAGGAATTCTGGGAGTTGAAGTCCACGAGTCATAAAAGAGCCAAGGTTGCCTACTCCTGAACTAGACACACCCAATTGCACAGGGCACAGTGCAAACAATCTCAAGGATGTTCTTTGGGCCAACTGTTAAGTTGTTCAAGGTGTGAGCATCCCACAGGCAGATGTTTCTCAGCCTTGTCAACTTTAAAACGTTTGGCTAGGGAAGAATTCTGGGAGTTGAAGTCCATATATGTTAAAAAACATTGCCAAAGCTGAGAAACACTGTTTTGTATGCTGTGCTCTGGGTCACGTGCCTAGCAGGGAGGAGGGGCTTAGAATGGAGGCCCAGAATCCTCCATTCTAAGCTCCTCCTCCCTTCTAGTCATGTGACCCAGAACATATGAGAAAATGGGGGGGGGGGCTGTTTTTCTCTGCACTCCCCAACCTTACCTAGTTCATTAACAAACCTAATCTTTCATCAGTTTCTGCCCTCAATTTGGCGCCCGGCTGTCCTTTTAGCAGAACAGGATGGTGCTCACATACAATTCTCTTCACATTATGTGTCTTTCCCACCTTCCATTTGGGTACGAAAGATGAACAACGACGGACAGCCGCAACTGTCGAAGTACAAAGCGAAGCAAAGGCAGCAGGGAAGAGCGAGGATATTTGGTAAAATCAGTGCATTTTTACTGGCCACGTCACTCTGTAAAACAGCGTTTTATCTCAAACTTGGCGACTTTTTCTAAGACACGTGGACTTCAACTCCCAGAATTCCCCAGCCAGTCATGCTGGCTAGGGCAGGGGTAGGCCACCTTGGCTCTTTTCTGACTCGTGGACTTCAACTCCCAGAATTCCTGAGCCAGCCTGGCTCAGCTTGGAAACCTCTCCCTTTCCCCTCAGCAAGGCTGGCTCAGGAATTCTGGGAGTTGAAGTCCACGAGTCATAAAAGAGCCAAGGTGGCCTACCCCTGGGCCATATAAATAGCATTTAGCTTATATACCGCTTCACAGTGCTTCACAGCCCTCTCTAAGGATTAAGGAGAATTAAGAATTAAGGAGAAACTTTCTAACGGAGGACAATTCACCAGTGGAACAGCTTGCCACCAGAAGTTGTGGGTGCTGCATCACTGGAAGTTTTTAAGAAAAGACTGGACAGCCATTTGTCTGAAATGGTATAGGCCAGGGGTAGGCCACCTTGGCTCTTTTATGACTCGTGGACTTCAACTCCCAGAATTCCTCAGCCAGCCATGCTGAGGGGAGAGGGAGAGGTTTCCAAGCTGAGCCATGCTGGCTCAGGAATTCTGGGAGTTGAAGTCCACGAGTCATAAAAGAGTCAAGGTGGCCTACCCGTGGGCTAGGGAATCCTGGGAAGTGAAGTCCACATATCTTAAAAAGTTGCTAAGGTTGAAAAACATGGCCTTACAACAATAATCGTGAGAAACACTGCTGTAAATGTCAAGACATCAGTAGCCATTTTGAAGACGGGGGTCCCTGTTAATCTGATCGGTGTCCTCAAGCTGTTTCACACATCTGTATATTTTATAGTTGAGGCTCTGTCCTTGGCGGATCCTTCCGTAAAGATCCAAATCTGTCCCCCAAATGTCCTTTACCAACTGAACGTTACCATTCTCCCTCCCCCCCCCCCATGCTTGGGTGGACTGAGGCTCAGCACAGTCCTCCAGCGGTATTCCTTTCCCTTTCCCTATTTTTGTTTCTCACAGTCGTGGGACCTCTGATGTCTGGTAAGATTAGATCTTTGGCAGAAGCCTTGTCCGCAGTCCACGCATCGATACGGCTTCTCTCCCGTGTGGATTCTCCGATGGACAATCAGGTGCGCCCTTTGGCTGAAGCCTTGCCCGCACTCCACACACTTATGCGGTTTCTCCCCGGTGTGGATTCTCTGGTGCACCACAAGGTGTGTCCTTTGCGTAAAACTCTGGCCGCACTCCGAGCAGGCGTAGGGTTTCTCTCCCGTGTGGATCCTCTGATGCCGGATGAGATTGGATCTCTGGCTGAAACTCTGCCCGCACTCGGTGCAGAGGTGAGGTTTCTCTCCCGTGTGGATTCTTTGATGGATCACCAGGTGCGCTTCCCACGTGAAGGTCTGGCCGCACTCGCTGCACTGATAGGGCTTCTCTTTTGTGTGGATCCTCTGGTGAGCCACAAAGTTCTTCCTCCGATTGAACGTCTTCCCGCAATCCAAGCACTGGCGAGGTTCTTCGCCGGCGTGGATTTTTTGATGCCGGATGAAATTCGACTGCCAGTTGAACAACTTCCCACACTTCAGGCACTGATACGGATTGTCTCTTGGCGAGATCCTCTCGTGGGTCCTGTGGCCCGGCTCAAGGCTGAGGCCCACCCCAAGATCCACACTGTGGTATGAAGCCCTCTCCTCCGCGTGGACTTTCTGATGTTTAATGAGGTGCGGGCTCTGCCGAAAACTCTTCCCACAGTCAAGACAGGTGAAAGGTTTTTCCCCGGTGTGAATCCTCTGATGGCTGATGAGGTTTGCCCTCTGGTTGAATCTCTTCCCACAGTCGGAGCATTTGTGAGGTTTTTCCCGGGTGTGGATGCTCTGGTGTCTCCGAAGGTTCCCCCTGCGGCTGAATACTTTCCCACACCGGAAACACGGATAGGGTTCCTCTCCCGTTTGGTCCTGTCTGACCAGACCGCTCGGCTGATGGGGCGCGTTATCCCCCGTGTGAATCTTCTGATGCTTGATCAAGTTGGATTTCTGGCCGAAGCTCTTCTCGCACTCGGAGCACTTGTACGGCTTCTCCCCCGTGTGGGTTCGGAGATGCCTCACCAGGTTGGACCGCTGGCTGAAACCCTGCCCGCAGTCGGCACACTTGTGCGGCTTCTCGCCGGTGTGCAACCGCTTGTGGATGATCAGGTGAGCTCTCCAGCGGAAGCTTTTCCCACAGTCCGGACAACGGTAAGGTTTCTCCCCAGTGTGGATCCTCTGATGTGCGTTCAGGTTGGTCCTCTGGTTGAACCGCTTCCCGCACTCGAGACACTTGTGCGGCTTGTCTTTTGTGTGGATGCTCTGATGCCTAAGGAGGTTGCCTCTCCGGGAGAAGATTTTCCCGCACTTGAAGCACTGACAGGGGTTTTCTCCGAGGGAACCCTTATCCCGTCTCTGACGATTTGACCTCTGAGCCAGGCTCTTCCCGTTCACGGAGCGCCGAGGCGGCTTGTCCCCCAAATGGACGCTCTGATGCTTGACGAGGTTCGATTTCTGAGTGAAGCTCTTCTCGCATTCCAGGCATTTGTAAGGCTTCTCCCCGGTGTGGACTCGGTGGTGTCGAACAAGATTGGAGACCTGGCTAAAACTCTGCCCGCAGTCTGCGCACTGGTGGGGTTTCTCGCCGGTGTGAATCCTCTGATGAATGATGAGATTGGCGCTCCGACTGAAACATTTCCCACAGTCCACGCAGGGATAAGGCTTCTCGCCGGTATGGAAGCGCTGGTGTCGCATAAAGCTGGTCTCCCACTTGAAGCTTTTCCCGCATTTTGAGCACTGGAATGTCTTTCCTCCCACATGGGTTCTCTGATGCCTGTTGAGGTTCGATTTTTGAGTGAAGCCCTTCCCGCAAACAGCGCACAGGTGTCTCCGCTTTCCTGCGTGCGCCTTGTCCTCCAAGACACGTTTGCCGGAGATCCCGCTCTCATCGAGAATGGCGTTGTTTCTTCTCTTGTCTGTGGGGAATCGCTGCTCCCACCGTGGTGCCGCTTGTTCTCCAAAGTTCTCTTCCAGGACTTGAGTCTCAGCTTTTTCCAGTAACACTTCAAACACAGCCTCTTCATCCTCACTCTCCCACTTATCTGTCAAGATCGAAAGAGAGCATTAGGAAAGCTAGAACTCATATATTACAATTATTGAAACAACACAAGGTCCATGTTCTACACTACTTGTTTTTTTTTTTCATTTATTTTTTACCCTTCTAATGCCTGACTACAATCGGTTTACGATAATCTAACCACCATTTGTTTCAGGGCAGCAAACTTTAATTTGAAAGTTATGGGCTTCCTGTTTCCTGAGACTTTGCATAATGTGAGAAACAGGGATAATAATGGAACAGAATGGAATGGCACAGAACAGAACAGAACAACCTGCCTCCAGAAGTTGTGAATGCTCCAACACTGGAAGTTTTTAAGAAGAGACTGTACGGCCATTTGTCTGGAATGGTATAGGGTTTCCTGCTTGAGCAGGGGGTTGGACTAGATGACATCCAAGGTACCTTCCAACATTATTATTATTATTATTATTAAGAAAGAACTGGAAAATAGAGTCACTGCAGAGAATAGATTTAACTTAAAAACAATGGTGTTCACTTTACAGTTGTAGCATCCCCTCAGTGACTGCCACAGAAAAGGTCATAAAGTCAGATGCGGTCACATATCTGCTTAATGCTCAACGATCTGCTTAATGACTGGCGTGGTACCTATGATCACAATTCAAGGCTCAGTGGCAGTTGTAAGTTGAGGCCTACCAGAGCCGCTCTTGACAGTGAGATGGGCAGCATATTAAAAGTAATAACTAAATAAATTAAATACACAGCAAAGAATCCCGTACCCAACCAATTGGCTTGCTCCTGCTTGATTTCCCGGCAAGGTTGTTTTTCGCCAGCGTCATCGTCCCTCGAAAAACTCATCGCTACTTCTTCAAACTCTCCCAGCACCTAAAAGATAAAAAGCAAGAACGTGGATGTGGCTGCAAGTCTGGCTACTCCAGGGGTAGGCTACCTTGGCTCTTTTATGACTCGTGGACGTCAACTCCCAGAATTCCTGAGCCAGCCATGCTGAGGGGAAAGGGAGAGGTTTCCAAGCTGAGCCATGCTGGCTCAGGAATTCTGGGAGTTGAAGTCCACAACTCATAAAAGTGCCAAGGTTGCCTATCCCTGTGCTAGGCTGATCATAAATTATTTTTGCTTTAAAAGCCCCATCTCTAAAAGAGCCAGAATTCTAGCAGGCTGAAGCCTTAGCCCAGGGATAGGCAACCTTGGCTCTTTTATGACTGGTGGACTTCAACTCCCAGAATTCCTGAGCCAGCCATGCTGAGGGAAAGGGAAAGGTTTCCAAGCTGAGCCATGCTGGCTCAGGAATTCTGGGAGTTGAAGTCCACGAGTCATAAAAGAGCCAAGTTTGAAGACCCCTGGTTTAAATATTTAATTATTTTTCCTCACAGTCACGTGATCAAAATTCAGGCATTTGGGCAGGGGTAGGCAACCTGGGCTCTTTTATGACTTGTGGACTTCAACTCCCAGAATTCCTGAACCAGCATGGGGGAACTATGGCCCCTTCATGACTTGTGGACTTCAACTCCCAGTATTCCTGAGCCAGCCATGCTGAGGGGAAAGGGAGAGGCTTACAAGCTGAGCCCTGTTGGCTCAGGAATTCTGGGAGTTGAAGTCCATGAGTCATAAAAGAGCAGAGGTGGCCTACCCCTGCCCTACACTTCTGGCTTTCTCCTTTTCTCCCTTGCTATTCTGCCTTCTTTTCTTTATTCTAAATATGTCTATCAATGATTCTAAATGCATCCTGTCAAAGTTCATCTTTCTTTACTAAAATCTTTATAATAAAGTTGTGTCAGCATTTCAGGCGCAGAGGACCAACGCTCAAGGCGAAGAATTTATCCCCCTCAATTGAGGAGGCAGCAGAGAAAAAAAGCATAAGCTAATTTCAGCCAAGATTAAAGCATTTCTCAACCTCGGCTGCTTTAGAATTTATGAACTTCAACTCCCAGAATTGCCCCAGCTGGCATGTAATTTTGAGAACGGAAGCTCACACATCTTCATGCAAGCTGGCTGCGGAACTCTGGGAGCTGAAGCCTGCAGATCTTAAAGCAAAGGGGCTGAGGAATTCTGGGAGTTGAAGTCCACACATCTTAAAAGTTGCTAAGGTTCACCGGTCGGTCCCTGCTGAGACCCCATGAGATAGCCACAGCAATAGCACTAGCACTTAACATTTATATACCGCTTCGTAGTGCTTTACAGCAGTGGCCCCCAAATGTTTGGCCCCCAGGGACCGATGCCGTGGAGGTTTTTCCACGGACCGGAGGGGGCCGTGGTTTCGCGTGCTGCCTGCATCCCGTGGATGGGGCTTCACTCGTTTGCACGGCCCGGTTTCTGGCATGCACGGCCCGGTTTCTGGGATTGGGGACACGCTTTACAGCCCTCTCTAAGCGGTTTACAGAGTCAGCATATTGCTCCCCAACAATCTGGGTCCCCATTTGATGAACCTCGGAAGCATGGAAGTCTGAGTCAACCTTGAGCAGGTCAGGATCGAACTCCCGGCGGTGAGCAGAGTCAGCCTGCAATAACCCCTGTGCCACCCTGGCTCTTATGAGATGGAGGACGGATGGAACTCACCCCCAGCTCCCCCACCCCACCCCAGAAACCCCCCCTCCCTTACTTCCTGTTTCCACCTCTCAGTCTCTTGCTGCCTCAGCAGGAAGTCTTCCACCAAGGCCACCGCCTGGGCACAGGTCTCCGGCCCACTTTCTCCAACCCAGCCCTGGATGTCCTCAGGCAAGATGGCTAAGAACTGCTCAAGGACCACCAGCTCCACCATCCGCTCCTTCGAATTCAGCTCCGGCTGCAGCCAGTTGAGGCACAGCTCCCGCAGCCGGGTGCAGACGTCCCAAGGCCCCTCCGCCTCTTGGTAGCAAAACCACCGGAAGTGCTGCCGATGCAGCTCCGCGCTGGGGGTCTCCTCGGCCTGGCCCTCTCCCTTCACCTCTCCATCCTCCCCCTGCTCTGCGGGGTCCGCATCCAGGCTGGCCTTGAGAGGCCTCTCTCGCGGCAGAAGCCCACCTGCCTCTTCCTGGAGGGGCTGTTCACCGGTTTCAGCAGGAGCCAGAACTCCCGGGATCTGGGGGTTGCTCCACCCCGAACACGGGGACTGTCTGTTCTTCAGGATGTCTCGCCACTGGGCTTCCCAACATGGCGACAGCATCCCCTCTTCCACATCCCGCTCCGTTGGCTTGGCTGTCATCCGGCTAAAATGCTCCCCGATGGTGAAAGTCTGGATGACGTAAGGGCTCTTCCTGAATCGGGTCGGGCCGGCCAGCGCAAGGCCATTTCTCTCAAGCTCCTCCATTTTGACTCCTTTTTCTACCCTGGTTTCGTAAGGGTGGAGGCCCACAGAGGACGCCTCCTGTCGCTCGGCCGCCATTTCCACCTTGGCTCTGCTCAACCGCTCGACTTCCCAGCCCAGCACCGGTTTCTTTCTGCAGACATGACCGAGGAGGGGGTCTGAGTCCAAGTTTGGGCAAGTTCAGAGTGGTACTTACAAGGCAGAGACGACTTCAGAGCTTTTCACCTACAGAAAAAAAATGGGAGCATCTTTCTCACTCCAAAGAACTTCTTCCTGAAGGTCAGAGAAAAAAATGTGGATGAGAGGGAGGAAAAAATATAATACTGAAACAGTCACTCGCGGAACAGCAGAATCACAGAGCTGCAAGGGGCCACTGAGGTCATCCAATCCAGCCCCTTGCTCAGTGCAAGAATCCAGATTAAACCACTCTCAGGAAATCCTCTTGAGCAGGGCTTTTCAACCTTTTTATCCATTGTATCACTTTTAGGATATGGCAATATCCGAGTACCACCAGTCGCCTAGCAAGGTGTCAAAAACTGGATGACCAAAAAAAAAAAGGGGAAGGGAGTGATAAAGTACAGGTAGTCCTCGACTTACAACAGTTCACTTAGTGACCGTTCGAAGTTACAATGGCACTGAAAAAAGTGTCCCCCAAGCCACAGCCGAGCAAGACACCTGCCTGCCCACCCAGCGGCGCTCTTCCTTCTGTCCAAGGTTTTCATTGTTGTGAGCATTTCTGTTGGGGATTGACAGCGGGGGTGTTTGGTTTTTATTCCCCCCATCTGCTGGGTGGTTGCAGCAGGTTTTGATCACTTCACATGACCCTGGGACACTGTGACCATCATAAATATGAATCAGTTGCCAAGCATCTGAACGTAAATCACAAGACCCTGGAGATGCTGCAACATTCCAGCTGATCGGCGCTTCTTCTGGGCTCAGCAGAAGCACAAGGATCAGCGCTGAGCTCCAGCTGGAGCCTGGCGCTGATCCTGGCGCTTCCGCTGAGCCCAGACAGCCCTGCAGCTCCAGCCATCTCTTGCACAGGCTTGTGTGGTGCTGCCACCAGTTCACCTCATTCCCCTCCCCTACTATCACTTTTCTAGGATGGTCACGTACCACCTGCCAGGTGCCAATGTACCACAGGTGGTACCCGTCCCACTGGTTGAAAAGCCCTGGTCTTCAGCAACCAGGGAAAACCAACCTAACAACTCTCTGATAATACTCCCATCACAAAATGGCTGTTACCCTTTAGGAAGTTTCTTCTAACGTTCAGTCAGGATCTACCCGGTTATCAGTTAAAGCCATGGAATGGAGTGGAATGGAACAAAGCATTGTTTCTCAACCTTAGGAATTTTGAGTGGACCAACTCCCAGAATCCCCTGGGAACTGGAGTCCACCCATAAAGCTGCCAAGCTTGAGAAATATTTCTTTAGGGAATAGAGTTCAGTTATGATGTACAGCTGATGCTTTAGGATCCTCACATATCCCCAAAGCCTGGGTTCCAGAAGTTGTTATGGCTGACATTTACAGCGAGGGAAAAAATTATTTGATTCCCCTGCTGATTTTGTATGTTTGCCCACTGACAAAGAAATGGTCAGTCTATAATTTTAATGGTAGGTTTATTTTAACCGTGAGAGACAGAACAACAAAAAAATCCAGAAAAAAGCATTTCAAACAAGTTATAAATTGATCTGCATTTTAATAAGTGAAATAAGTATTTGACCAGCAAGATTTCTGGCTCCCAGGTGTCTTTTATACAGTAACGAGCTTGTTATCTGTATAAGACACCTGTCAACCGAAGCAACTGATCAATCAGATTCCAAACTCTCCACCATGGCCAAGACCAAAAAGCTGTCCAAGGATGTCAGGGACAAGATTGTAGACCAGTGGTTCTCAACCTTTCTAATGCCGTGACCCCATAATACAGTTCCCCATGTTGTGGTGACCCCCAACCACTTATACATCACCGGGTGCCAGGGGTGTGGCCAAAGAAAAGGGGGAAAAAATGGCGGACAGCCTTGTTTGGCGACCCCCATGAAATGGCCGTTCGACCCCAAATGGGGTCCCGACCCACAGGTTGAGAACCACTGTTGTAGACCTACACAAGGCTGGAATGGGCTACAAGACTATCGCCAAGCAGCTTGGTGAGAAGATGACAACAGTTGGTGCGATTATTTGCAAATGGACAAAACAAAATAACTGTCAATCTCCCTCGGTCTGGGGCTCCATGCAAGATCTCACCTTGTGGAGTTTCAATGATCATGAGAACGGTGAGGAATCAGCCCAGAACTATATGGGAGGATCTTGTCAATGATCTCAAGGCAGCTGGGAACATAAGACACTAAGAAGACAATTGATAACACACTACGCAGAGAAGGACTGAAATCTTGCAGCGCCCACAAGGTCCCCCTGCTCAAGAAAGCACATGTACAGGCCCGTCTCAAATTTGCCAGTGAACACCGGAATGATTCAGAGGAGAATTGGGTGAAAGTGTTATGTTCAGATGAGACCAAAATTGAGCTCTCTGGCATCAGCTCAACTCAACTCACTGCGTTCGGAGGAGGAGGAATGTTGTCTATGACCTCAAGAATACCACCCACATCTTCAAACATGGAGGTGGAAACATTATGCTTAAGGGGTGTTTTTCTGCTAAGGAAACAGGACAACTTCACCGCATCAAAGAGATGATGGACGGGGCCATGTACCATCAAATCTTGGGTGAGAACCTCCTTCCCTCAGCCAGGGCATTGAAAATGGGTTGTGGATGGATATTCCAGCATGGCAATGATCCAAAACACACGGCCAAGGCAACAAAGGTCCTGGAGTGGCCTAGCCAGTCTCCAGACCTTAATGCCATGGAAAATCTGTGGAGGGAGCTGAAGGTTCAAAACCTTAATGACTTGGAGAGGATCTGCAAAGAGGAGTGGGACAAAATCCTTCCTGAGATGTGTGCAAACACCACCAAGGACTAAGTCATGTTTGGTGAAGAGGTCAAATACTTATTTCACTCATTAAAATGCAAACCAATATACCAGTATACCTTTTTTGAAATGCGTTTTTCTGGATTTTTGTTGTTGTTATTCTGTCTCTCACTGTTAAAATAAACCTACCATTAAAATTATAGACTGATCATGTCTTTGTCAGTGGGCAAACGTACAAAATCAGCAGGGTAATCAAATAATTTCTTCCCTCACTGTATAATGAAATTTGTCAGCAATCATTCTATTACGTATATGAAGAATCTCAGTATATTAAAAAGAAACTGGTGCTACTGTCTGAGCAGGGTAAAAACCAAAATTCCTGCAGGTGAAACTTAGTAGTTTCCTGGCAACAGTATAGGGTTAGCTTCACTGCTTTCCTGTTGCTTTTTTGAATGTCCCAGTCTAGTCCTCAGCCGAGAGACTTCCTAATAGCTTTTCATTCAAGATACTTGCAATTAATTTAATTCTTCTCACCCCTCACACCGCTCTGCCTTCTGAGGAAAAGAAATCCTTTTTTTTACTTGTAGATAGGAAGGAAAACCTGCACAATAGGAGGACTGGCGGCATTTGAGGCACAAAATAGTGGATTGTCCCCAAGTGTCATTTTCATGCAATGGAACATTTGCAGGTAGTTCTTGACATATGACCACAACTGATCCCAAAATTTCCACTGCAAAGTAAGACAGTTGCTAAGTGAGTTTTGCCCCATTTTACAATCGTTCTGGCCACCATTGTTAAGTGAATCCCTGCAGTTGTTCAATTAGTAGCCCGGTTGTTAAGTGAATCTGATCGCAAAAGGGGATCACATGACCCCGGGACATGGCAATTGTCATAAATACGAGTCAGCTGCCAAGCATCTGGATTTTGATCATGTGACCATGGGGGAATGCTGCAACAGTCATAAGTGTGAAAACAACTACCCATCTTCCCGAAAGGCCTACCCTGAAAATAAGCCCTAGCTTGATTTTTGGGGGGTGGGCCTAATACAGGGGTTAGCAACCTCGGCTCTTTTATGACACATGGACTTCAACTCCCAGAATTCCTGAGTCAGCATAGCATGACTCAGGAATTCTGGGAGTTGAAGTCCATGAGTCATAAAAGAGCCGAGGTTGCCTATCCCTGGCCTAATATAAGCCCTAATCCGAATATAAGCCCTAGTTTTGGGGTGAGGCACACACTTAAAAATCAAGCTAGGGTGGGGTGTGAAGACCTCTGCAGCCGAGAACCAAACTATGGATTCAATCCATAGCTTGGTACTCGGCTGCAGAGGCCTGACTGCAAAATGCAGGCCGGAATGCCCCAGAAGAAGTGGACCGGCTGGGCTGGGCTGTTATAAGACACCCCCCGAAAATAAACATGGGTATAAGTCACTTTTTAAACTTCAAATGGTCTACACCAGGGGTAGGCAACCTTGGCTCCTTTATGACTTGTGGACTTCAACTCCCAGAATTCCTGAGCCAGCATGGCTCAGCTTGGAAACCTCTCCCTTTCCCTTCAGCATGGCTGGCTCAGGAATTCTGGGAGTTGAAGTCCACAAGTCATAAAAGAGCCAAGGTGGCCTACGCCTGAGCTAGACCCTCATTCACATCCCCCCTCCAGCATTATCTAACTCTAAAAGCGAAAGGGACAAAGATGGCTACATTTTCATCTGTTGTCAAGGCAAAACATCCAATGTTAGCAGCATTGACATCCCGGTTGTTAAGTGAATCTGGCTTCCCTATCAGTTTTGCTTGTCAGACAGTGACTGAAGAAGGTTACAGAAAGTTACAAAAAGCAGAACCATACGACCTCAGGACAGTGCAACCGTCGTAGGTACGAGTCAGTTGCCAAGTACCCAAATTTGGATCACATGACCGTGGGGAATGCTGCGATGATTGTTAAGCGTGAGGACCAGTTATATGTCACTTTTCCAGTATTGTGACTTCATGCGGTCGCTAAACAAACAATTCTAAGTCGAGCACATTTCACTTTTCTTCAAATGGTGCCGTTATGGCTGTCTTGGTAGAAAAGGGGAAGCTTCCACTTCCCTCCCGCTCCAGCTTATATTTCTGCCATCTTTTTCCTCGTTAGAGATGACTTTTCGGAAAAAGGATCTTTGTATTTAAATGGCAGAGTCTTTTAAATCTGAAATGCACTCAACATCAATGAGAACATATGTCTGGATGGTCTGAATACTTTGACAAATACTAGTTATAGCAATGTTGTTATTTTCCTTTCTGATTTATATTTATGAATGTTGTAATATCCCAGGGCAGGGGTAGGCCACCTTGGCTCTTTTATGACTCGGGGACTTCAACTCCCAGAATTCCTGAGCCAGCCGTGCTGAGGGGACAGGGAGAGGTTTCCAAGCTGAGCCAGGCTGGCTCAGGAATTCTGGGAGTTGAAGTCCACGAGTCATAAAAGGGCCAAGGTTGCCTAGCCCTGGACTAGATGACCCACAACAGGGGTCTTCAAACTTGGTCATTTTATGACTGGTGGACTTCAACTCCCAGAATTCCTGAGCCAGCATAGCTCAGCTTGGAAAACTTCTCCCTTTCCCCTCAGCATGGCTGGCTCAGGAATTCTGGGAGTTGAAGTCCACGAGTCATAAAAGGGCCAAGGTTGCCTAGCCCTGGACTAGATGACCCACAACAGGGGTCTTCAAACTTGGTCATTTTATGACTGGTGGACTTCAACTCCCAGAATTCCTGAGCCAGCATGGCTCAGCTTGGAAACCTCTCCCTTTCCCCTCAGCATGGCTGGCTCAGGAATTCTGGGAGTTGAAGTCCACGAGTCATAAAAGAGCCAAGGTGGCCTACCCCTGGCCCAGGGTAATGGGACTCCATCTTGTGACCTTCTCACAGGCAAAGTCAATGGGGAAGCCAGATTCATTTAACAACCAAGTTACTAACTAAACATCTGCAGTGATTCACTTAATAACTGTGGCAAGAAAGGTCATAAAAATGGGGCAAAACTGACTTAACAAATGTTTCACTTAGCAATAATCACTTGGGGCTCAATTGTGGTCCTAAGTCAAGGACTACCTGTACTGAAACCTGTTTAAAGTGGTAAAAAGCTGGACACGGAGAAACATGCACCTCCTTGTGCGCACAGACAAGCTTCCTTCAATGTCCCGATCTGATGAAACTGCACACTGGAGCAACATTTCTCAATCTCAGCAAATTTAAGACGTGTGAACTTCAACTCCCAGAATTCCCCAGCAAGGTACTGAAGAAGCCATCTTCCCCTTTTGGACAAAGGGGGGAGGGGAGGGAGGTATTGCTTGACTTCCAGAGCAAACACAAAAGGAGAAGAGAAGACTGGAAAGAGGAACAACCCAGCAAGAGGAGAAAAAAATCATAGCACAGAATGCAAAAAGTGGAACTGTGGGTCCAATCCAACCTCAAGAAGTTCTTTTAATTTTCCTCTTTTATCTTTTAAATCTGTAAGCTAGAGCTGTCTGCTAATTACTTTTGGTTAACCACTTTGAATTGGTGGGGTTCTTTTCAACTAAAGAGTAGGGCAAAATATCCCAGAATTCCACAGTTTGTAGATCCTGGAAGCGGTCAGAGAAAACTCCTGATTTGCTGGTTTCATCAGCTTACGAATGTAGGAACAGTTTTCAGCTCTCCCTTTCTAAAAGTATCCTGTGTTTCCAGCACTGCAGCACAGAGCTTGTCTTGGAAAAAGCTAAGTGGGTTAATAGTGGGATGGGAGACCAAAAGGAAATCCAAGAGCTGCAGATTAGTCTGGGAGGTAAATAATTTTCCAGAAAACAGTAGTGGTAAACCACTTCTGTTTTGCCTGCAAAAAAATAGTACGATAATGACAAGCTTAAAGTATCCCTGCTTCATGCAATAACCCAACTGCTTCTAAGAAAAGTTCTCTTAAAATCCAGCCAACGAAACTGTCCTTGAATATTCAGGTTCTAGTGAAACAAGATTACAGGTAGTCCTCGACGTATGACCACAACTGAGCCCAAAATTTCTGTTGCTAAGTGAGACATGACCAGGGCTGTTGTAACTTCGGTCACTAAATGAACTGTCATAAGTAAAGGACTCCTTGTACAGCAAAAGAACCCCCACCAAGCAATGTCTTGTCAAGAGAAACGCAGAAAATTAAAGCAAACTCTTGCTGAGCAAATATGAAAATTTTGAGGAGGAAAATATTGTGAAAAAACAGAAACAGCTTCCCAGCCTGAAGCCCAGAAAGGACAACCCAGTCAAACTGAGGCAGGGCGAAGGCCTGGACTGGAGCATACAGCTACAGAGAAGCTGAGAACAGCCTTTGCTTGAAACCCTACAGAATGGCTGCTAGTGAACGGCTCAGTTCACACAACCCATTAAACCAGCTAAACCAGAGAAAAGACCTAGAAGGGGCATTTGAACAATGAGATCTTTACACTCTGTGAAACCCAGTTCATTCCCCTCGTTTGTGGCTCCAGACATTGCGCCTCAAAGTGGGTTAATTTATTGACCAGGTTATTTAGTTTTTGCGAGTACAGCAATGTACACCATTCTTTTACAGTTAAGGGGCCTTTGAGGGTATATTTCCTACAACCATGGAGGATTATGAGGATGTGCTCACACCAACCAAACTGCAATCTAGTTAACAACTTTGAGGCTAGTGTGTTGTGCAACTAGCCCCATGGCTTGGGTGGTTTGGTATGTTCGCTATGCAAAGGTTCCATCTCTAGATTAACCATAGATGTGGGTCACGCAACCATAGCATTAGAGTTAAAAACTATCCCGTTGGGGGACCTGAAGATCAGACAAGACTGACAATATAAAGTTAAATAGCCTTGAGAATTAGGCAGCTTTCTAAGCTGCTAGTCCCTTGAGAAAGACTGCAGACCATCACCCTTGTTTTACATCTCAAAGCAAACCCACAATCCTAGAAATGCCGGAGGAGTACGGGTAATCCTTGAATTACAACAGTTCATTTAGTGACCATTCAAAGTTACAATGGCCCTGAAAAAAGCAACTTATGACCATTTTTCGCACTTACGACCATTGCAGTATCCCCAAGGAGATCAAAATTCAGACACTTGGCAACTGACTCAAATTTATGACGGTCACAGCATCCTGGGATCACGCGATCCCCTTTTGCGACCTTCGGACAAGCAAAGTCAATGGGGAAGCCAGATTCACTTAACAACCGTGCTACTAACTTGACTGCAGTGATTGACTCAACTGTGGCAAGAAGGCCGCAAAACGGGGCAAAACTCATTCAACAAATATATCCATTAACAACAGAAATTTTGGACTCAGTTGTAGTTGTAAGTCAAGGACTATACCTGTATCTTAAAATCTGAGACACCCTTTGAAACATCCAAGGGATATGAAAACAAAGCAGAAGCCTAAAAAAAGGGACAGCCAGCATCCTCCCCTATGGAAGAGAAGGCCCTCTCAAGGGGGTTTCACTATTTGGGTGGATTTACACTCATGTCTCAAAGGTGCTTTTTTAGAGACAACTGGACTTTCCTAGTTTTCTTTTAAGACATTTCGCTTCTCATCCAAGAAGCTTCTTCAGCTCTGACTGGATTGGGGGGGGGGGGGAAGACACCAGGCAGAAAACATTCTGCAACCAAGAAGTCTCCACACCAATTTGCCCTACTCAGATCAGCCTGAGGACACAGACAAACCTCCAAATGGCCTCAAGGACTCTCTAAAACAGTGGTTCTCAACCTTTCTAATGCCGTGACCCCATAATACAATTCCCCATGTTGTGGTGACCCCCCCAACCACATCACCGGGTGCCAGGGGCATGGCCAAAGAAAAGGGGGAAAAAATGGCAGGCAGCCTTGTTTGGCGACCCCCGTGAAATGGTCGTTTGACCCCAAATGGGGTCCCAACCCACAGGTTAAGAACCACTGCTCTAAAAGGGAGCAAATGACCGGCTGTCTGCAAGGAATATAACTCCTTCCATTCCCCACCATCCAGTCAAGAGCCGAAGAAGCTTCTTGGATAAGAAGTGAAACGTCTTCAGAGAAACAAACAAGAAAGTCCCGAAAAAGCACCTTTGGGACAACCATGACCCTGGATGACTGAGAATCTCCGCAGGCACTCGTCTGAACTGCCACCTTTCACTTCCACAACAGCGGACCCCACTTACAAATCCGGTTTGCAAGGCTTCCCACAATCATTCTTAAGCTAATCAAGTTAAACCAGCCATGCACACCCAAACCCTCAAGCCAGCGGGCTGGCAGAACATGCAACACCCCAAATCTGGCACAGCAAGTCGTCTGAACCCGCCACTTTCCCCTCCGTCGCTCCCTTCCCCGAACTGGATGGCTGTGGCTGATGATGGCCTTCGCAGACCTCCTTACCTCGAGGATGCCCGCTTGGGGAAGAGGGGCTGAATGCAGGCTTGTGCCCTCTGCCCCCCTCTTTCCTTAGGAACCCCAACCCCGATGCACCCCTTTTTTTGCACCCGCGGCTGCAGTTCCCCACCCTCCCCGCGCAGCCACCATCTCGGCTTGTCTGCGCACCGACTGCCAACTGCACATCCCGGAGTGTAAAGAGGAGAAATGCGCCGCCCCTCCCCGCACACCCACAAATTCCCACGCCTCTCTAGGCCTCCCTGCTCGTTGGTTTTAACCGCGGCTGGTCCGTGGGCCGGGAGGTTCCGCCCATCTCCCTTTTCCCGTTTCCGGCCGGAGGGGAGGGGGAGGAAGAAGGGTCTTATCACGTGGATCCCGTGGCGTCACGTGATCGCCTCCCTACAGGTGCGAGGGAGGGGTGGGGGGGAAATCTGAGCCCTGGCCAGCTGCAGGTAGGCATTCAACAGGAGTAGCCCACCGACAAGTAGTCCTCGACTTGGGACCACAATTTCTGTTGCCAAGTGAAACATTTCTTAACGTTGCCCTCGTTTTACGACCTTTCTTGCCACCGTTGTTAAGTGGATCACTGCAGTTGCTGAATCTTGTTAAGTGAATCTGGCTTCCCCATTGACTTTGCTTGTCAGCATGTCGCAAAAAGGGACACGGCAACCGTTATAAATGGGAGCCAGTTGCCAAGTGTCTGAATTGATCACGTGATCACGGGCATCATGCAATGGTTGTAAATGTGAAAAATGATCATAAGTCACTTTTTTTCAGTGCCGTTGCAACTCTGAATGGTCACTAAATGAATTGTTGTAGGTTGACGACTACCTGTATTAAGTTGCCAAACCTAGGAATTGAGAGAGAAGAGTTTAAGCTAGCCAAATATACTTTGCTGGATTTGAATTTGTCACATTTTTGTCATTTTAATTTATCATATTTGTATAGCTGCCCATCTTACATGAAAGCGACTCTGGACTGTGTACAACTTTCCTATAGTCACGTTTTGTCATTTTAATCATAATAATAACAACAACAATAATAATAAAGTTGGAAGGGACCTTGGAGGACATCTAGTCCAACCCCCTACTCAGGAGCTACAGGACTATTGTACTGTTCAAGAGGTTAAGACAGCCTCAGCGACTTTCAACCGGATGGACTTCAATGGGGAATTCTGGGAGTTGAAATCCACACATCTGAAAGTTGCTGAGGTTGAGAAACACTGGATTAAAAAGAGACAAACTGCCTCAATCTAATACTTTCCAGGTGTGTTAAATTATATCTCCTGTTCTCCCTTGGACAATCTGATTGTGAGTGCTGAGGCTTGTAATCCAACACCTTTGGAGGACATAGAAGTTTGAGCTAGTTGATACAAGCCTTTGTGGACTCCACTCATTATAGAAAATGCCGGGTGTGGGCTGTTTTTACCCCTTAGGTTCCAGCAAATGCAGAGGAAGGGGATAATAAAGCAGATCCAAAATCTACAACTTCTGAATTTCTGTAATAATTTAATGACAAGATGCTCTGAAAGAGATCTGACAAGCTTAAAGAACAAAAGTTAACACGTGGAAGCAAAAATGGCTTGCCACAAAAAGGAAAAGAATTGAGAATAATATTGGTGCAAATTCAATTAAGTTTTCTTCTCTTTTCTTTTTCTGAGTTGACTTCTTTAATTTCTTTGTTTTACCTTTTTAATCCCATTTCTGTACTTCACATAATGTTGCTTTACCCAAAAGAAATAGTGTGATGGGTAATCTAATCTAGAGCCCTGGGATTCCATAGTGGTCTCCTGTCCCAGATGTGTTTATTTATTTTACTAATAACTTAAGGCAGCCAACATATCCAATCCATTCTTCCTCCGAGTTTCCTCACCACAACAATCCTGTGAGGTGTGTTGGGCTGAGAGTGACTGGCCCAAAGTCACCCAGCTGGCCTTCATGGCTATGGCAGGACTTGAACCCGCAGCCTCCAGCAGGTAAGATCAACTAGATGTCTATTAAAACCTGCTTTCTTGAAGTCCAAGATACAGCCTCATTTAACTGTTAAATTTCTTTACCATTATACTCACTTCTGTCTCTTAATTTTCAGGTTTAGGATACTATAAATTAAACCTGTAGACAAAAAAATAACCCATTTCTCCACATAGATTTATTATTACTGTTGGTGAGTCACACAGTCAGCTTGATGTTTAGGCTGGATATGATATTTTTATCCCCAGTCAAGTCCTTCCCAAGGGCCTGAGATAGGCAGATATTGTTTAATAATATTAAAGGTATTGTTGTAGGATGTAAACTATTTCAAATAAAGCTGCCTTTTGCAATTCATATGTGATTTTGTCAGTGCTGATGGTATTCAAGCAGTACTCCAGTAATATGTCTATGGAGATTCTCAGTCATCTAGGTTGTGGTTATCCCAAAGGTGCTTTTTTCAAGAGGCAATTGGACTTTCTTTGAAGACATTTTGCTTCTCATCCAAGAAGCTTCTTCAGCTCTGACTGGATGGTAGGGAATGGAAGGATTTATATTCCTTGCAGACAGCTGATCATTTGCTTCCTTTTAGAGCAGTGGTTCTCAACCTTCCTAATGCCACAACCCCCAACCATGTGGTCGTAAGTCGAGGACTATCTGTATTTCCCTGCGGGCAGGGCAGGAGGAGGCGCGCACACTCCGCCTCCTCTCCTGCAGCTGGAACGCACGCTGGGTAGGCCGAGGGTGCACGCGGGCTGTCGGCCAGCAACCGCCTCGGCCCAGGAGCGCTGTGCATGTGTGGTGCCACCCCCTGTGCCGCCCAAGGTGTAGCTGGCAAGCGGTAGCAACGGCGCAAGCCGACCACCGGCTGGGCCACCAGCTGGCCCAGCCCAAGGGAGATAAGCCACCTGCCGGGCCACACGCGTGCCAGCAACCCTCCCTGCGCCCACCACTGCCCCGCTTGCCTTACCTTGGCCACCGCATATTAGGTGCGGCAGGCAGGCCCAGGCGGCCATGGCACGTGGCAGCGAGGGCGCAGGCCGACCACCGGCTGGGCAACCAGCTGGCCCAGCCCAAGGGAGGTAAGCCACCTGCCGGGCCCACACACGCAGCAACCCTCCCTGCGCCTGCTGCTGCCCCACTAGCCTTACCTTGGCCACCGCACACGTTCGGTGTAGCAGCAGGCAGGCCCAGGCACTCCTGGGCAGCCATGGCACGTGGCAGCGAGGGCACAGGCCGACCACTAGCTGGGCCACCAGCTGGCCCAGCCCAAGGGAGATAAGCCACCTGCCCGGCCCACACACGCCAGCAACTCTCCCTGCGTCCGCCGCTGCCCTGCTAGCCTTACCTTGGCCACCGCACGTTCGGTGCGGCAGTGGGCAGGCCCAGGCGCTCCTGGGCGGCCATGGCACGCGGCAGCGAGGGCGCAGGCCGACCACCAGCTGGCCCAGCCCAAAGGAAGTTAAGCCACCCGCCGGTCCCCACACACGCCAGCAACCCTCCCTGCGCCCGCCACTGCCCTGCTAGCCTTACCTTGGCCACCGCACGTTTGGTGTGGCAGCAGGCAGGCCCAGGCCCTCTCACCCCTGGCCCTCTTTTACTTACATTTAGTAGTTGCTCAGCAGGGAGGGGTGGAAACGTCCAGAAAGCTCGCCTTAGCTGCAGACAACTTGCAGCAACGTTTGCAGAATGGGACTTTTGGCGGGCTCAGCAGGGCAGAGACAGCCTGGACAATTCCTATTGGCTTTCGAAAGCCAATAGAATTATACTCTATTCAAGAGAGTCTATTCTATTGGCTTTCGAACGCCAATAGAATAAGAGGGAGTAGCACAGCTAAGGAAAAAGGGGAAAAAAGAATGCTGGACTGCGTTGTATAAGGATTCTATGTGGAAAAACTCCAGGACTTTGGCAACCCCCGTGAAATGGTTATTCGACCCCAAATGGGGTCGCGACCCACAGGTTGAGAACCGCTGTTTTAGAGAGTTGTTGAGGCCATTTGGAGGTTTGTCTGCGTCCTCAAGGTCATCTGAGTAGGGCAAATTGGTATGGAGCCTTCTTGGAACAACTAAAAGGACTGTTGTCAACACTGCTAACATCGGATGTTTTTGGATTGACAACATATGGAAACGTAGCCATTTTTTTCCTTTCTCTTTTTGACTTAGATTAGATGATGCTGGAAGGGGGGGATGTGAATGAGAGTCCAGCTAGACATAATAACACTAAAAGTTATCATGAGAATCAACGTTATTGGACTCCGAGCTGATAAAGAATTGGCGGGCTGGAGAGCTGGAGAAGAACCCTGTGCTTCCAGCTAATTGGAGAATGTGATTTATGTGATTTATGATTGTTAATTGGAGGAGGGAATTGTGCTTTGATACTGTGTGTCCAGGGGAGGGGAATTCAGTTTTTGGCTTCATTTATGTAAGAGCTGATATTATGCTACTCAAATAAAAGATCCTTTAAGGTAAACAATGCCTCCAAGTTCTTTTGAAGAGTTTCATCTGTCAAAACCATGACAACAGTATTGTAGACTGGAGATCAATGATGTTGTATCCTCCCCCTCTACTGAGAGAGGGATATTCAATTTTGGCATAAATGGCCCTCTCAACGGAGGAGGAGCTGTTTGCAAGGAGTATAAATCCTTCCATTCCCCACATCAGGAAAATGAAATTGCCTCTTGAAATAGCACCCTTGGTACTCCAGTAATAGTAATTGATGTTTTGGATTGCACTCAAGAGATCTATATATTGTCTGTCTTTTCACAGTTGTTCTATTGCTATTTGCAGGTCTTTGTGTTATGTGATTTTCTGCAGTTCTTTCTCTTCTATTCTGCTGTTTGCAACATGCACTATCCAGACTTTTTTGTTGGTCTTTTTCTTAATCAACAGTTGTTTAAGTCTGCAGTGTTGTGTGGTCATCCTTATTATTCTATTAAAAGTCAAGAGAGCCCCAATTTGTATGACTGTGGGTAGCTTACAGGATACTGCAAATTTAAAAAAAAAACACAGAATATGGTTCCATGATAGCGTGATAGGCAGCAGATAAATAAAATAAAAAATAAACAAAAAAGTGCAGAAAAACAGCAGCTAAAGCATCTCACAACCATCCTTTCTATGTCTCCCACCCATTCTAACTGTCCATCCCACTGAGAATATCAAACCAAGAAATCGTAGGAAGGCTAAAAATATATTTATTGAGATTGGCTATAATAACAGAATCTTGCAAGTCTAACAGTTCAGTGAATTAGGAAGGTGCCTGAGTTGCTTCTGAACGTCGTTTGTCACAACAATTTCTTCCTTTTAATAAAATTGGTTAGTCAGAAAAGGTGCTACTAGACTTTTGATTTTTGGCTATCGCAGACTAACACTGCTGTCTCCCTACAAAGATTTTCTAAGGAATTGTGTTTTGCGACCAGCGGAACTGCTCAGCCCTGGACAAGCTGTTATAGAGTTGATCCTCTTTCTAAAGATTGTTGTTGATCCTTCCACAAACTTGGCCCTTTTTGCCATTGTCGTCTCCTGCATGGATGAAAACACTCCAGATAACTCAAACTTTGCACTGACGGAGACATTCTACCCATTTGGACAAGTGGAGAGTTTGGTCTAGTGCAGGGGTAGGCAACCTTGGCTCTTTTATGACTCATGGACTTCAACTCCCAGAATTCCTGAGCCAACATAGCTCAGCTTGGAAACCTTTCCCTTTCCCCTCAGCATGGCTGGCTCAGGAATTCTGGGAGTTGAAGTCCATGAGTCATGAAAGAGCCAAGGTTGCCTACCCCGGTCTAGTGATTAAGGCAGGAGACTAGAAACCAGGAGGCAGTGAGTTCTAGTCCTGCTCTAGGCATGACTTGCGGACTTCAACTGCCAGAATTCCTCAGCCCTGCACGCTAGCTGAGGAATTCTGGGAGTTGAAGTCCACAAGTCATCAAAGGGCCAAGTTTGAAGACCCCCTGACCTTTTGCAACCTTCTGACCAGCAAAGTCAACGGGGAAGCCCGATTCACTTTACAACCATGTTACTAAGTGAACCATTGCAGTGATTCACTTAACAACTGTGCCAAGAAAAGTCACAAAACGGGACAAAACTCACTTTCCTTTGTATTTTATATATATTAAATAAATATAAAAACATGTAAAAACAAAAAAACCAAAATAATAACAATAAAAAATTCCAACTGTGCCAAGAAAGGTTGCAAAATGGGACAAAACTCGCTTAACAACAGCCACAGAAATTTTGGGCTCCGTTTTGGTCGTGGGTTGAGGACTACTTGGTATTTTATGCATAAGATATAAAATCTTATTGAAGTGAATTCATTAAAAATAAAAAAAATAGATGAGGTTGGGGGCAAACTAGTAGTTAGCCTTCCACAACTCCTGTCTGCAACGTGTCATGTGGAATTAACTTGGAAAGAAGGGGAAAGTTTTTCCCCTAATGTGAGGGATGGTAAATTTGTGCGGTCGTTAGTCCTCGAGTTACAGCAGTTCACTTAATGACCGGTCAAAGTTACAACAGCACTGAAAAAAATGACTTATGACTGTTTTTCACGCTTAATGACCATTGCATGTCAAAATTCGGATGTTTGGGGCAACTGATTCATATTTTTAGATTGTTGTTGTTAGTTGCGAAGTTGTGTCCGACCCATCGCAACCCCATGGACAACGTTCTTCCAGGCCTTCCTGTCCTCTATCATCTTCTGGAGTCCATTTAAGCTCACGCCTACTGCTTCAATGACTCCGTCCAGCCACCTCCTTCTCTGTCGTCCCCTTCTTCTCTTGCCCTCCATCTTTCCCAGCATTAGACCCTTTTCCAGTGAGTCCTTCCTTCTCATTAGGTGGCCAAAGTATTTGAGTTTCAACTTCAGGATCTGGCCTTCTAAAGAGCAGTCGGGGTTGATCTCTTCTAGGACTGACCTGGTTTGAACGCCTTGCAGTCCAAGGGACTCGCAGGAGTCTTCTCCAGCACCATAGTTCAAAGGCCTCAATTCTTTTGCGCTCAGCCTTTCTTATGGTCCAACTTTCACAGCCATACATTGCAACTGGGAAAACCATGGCCTGGACTATACGCACTTTTGTTGGCAGGGTGATGTCTCTGCTTTTTAGTATGCTGTCTAGATTTGCCATAGCTTTCCTCCCCAGGAGCAAGCGTCTTTTAATTTCTTGGCTGCAGTCCCCATCTGAGGTGATCTTTGAGCCCAGAAAAATAAAATCTGTCACTACCTCCATCTATTCCCCATCTATTTGACAGGAATTGAGAGGGGCGGATGCCCTTTATTGTCATTTTTTTTCCTGTGGGCACAATGGCACACATTAAAAAGGAAATTTAGTTGCGTCCTCTCAGAGTGTACACAGACATAGCACACATTTAAAACATACTACATACTACATTCATGACGGGGGCTGTGTCCCAGTGTCACGGGATCACCTTTGGAACAAGCAAAGCCAATGGGGAAGCCAGACTCGCTTGACCACCACGTTACTAATGTTAACAGCTGCAGCGATTCACTTAACAACCGTGGCCCCAAAAAGGAGCGAAGTTCACTTTAAACGTCTCGCTGAGCCACGTAAATGTGGGTCTCCGTTGGTGGTCGTAAGTCGAGGACTACCTGGCAACTTTTCCCCGGCCAAAGGCTTCAACGTCGGTCCGCCAAAGGGTTAAAGAGAGCCGCGTGCCGGCTTCCTAGAGCGGCCCCGGCGTCTGGGTCCGCCTACGCCTCTGTGTCAGCATGGCGAGAGAGGGGAGAGAGAGAGAGAGAGCGTGAGGAGCGTCGGGGCCCCCGCCCTCCCAAGCCCTCGCCTCGAAGCTCCGCCCCTTCCTCACTCTCTGGATTTTGAATTTCTCAACTCGGGGGAGGTTCGGCTTCCTCCGGCGAGCCGTGAGTTTCGGAGGCTGCTTTGCCTGGCTGCGGGGGGGGGGAGTGGGGGGGGTGGAGGATGAGGAGCGGATGGGGGGGAAGGAGGAGGAAGAGGGGAGAGAGGCAGCGTTGCCTAATGGTTGAAGGCACCGGGCTAGAAACCGAGACGGCGAGCTCCAGTCCCCGCCTTAGGCGTGAAAAGCCGGCTGGGTGACTTTGGGCCGGTCCCTCTTCCTCGCTCCCCTCCACGGCAGGCTCGGGAGACGAGCCGGGCGGGCGGTTCCTTGTCCCGACCAAAATAGATCGATCCGTAAAAGAAAAAAAAAGCAGACCTCCTTTTTTTTGGGAGGGGGGGAGAGGGAGAGGATGCCAGGAAGAAAAACAAAGTAGGTGGGGAGGGGGGTCCAAAGCTGGTTGTGTGTGTGTGTGTTGGTGGTGGGGGGGAAGAGGGTGTACAGGTAGTCCTCGAGTTACGACCAAAGTTGAGCCCAACATTTCCGTCTCTTGAGCGAGACATTTCTTGGGTGAGTTTTGTCCCGGTTTGAGACGTTTGTTGGGTAAGTTTTGTCCCGTTTTGCGACCTTTCTTGCCAGCCTTAAGTGAATCCCAGCAGCTCAGTTAATTGACAACATTGAATCTGGCCTCCCCGTTGGCTTCGCTTGTCAGAAGGTCGCAAAAGCGGATCACATCACACACGCACGCACGCACACCTAGGACACTGCAACGGTCATAAATATGAGCCAGTTGCCAAGCGTCTGAATTTTGATTATGTGACCGTGGGAATTGCTGCCACCACTGTAAGTGTATAAACCAGGGGTAGGCAACCTTGGCTCTTTTATGACTTGTGGACTTCAACTCCCAGAATTCCTGAGCCAGCATGGCTCAGCTTGGAAACTTCTCCATTTCCCCTCAGCATGACTGGCTCAGGAATTCTGGGAGTTGAAGTTCACAAGTCATAAAAAAGCCAAGGTTGCCTACCCCTGGAATAGAGCTAAATGGGACCTTGGAGGTCTTCTAGTCCAGGGGTAGGCAACCTTGGCTCTTTTATGATTGGTGGACTTCAACTCCCAGAATTCCTAAGCCAGCCGTGCTGAGGGGAAAGGGAGAGGTTTCCAAGCTGAGCCATGCTGGCTCAGGAATTCTGGGAGTTGAAGTCCACGAGTCATAAAAGAGCCAAGGTGGCCTATCCCTGGTATAAACGGTCATAATTCACTTTTTTTCAGTGCGGTTGTAACTTTGAACGGTCACGAAAACTGTTGAAAGTCGAGGTCTACCTGTATTAACCTAGCACAGGAGGAATCAACAGAAAGGCCATCATTGTGTAATTCTGCTTCATTCCTAGGATCTGTTTGCAGAAATCTAGAAAAGTCCTTCCTTTCTTCCTTCCTTCCTCGTAAGGCTGATAGAAAATTCCACAGCTATTATTGTGTGAAGTTGGTTGGTCTGAGAGAAAGTGACTATATTTGCATCGCCTCAGAAATCATAAACTATGGCTAACAAACTATGATAAAACAGGCATTTAAGTCCTTCCCTTCCTTCCCACACAGACAGTGATGGGCTCATAGTCCCACCAGCCCACCAGGTTGAAGATTAAACTTCAACCTAAGTCTCTATGCTTTTCATTAACATCTTCCCTTCCTACATTTGCCCACAACTTCCTTTATCGTTTTTTTTCCCCACCACAAAAAGGAGAAAAAAGGTAAAATGGTGACAATAGGAGAGAGAAGTCTTTGATCTTCCAGATGTGGTGCTTCAACAGCTGCAACTGCCTGGCTGGCAATCAGGATGATGGCATAGGCTCTTCAAAGAATGTGCTCTGGGCACCCAGTTTCCACACAGCATTTTTCTCAAACTCGGCAACTTTTAAGATGTTTAGCCTTCCAGCTTGCAGAATTCCTCAGCCAGCTAAGGCCACGGATCTTAAAGTTGCTGAGGGTGAGAAACACCGAGCTAGACGTAGCAATAAGCTTAAATTTAGTGGTTTATCAAACGAACCACCATCAACTGGGCTCATGCAATGCTCTCAGTCAACACTGAAGGAATGACATTTGATTTAGCACAATATGTAATCCAGTTACGGTTCTTGAATGGGAGAACTGGAAATCTTTTATCCAAAAGCAGACTCAGATTTTAATAGTTTCCTGAAGATAGATCTAGTCTTTCTGTATCCCCAATCAGTTTCCATCAATTATAATTATGGATGTGCGGTACAGGTGGTCCTTGACCAAAATAGGAGCTGGAAAATTGATCATTTAAGCCAGTGGTTCTCAACCTTGTATAATATTCAGTTAGATTCTCACAGGCATACAATGAATAGAGAGTTTCACTTTATACCAGTGGTTCTCAACCTTTTTAATGCCGCGACCCCCAACCGGTCATAAGTCGAGGACTACTCCACCGGTCGTAAGTCGAGGACTACTCAACTGGTGCAGCACCGTTTGCAGAATGGGACTTTTGGCGGGCTCAGCAGGGCAGAGACAGCCTGGACAATTCCTATTGGCTTTTGAAAGCCAATAGAATTAGACTCTATTCAAGAGAGTCTATTCTATTGGCTTTCAAAAGCCAATAGAATAAAAGGGAGTAGCACAGCTAAGGAAAAGGGGAAAAGAAAATGGTGGACTGCGTTGTTTGGCGACCCCCGTGAAATGGTCGTTCGACCCCAAATGGGGTCCCGACCCACAGGTTGAGAACCACTGATTTAAGCAGTGCAGACATTAACTGAGGCCTCGTGTGACTGCATTCCAATTTTACCAGCTGTTTTGCTGTGGTCATTAAGCAAATCACCATGGTTGTTAAATGAGACAGCCCATGACCCCAACTTGCGATCGTCCCTGCTTTGCTTGTCGGAAACCTGCTAAGAGGATCACAAATGGCAATCGTGGCTTCAGGACACTGGCGCTATCGTTGTCATAAATGTGCAAGGGTTGCCAGGTGCTAAATTAAGATAGCAATAGCACTTAGATGTCTATATCGCTTCACAGTGCTTTATAGCCTTCTCTGCGGTTTACAGAGTCAGCCTATTTGCCCCCCCAACAATCTGGGTCCTCATTTTACCGACCTTGAAAGGATGGAAGGCTGAGTCAACCTTGAGTCGGTCAGGATCGAACTGCCAAACTGCAGGCAGCCAGCACACAGCAGAAGTAGCCTGCAGTACTACATTCTAATTACTGCGCCACCATGGCTCGAGATTAGATAATCTTTATTGTTATTTTTCACTGTGGGCATCCTGGCACACATTAAAAATGAAATTCTGTTGCCTGTTCTCAAAAAAAAAGTATGTATCTACTCATACACATACTTAACACACATATTCGCATGCTATTACTTACATACATAAATATATATATATCTACACGTGAAGTGTTAATACCACTCTACAATGCCTTGGTAAGGCCACACATGGAATACTGCATCCAGTTTTGATCACTGCGATGTAAAAAAGATGTAACTCTAGAAAGAGTACAGAGAAGAGCAACAAAGATGATTAGGGGACTAAAGCATATAAGGAACAGTTGCTGGAATTGGGTATGTCTAGTTTAATGAAGAGAAGGACGAGGGGGGACATGATAGCAGTGTTCCAGTATCTCAGGGGTTGCCACAAAGAAGAGGGAGTCAAGCTATTCTCCAAGGTGCCTGAAGGCAGGACAAGAAGCAACCTAGAACTAAGGAGAAACTTCCTGACAGTTAGAACAATTAACCACTGGAACAACCTGCCTCCAGAAGTGGTGAATGCTCCAACACTGGAAGTTTTTAAGAAGAGATTGGACAGCCATTTGTCCGAAATGGTATAGGGTTTCCTGCCTGAGCAGGGGGTTGGATTAGATGACCTCCAAGGTCCCTTCCAACTTTACTATTATTATTATTACACCCATACATATACATATATATATTAATCGCTGTCCATTTTGAATACATAATGGAAAGAGGAAGCTTGAGAGTTCCCAAGGTTGATACTGTATGGGACAAAACTGTGGCTTAATCTGGATGTTTTGCTTCAGATACCACAAAGTATGAGCCGAGGTGGCGCAGCAGTTAGAGTGCAGTACTGCGGGCCACTTTAGCTGACTGTGTTCAGCAGGTCAGTGGTTCAAATCTCACCGGCTCAAGTTTGACTCAGCCTTCCATCCTTCCAGGGTAGGTAAAATGAGGACCCAGATTGTTGGGGGCAATGTAAATATATATATACATTGCTTACTGGTGTACACCGCTTAGAGAGTGCTTGCACTTAAAGCGGTATATAAGTCTCATAACTAAATAAATAAAATAAATAAGTCCCCCTCCAGAAGGCAACCAAGAAACAGGTTGTGGAGAGGATATGTAGCGTCCCAGACAGGCCTGCAGACCCTGCTCAAGCAGCGCTTATATGTCATGTCCTGGATGGAAGGGAGAGAACTGCCAATAATATTTTCTGCCGTCCTCACCACTCTCTGCACCGCCTGCCTGTCTTGAAGCAGTAACGCTTCCAAACCGGGCTGTAATGCGATACGACAGGATGCTCTCGATCACGTGATTATGATCACACGACTGTGGGGATCCTGCGGTGGTTGTAACTGCAAGGACCGGTGGTCTGTTTTTAAAATGCCATTGTAACTTCTAGCGGCGGCTAAAGAAATAGTCATACATTGAGGGCTACCTGCACTTTATATCCAAGCATAATACTTGGGCATATGGACTGACTATAATCTTGATCTACAGAAAACAACTATAATTTAATCAGTGCGATAAATTAGCTTAAAACAAGGCAAATCCCCTGTGCAGATTAGGTTGGGCTTCAAAACCATCATCCATAACAGGGATCTCCAACCTCAGGAACTTTTGAGACTTGTGGACTTTTAATTCCCAGAATTGGGAAAAGGGATAGGTCGCTTTTTTCAGTGCTGTTGTAACTTGGAACGGTCACTAAACGGAACTGTTGTAAGTCAAGGGCTACCTGTACTGGACCGGCATAGGCCCTCGGCTTACCGTCGGTCACGATGCGATCTACAGTTTGACTGGGACCCCACACAGTCCCACCGAGGGGAGGATACCCTGCCCCATTTCGGTAAGCGATAGCCATTGTCGCTGATAATTATCCATTGATGAATGCCTCTTTTTTTCTTCTTCTTCTCTCTTTTTGATCCCAGGGATACCCGAAGGATGAAAACCGAAAAGGAAGCCGCGGGCAGCCCCGCTGCTGAATCTGAGGGGAGCCTCCAGCTTGTTGTGACGGGCATTGTGGGAGAGGACTTGCCCGCGGCGATGCCGTCGCAGATTAAAATGGAACCAGAAGAAGGAAACATGGCGTCTTGGGAAAACCGGTGGCAGAATTTCCTCAAAGAAGCAGAGTCGTCTTGTTCCATGTGGGGAAACACCCCAGAGGACTCCTTGGGTGGCTGGGAAGGCCAGCAGGACGTCCTGGGCAGAAGGATCGTCACCGTCCCGACCGCCTTCAAGCAGGATGAACAAACCGGCTCTGAGGAAGCCCATCGTCAGCTCTTCAGGAGGTTCCGCTACCAACCGTCGGAAGGTCCCAGAATGGCTTGCAAGCGGCTGAGGAAATTCTGCTGGGGATGGTTGCAGCCAGAAAGACGCACCAAAGACCAGATCCTGGAGCTGGTGATCCTGGAGCAGTTCCTGGAGATCCTGCCTCGGGAGATCCAGAGAAAAATCCGGGGATATGGAGCAGAGACCTGCTCGCTGGCGGTAGCGCTGGCGGAGGAGTTCTTGCTGAGGCAGCAAGAGACGGAGCAGCCGGAAGAGGAGGTGAGGTTATCGAATGCGTCCTTATCTTTCAGGAGGGTGGGTGTTGCCGTTTCCCTGTGGGATAATTCCAGGTTCAGTTCCTCCGGCGCCTCGTGGAACGCTGCTTTTCATGCCCACGTAACAATACCCCCTGCAGGGTGGGGCTTCCTTAGTGATGTCACTGCCTATACCCAAGCATCGTGAAAACACATCCTGTTCCATGCTTGCTGGCAAAAAAACTAGGCCAGCCTGTTGCCATGGTGAAAAAAGTGAGGCTGTACATCAGGGGTCTTCAAACTTGGCCCTTTTACGACTGGTGGACTTCAACTCCCAGAATTCTTCAGCCAGCGTGCCTGGCTGAGGAATTCTGGGAGTTGAAGTCCACCAATCATAAAAGGGTCAAGTTTGAAGTTTTCTTGCTCTACATTTAGGCAAGAAAAACCAAATGCACGGGTATAGTGTAGGTCAGACATGTCAAACTCGTGACGTCACGTGACGTGCGACGTTTCCGAACTTTTTTCCCATTGCCGGCAACGGGGTGGGCACGGTTTGGTTGTGATTTGTCCGGCCCGCAGGCCAGCAATTTAACATCCCTGGTATAGGTGATACCTGGTGTTTTTATGACTTGTGGACTTCAACTCCCAGAATTCCTCAGCCAGCGTGCCTGGCTGAGGAGTTCTGGGAGTTGAAGTCCACAAGTCATAAAAGAGTCAAATTTGAAGACCCCCGGTCTACATTTAGGCAAGAAAAACCAAATGCATGGGTATGGTATAGGTGGTACCTGGCTCAATAGTAGTAACTGTGAGAGGGATCTCGGAGTCCTAGTGGACAATCATTTAAATATGGGCCAGCAGTGTGCTGCAGCTGCCAAAAAAAGCCAACACAGGGCTAGGCTGCATTAACAGAGGGATAGAATCAAGATCACGTGAAGTATTAATATCACTTTACAATGCCTTGGTAAGGACACACTTGGAATACTGCATCCAGTTTTGGTCATCACGATGTAAAAAAGATGTTGAGACTCTAGAACAATGGTTCTCAACCTGTGGGTCGGGACCCCATTTGGGGTCGAACGACCATTTCACGGGGGTCGCCAAACAACGCAGTTCACCATTTTTTCCCCCTTTTCCTTAGCTGTGCTACTCCCTTTTATTCTATTGGCTTTTGAAAGCCAATAGAATAGACTCTCTTGAATAGTCTAATTCTATTGGCTTTCAAAAGCCAATAGGAATTGTCCAGGCTGTCTCTGCCCTGCTGAGCCCGCCAAAAGTCCCATTCTGCAAACGGTGCTGCACCAGTTGAGTAGTCCTCGACTTACGACCGGTTGAGTAGTCCTCGACTTACGACCGGTTGGGGGTCGCGGCAATAAAAAGGTTGAGAACCACTGCTCTAGAAAGAGTGCAGAGAAGAGCAACAAAGATGATTAGGGGACTGGAGGCTTAAATATATTTCTGGAATTGGGTATGACTAATTTAATGAAAAGAAGGCCCAGGGGTGATGTGATAGCAGTCTTCCAATATTTATGGGGCTACCACAAGAAGAGAAATTTCCTGATTCTGAACTGTCAATCAGCAGAATATAAAATGGTGAGATTTTCAAACACATTCTCAGTGTTCAGCTGTTTTCTGCAGGGGTGTACTGATGCCTGCCCATCACAGCTTGCACTGTTTCATTCTGGACCACTTGAAACTTCCAGATAGTCTTCAAAAGGCCATCCCCATGTAGAGCAGGTTGCAGCAGTCAAGCCATCAGATGACCAGGCCATGTCTGAAAGTCCCTTTGATCTAGGAAAAGATGCAACTGGTGCACCAGTTGGGCAATTGAGCAAAGGTCTTCCTGACCAGGGCTGCCACCTGCCCTTCAGACAGGAGTTGTGAGTCCAGGGTGACCCCAAGATTATGGGAAAGGGTGACCTCTCCAAGATCAAAGATGGGGTACCCCCAGACGACACGTAAGGTTCTTTCTAACTCTGGAGTTGCTTTTGATCTAATTCAGATGTTCTCACCCTTGGCAACTTTAAGACTTGTGGACTTCAACTCCCAGAATTCCTCAGGCAGCTTTGGGAATTGAAGTCCACAAGTCTTAAAGTTGCCAAGGTTGAGAACCCCTGAACTAATTGTTCACGTTTAATATTCTTAATAAGGCAAGAAGAAACAAGAATACAAGAAAACACCCTTGAACAATGAATGTATCTCAACTTTCAATAGTTGCTTTCACACAGCACTAAATTTATCAAAAGAGAAAGAATTATTATTATTAGTTATTAATTAACAATTATAGTTAGTTGTAGCATCTTTCCAGATCTGGAAAAAAAGTTAGCCTGTATTGGAATTTTAGCAGTTAGACTTTACCTTAGCAGGCCAATTATTCAAGAATAGGTTGTCTGAAATTTTCCACTCTGGAGCAGCTCTTAATTCTGCAACCCTGAGTAAAAAATACAATGGACTCCTTTTTTTGTCTAGTTTCGACCTCCCTCCCTCAAAAAAGGTATAATAATCCCAACTCTCAAATTCTAATCTTCCATCTTTTTTTTTTCCGTTCCTTTAGGTCCCAAGTCCAGTTGATGAACAGGCTGGAGATTTCTGTGATTTTGGACAGCCGTCCCTGGAGACCCCAGAGAGACCCCCCTATAAAGAGATCAAGCCTGAGGGAAACGAAGAAATTTCTTCATTAGGTCAGGATTGTCTGTTTCTTCAGCTCTGGATTCTGTGTTATGAATCCTTTTGAGAGCAGAGATTGAACACGGATGCTGTTTAATTGGGCTTGCTTCTTGGCTTCCAATTCCTGGAATTTTTATTTTTGTGTGTGTGTGTGGTTATCAAACCAATACATGTTAGCCTATCCAGTTAACTATGATTGGGCAAAAGGGTTAACATTTCTATTTTCCTCTTTTTTAATTTTTTTTTTTTTTTTAATTTTTAGGCCGGCAGAGATGGTGGCAGATGATGCCACCTAGAGGGCATGACTCAGGTTTTGGGTTTGCCCAGTGTGTCTGTTTGCATATGCGTTTTATTTATTTAAATATTTAAATCGTTTTGTGTAGGCCCGTGTTTCTCAGCCTTTGCAAGTTTAAGACGTGTGGACTTCAACTCCCAGAATTCCCCCAGCCAGCGTGGGAAGTTGAAATCCACACATCTTAAAAGTTGCTAAGGTTGAGAAACACTGATATAATTCTCCAGGGTATATACCAGGGGTCTTCAAACTTGGCTCTTTTATGACTCGTGGACTTCAACTCCCAGAATTCCTGAGCCAGCCTGGCTCAGCTTGGAAACCTCTCCCTTTCCCCTCAGCGTGGCTGGCTCAGGAATTCTGGGAGTTGACGTCCACGAGTCAAAAGAGCCAAGGTTGCCTATCTCTGGCCTAGGCCTAGGCCGCTTTATGACTCGTGGACTTCAACTCCCAGAATTCCTGAGCCAGCCTTGCTGAGGAGAAAGGTTTTGGCTCAGGAATTCTGGGAGTTGAAGTCCACGGGTCATAAAAGACCGAGGTTGCCTAACCCTGCCCTACACCATTTCAGAGATGTGACTGTCTAGGACAGGGTTCTTCAAACTTCCTGGCTGGCTCAGGAATTCTGGGAGTTGAAGTCCACGAGTCATAAAAGAGCCAAGGTTGCCTACCCCTGTTATATACTCAGCTCTGCATAATCAGCCTTATGCTTACAAACATTTAACATTTTAGAAATCATAATAATATTGACAGTATGGTCATAATGTGCCGTGATGTGATGGCACAGTGGTAATAATGTAGTACCGCAGGCTATTTCCGTTGACTGCCGGCTGCCTGCAGTTTGGCAGTTCGAGTCTGACAGCTCAAGGTTGACTCAGCCTTCCATCCTTCCGAGGTCAGTAAAACGAGGACCCAGACTGTTGGGGGCAACAGGATGACTCTGTAAAACCGCTTAGAAAGGGCTGTAAAGCACTGTGAAGCGGTATATCAGTCTGAGTGCTATTGCAGTTGTTATAAATCCTTTTTTTTTAATCTTTAAAGGTTTTAAGTTAACTAAATAATAATATGATGATGATGAAGATGATATAATGTTGGAAGGGACCTTGGAGGTCATCTAGTCCAACCCCCTGTTCAGGCAGGAAACTCTATACCATTTCGGACAAATGGCTGTTCAGTCTCTTCTTAAAAACTTCCAGTGTTGGAGCATTCACCAATTTTGGAGGCAGGTTGTTCCACTGGTTAATTGTTCTAGCTGTCAGGAAATTTCTCCTTAGTTCTAGGTTGCTTCTCTCCTTGGTTAGTTTCCATCCATTGTTTCTTGTCCTGCCTTCAGGTGCTTTGGAGAATAGCTTGACTCCCTCTTCTTTGGGACAGCCCCTGAGATACTGGAACGCTTGCTATCATGTCCCCCCTCGTCCTTCTCTTCGTTAAACTAGACATGCCCAATTCCAGCAACCGTTCCTTATATGTTTTAGCCTCCAGTCCCCTGATCATCTTCATTGCTCTTCTCTGTACTCTTTCTAGATCTAGATCTAAATCAGCGGTTCTCAACCTATGGGTCGCGACCCCATTTGGGGTCGAACGACCATTTTACAGGGGTCGCCAAACAACGTGATCCGCCATTTTCCCCCCTCAGGGGGCGCCACCACGCATGCGCGGCTCACTGCGCATGCGCACCGCGTCCGTGTGGCCGGGGGTTGCCGTATAAAAAGGTTGAGAACCGCTGATCTAAATCATCAGAATGTTCATAATCTGTACAAACGCTACTGTCCCCCGATTAATATGGTGTGTTGTTTGTATTTTACGATAACAGCATAAAGCAGAATTATAACATTGTACATTTTCCCCCCGTTCTAGAAAGCGACCAAGAGACGTATCCGCCTATTGAGGAAGATCAGTCAGTCACTTTTGACAGGTCAGAGATCAAAGATGTTGTGGTTGATTATCCCGAAGAAGATGAAACGCAGAATTCAGAAGAGACGCCCGTTAACGAGCTGGATGGGGTCAACCTTTGGAGATTCTCTGTCCCCCCAAGGCAGCACAAAGATGGGCCAAGGCATTCCTGCCCCCTTTGCGGGAGAGCGTTTACCCGAAAATCAAGCCTGAATAGACATCTTATTATCCATACCGGAGAGAAGCCCTACAAATGTTCTCACTGTGGGAAAAGCTTCAATCGGAAGACCAATCTGCTCTCCCACGAGATGGTCCACGCCAGGGACAAGTCGTATCAGTGTTCGGATTGTGGGAAAAACTTCAAACCGAAGTGGGGTGTCAACGCCTACCAGATAGACCACACCGGAGAGAAGGTGTACAAGTGCATTTCTTGCAAGAAGAGCTTCAGGCAGAGATTGGAACTGGGGAGACTGTTGAACGGGCAGAAGAAGGAGATGGCCGCAGGACAGTTGAAAGGGGAGTGGAAAGATGGAGTCTTTGGTCCTCTAGAAGAACAGGAGAAGCAGGTGGAAGGCGAGGTCGCAGAAGAAAAAAACATAGCCACAATAGGTCCCTATGACGACCTCGATAAACTTCACAGCTCGCCGGCGTTGTATAAGGGAAGGCAGGGCAGCCCCTGCCCGATTTGTGGGAAGGTCTTCGCCACGCAGTCGAGTGTGAATCGACACAAGAGAATCCACACCGGAGAGAAGCCGTATCAGTGCTCCGACTGTGGGAGAAGCTTTAACCAGAAGACGACTCTCCTAACCCACATTGTGATCCACACTGAGCAGAAGCCATATCAGTGCTCCGAGTGTGGGAAACACTTCCGGCATTCCTCGGGCCTGTTGGTGCACCAGAGGATGCACACGGGAGAGAAGCCCTACAAGTGCGCCATCTGCCGGAAGAACTTCACCCAGCGTGCACACGTGGTCAAGCACTTTGTGAGAAAGCACGCGCGCGAGAAACCGTCAGCTTACCTTTCTCAGCCCCCACAGTAATGGCGGGCAGCTGGAATAAGATGGCACTCTTTCACCTTTTAGTTTGGAAATTGATTTCTCCTCAGGAGCCCCTCCTTCCTGTCCTCACCACTTTTGTTTCCTTGTCGTTTGCAGCACTGAGCACTTAAACCAGGAATGCACGACCCGCAGCCTCAAGTCGCAAGGGGTGGGGGTGCCGTTTTGCAGGAGAAACACTCAAATTAAGACCTAAAATAGACTTGACTGTGCTTTAAAATGGCTCCTCCGGAAACTCGGCTGGAGGGGGAGAAGGGAAAGATGGAAAGATGGAACTGTCAGCTGCCTCAGCGAAATTGCTGAGTCCGTGAAACAGGTGCTGAGGCGAAGGTTCCCAAAGGCAGTGAAACAACATCTTAACTGTATGGGTAGTCCTTGCTTACTGACTGCTTTATTCAGTGACCAGTCAAAGTTACATCAGTGCTGAAAAGCTAACTTTGCGACTGGGGTCTGCACTTAACGACCTTCAAAGCGTTCCTCGATCATGTGTTCGCTCTTACAGTCAGTATGCTTTGTCCTGTGCCTGACCCGTTGTTTTTCTTTTTTTTTCCCCCTTCTCCTTTGCAGGTTGGAGAAATTGGAGAAGTTTACAAGAGAGCAAGCAGGCACACAATGGGGAATACACATTGAAAGCAATATATATGGCCATAGCAGCCAGTATATTCTCCATTGTGTACCTGCTTACTCTCTTGTAATCCCATTCTCTTCAAACTCTCTACTGTATAAGTGGGGTGGGGAGAAAACAGGTCAGGCATAGGAGAGCCTGCCTACAGAAAACCTTTTTTTTATGCCCCTTTACAGAAAGGAGAGATTGGAGATGAAAGGATTACAAGAGAATAAGCAGGGCAGACAATGGGGAATACTTTGGGCTGTTTACATAGTCAGTATCAAGAGATTGATTTCAATGTGTATTCCCTATTGTTTGCGTACTCCTTTACAATCCCTTTCTCTCCAGTGAATATAAATATATACATTAATTCCCTTTTTTCTTATTATCCCAGTGCCGGGCTTAGCATTCCAAAGGGTCGGGGGAAATAGAGGAAACAGAAGCCCAGTGACAGTCATGTGATTTCCCACTTAGCGACCACTTCACTTAACAACAGCTGTTGGTCCCAATTGTGGGAGCTAAACTTGGACTACCTGGGTTCCAGACTACGGTAGCCATATCAAAGAGTTGGCAAGTTTTTGAGTGAATGGGAATGACTGCAATGTGTAACTGGTTGTAGGTAACCCTGGGGTTCTTTTTGCACTGCAGCTTTTTCAGATGAAATGCTTGGTTTTTATGTTAGTTTTTAGGTATCCCTTAGTATATGTGTGGAGAGGAGAGATGAAAATGTGTAACATTGTGACATAAGCCCCCACCCCTTTAGTATATGTGCCAGGACATACGCACATAAGAAAGGGACACAGCTTGCTGTGCAATGCTGCCACGCTGCTTTCATCATGTTGATTTGGGTTCACCTGTAACACTTTTTAATACTTTTTTAAAATTTTGAATTTTCACGAGAACTTCAAACATTTACATAGTGCTGGTACAATTTTAACAGGCCCTTAATTTTCGGATGACAAACTGTTTCCCAGACGCTGTGCTAATACTGTTGCTTAACCGTGGCGATTTGAAGAGGTGGGTACTTCAGCATGGGGAATCCGTCTTCTGAAATGTTATCTAGACATTTTTATTCTTTAGCATTGACTGATGTGGCTGCTATAAGTAGGGAACTGAATGACTTTTTAAACTTGGCTGTTTCTTATCCCAGCCATCAAATATGTATAGCAAACTTCACTTTGGAAAGAAATTGAATCTATTGTTATGTTTACTCAATTATCATTAACGTAACCCGATGCTTGTTTTCATCCTCTGCATTCCTGCGTTCCTGCTGAATTAGGTTGAAAATATTTCAGCCCTTTGACTAATTTCTCAGAAATTAGTTTCAATTTGGTTCTCTGTTGCAAGTAAGTGATGGGCACAATCTTTGTCAATGGAGGGGGAAGGTAGAAATTTGTTACTCTTGGCAGAAGCTGATTAGAATAAACCTAATGGGAACATTGGATCAGAGGCAACATCTCTTGTCACATGTCCAGTATGGGAATTATTGCAACAGAAATTTCTCTAATATTCTTGCTTACTTTAGAGTCGGGTTATTGTGATGGCATTTTTTTTTTCTGGACAAAGAAATATTCATTGGTATGGGAAGTGGATTTATGCAAAAGGATAAAAGATCTCCACTTAATGTCAGACTAGATTTTCAGGGAATAGTATTCCCAAGGTCAAAATTCCATTTTTTAAAATTAAGGGAAAAAACCCATACCTTGAAATCTGAGTCTTCTTTTCAAAGACCACATTAGATCTTGGAGGGAGGACAGAGAATATAGAATAGAACAACAACTTTATTGTCTCTTTGAATGTACGCTAATTGGCATACACATTAAAATGAAATTTCGATGCATACAGCTCCCAAAGGGTCACCACCTCCCATATAGACTACATAAATATGACAAAAAAAATAAATACAGAATTATGCATATACCCACATATATGACACAGAGAAACAACAAACTGGTATAGGGTTTCCTGCCTGAGCAGGAGGTTGGACTAGATCATGGCTTTTCAACCTTTTCACCCATTATACCACTTTTAGGATATAGCAATATCCGAGTACCACCAGTCGCCTAGCAAGATGTCAAAAATATGTTGACCCCCCCAAAAAAAAACCGGAAAAAAGTGATAAAGTACAGATAGTTCTCAACTTACAACAGCTCACTTAGTGAGTGTTCGAAGTTACAATGGCACTGAAAAAAGTGCCCCCCCCCCCAAGCCACAGCTGAGCAAGATACCTGCCTGCCCACCCAGCGGCACTCTTTCACTTGTCTGAGGTTTCCATTGTTGTGAGCATTTCTGTTGAGGATTGGCAGCGGGGGGTGGGGGGGTGTTTGTTTTTTATTCCCCCTGTCTGCTGGGTGGTTGGAGCAGATTTTGGTTACTTCACATGACCCTGGGACACTGTGACCATCATAAATATGAATCAGTTGCCAAGCATCTGAATGTAAATCACGAGACCCTGGAGATGCTGCAACATTCCAGCTGATCGGCGCTTCTTTTAGGCTCAGCAGAAGCAACCAGGATCAGCGTCGAGTTCCAGCTGGAGCCTGGCGCTGATCCTGGCGCTTCCGCTCAGCCCTGACAGCCCTGCAGCTCCAGCCATCTCTCGCTCAAACTTGTGCGGTGCTGCCATCGGTTCAGCTCATTCCCCTCCCCTGCTACCACTTTTCTAGGATGTTCGCGTGCCACCTGCCAGGTGCCAATGTACCACAGGTGATACCCGTACCACTGGTTGAAAAGCCCTGGACTAGATGACCTCCAAGGTCCCTTCCAACTTTATTATTATTATTATAACACAGTCTAGTTCGGATTATGTATAGATGTGATGGCAAGAAAAATGAACCTTGCAAGTTTACCAGACGGATGGCATAGGGAGCAAAGCTATTACAGAATTGGGTAGTCCTACTAGAAATACTTCAAAACCTCCTCCCAGAGGGGAGCAACAGGAACAGACCGTGAAGTGGGTGTGTGGAGTCTCGAACAATGCTTCAAGCTCTAAGCACATAGCGCTTATAGGCAGCGTCCTGAATCCCAGGGAGCGAGCTTCCTATGATCTTCCCGGCTGTCCTTACCACTCTATGGACTTTCTATCTGAGGCACTGTGGCCACCAAACCAGACAGCGATGCAGTTTGTTCAAATGTGCCTCTGTAAAAAGTGGACAGGACAGAAGGAGAAAGACGTGCTCTCCTCATCCGACGCAGGAAATGCAGACGCTGTTTTGCACGCTTCACTAAGGGTGAAGTGTGGAGAGACCAATTCAGATTGTTATGATCTGCACCCCCAGATACTTCATAGTGTTGACCACTGCTACAGTGGCATCCTTGATAGTGGAGTGTGGCTATGCCGGCTTTTTGTAAAATCCACAGTGCTCTTCAGATTCATGAGAAATCTTATGAGATTTCAAGATCCCAGCTTTTTAAGATGATTTCGTTTTTCTTAATACGCACACATGTACAATAAAAGTCCCATTTCCTGTAACTTTTACCTGGGCGAAGGTGCGCCACAGGTAAAACTTTTTGAATCGAGGCACCTCAGATGGGCTAACTTTCAGAACGCAGCCAGACGTGGGACACACAACACCCTGTGGGATTGAGATTTTGCAAAATTTATAAAACATTCTATGACATAGACATTATAATAAAGCAGTTTATGACATAGTCAGGTTGGTCTAGTGCAGGGGTTCTCAAATGTGGCCCTTTTATGACTGCACTTCAACTCCCAGAATTCCTCAGCCAGATGGCTGAGGAATTCTGGGAGTTGAAGTCCACCAGTTATAAAAGGGCCACATTTGAAGACCCCTGGTCTAGTGGTTAAGGCACAAGACAAGAAAGCGGGAGACCATGAGTTCAAGTCCCATCTTAGCCAGGAAAGCCTACTGGGTGATTTTGGGCCGATCTCTCTTAGCCCGGCCCACCTCACAGGGTGGTGGTTGTGGGGAGAATAGAAGTTAGATGTATTGGATATGTTGCCCACCTTATTTGTAAAAATAATACAGGCGGCATATCAATAACTATAAATAATACAAAATGTCATAAAACATTTCCTTTGCTGATGTTTGAATGGCCTACAGTTCCAAATGGGTTATTTTTAAGATGGATACGGTAACACAAGAGCAGAGTTGGAAGGGACCTTGGAGGTCTTCTAGTCCAACCCCTGCTCAAGCAGGAGTCCGTGTACCATTCCAGATACGTGGCTATCCAGTCTTTTCTTACAAGCCTCTAGTGATGAAGCACCCACAACTGTTGACTAGATCCGGGGTGTTGCTTAGTAAGGAAATGCAGGAAAGCAGAAGTTGCCTTTTAAGCTTTACGTTTTTATTCAGCTGAACAAAGACGGGCCTCTCTAAAAGAGAGAAGCCCCAAATGACAGGAAATCTTTTTTTATATACACATTTTATTGGTTTTTTTTTTTAATTTTTACATCAAAGTGCTCAGGAAAACACCATGTGAAAGGGTAATCAATCATAGCAAAACAAGTCATGTATATATAACTAAAATTAATACCTTAACAATTCCCCCTTCTATTTCCCTCATACGATATAACAAATTTAGCTTAATCTATTTCTTCTTAAAATTCAATCAATCCACAGAATCATCCCTATTACATCTATATAAATCACTCCTGCTTTTAAGCTCCACTAATTTCAATTAACATATTCCAATTAATATTAAACAAACATATTAATAAAACTTTGGGTATCCCTTCTACAACGCTCATAATATTCCAAGAATAACATTCTAATACTTTCACATATATTCCATCTCTTAATTTAATAAATCATTAATTAATACCCTTTCTTCTCTTATCATAGCTCTCTCTAATTCTTCTGCTATTACAAAATAGTTTTCTATATAAACAGAGTAAAAAAAACAACAAAAAAATCATTTCGACCTGTTAAGTAAAATTTAAATCTCAATCAAATTAACTATCGTATCTAAGACAAACATATTATTACACCACTTATTATCTTACTGCTTTCATTTACTCAATTAGATTGCCAAATCAGTCCAAATCTCTCAAGCCTTTTTGACCCAATAATTAAAATTTTAAATCACATTTAATCACATGACAGGAAATCTTTATACTTGTTGGTTACATAAGCAATCCACCCAGAAAGACTTCACCAGACTTGGCAGAAGAAAGCAGAAATATTTAAAATGTTCCTTTTTGGGTGTTTCCCTAAAGACACTGCACATTCTCGGGTGACCTGGGACATTTGGTGTTTTCCATGCTGACCTTCTATGACTCTGCATCCATGACTCTGTCAGTATCCAGAGACAGCGGGGCCATCTGCACATATTCACAATTTATGCTTTCTATGCTTTTCCCCCTGATTCCGGGTCAACACAACTTGTGAAGGCTAGCCTTTCCACTGATTAATTGTTCTATGAGGAAATTTCTCCTTATTTTTAGGTTGCTTCTCTCTTTGATTAGTTTCCATCCATTGCTTTTTTCTGCCTTCAGGCGCTTTGGAGAATAGCTTGACTCCCTCTTATTGTGGCAGCCCTTGAGATATTGGAACACTGCTATCATGTCCCCCCTTGTCCTTCTCTTCATTAAACTAGACATACCCAATTCCTGCATCTGTGCCTATATCCCAGCTTTTCCAATGAAGACCTTAGAACAGTGTTTCTCAACCTTGACAAATTTAAGGCATGTGGACTTCAACTCCCAGAATTCCACAGCCAGCATTGCTGACTGTGGAATTCTGGGAGTTGAAGTCCACATGCCTTAAATTTGTCAAGGTTGAGAAACACTGCCTTAGAAGCTCTGTCATTTTTGAAGACATTGAGGAAACTGGTAAGAAAATATCTCTGAAAGGATAATCCAATAATAGATCATGGCTTCTTTCGGAGAGAGGAAGAGATGGAGTGTCAAGATTCCAGTTGAAGAGCCCAATGAAGTAAACACACCAGAGAGAGACATTGCAATCTCTTAATGTAAAACTTTATTTGGCATAACATACCGGAATAGACAGTAGAAAGAAAACCAGCTCTATCAATATGGCAGGAATTAAAATTATAATTAAAAGAGTAAAACCTTCCCTCCCCTCTCTGACAGTTCAGGTCACATTGTCCAATTGATCTTCGGACGTTATTACAAGAAGAAAGTCTCTGTTCGCCAAAACATCTCTTCAGTGACATCGGCTCTCACGCTAACAACAACAACAACAACAACAACAATGGAGTTGGAAGGGACATTGGAGGTCTTCTAGTCCAACCACCTGCCCAGGCAGGAAATCCTATACCATTTCGGACTGGCTGTCCAGTCTCTTCTTAAAAACTTCCAGTGTTGGAGCATTCACTGCTTCTGGAGGCAGGTTGTTCCACTGGTTAATTGTTCTGTCAGGAAGTTTCTCCTTAGTTCTAGGTTGCTTCTCTCTTTGATTAGTTTCCGCCGGTTGCTTCTTGTCCTGCCTTCAGGCGCCTTGGAAAATAGCTTGACTCCCTCTTCTTTGTGGCAGCCCCTGAGATATTGAAACACGGCTATCATGTCCCCCCTCGTTCTTCTCTTCACACAAATAGAAGCCACCTGTGCATTCCAAACGTTTTCTCTCCCCCCTCATAACTGTAGGCTAGCTAGCTCAGGCTGGCTGAGGAATTCTGGGAGTTGAAGTCCACAAGTCATAAAAGGGCCAAGTTTGAAGACCCCTGAGATAGAAGCAGCGTGGCAGTTCTAATGCAAGAGGGTCTTCATTAGCTTGACAGGGAGATTATTTAAGAGTTGACAACCCTGGGCTAAACACTTCAGGTGTCCAGGGAGGGTAAGGATGATCAAATATGCATTGTGATGTCATAATTCCAACCCTCTGATTTACATATTGATGCTTGGGAGGTGGTTATGAGAGGGTCTCCAATGTGGTGTCTCATTTTTTCCCTCATAGCAGATAGTACCAGATGCCTATATCGAAGTCAGCATGTGAAAAGAAGGACTAGGAGTGACATGATAGCAGCGTTCCAATATTTGAGGGGCTGTCACAGAGAGGAGGGGAACAACCTATTCTCCGAAGCAACCGAAGGCAAGACAAGAAGCTATGGATGGAAACTAACCAGGGAGAGAGCCTAGAACAGTGGTGGCGAACCTATGGCACGGGTGCCAGAGGCGGCACTTGGAGCCCTCTCTGTGGGCACACAGACTGTTGCCCCAGCCTTGCCTCCCTCCACGACCCCCTCGTCTCCAGCAGCCCCCCAAAAGGAGAGTCGCCCCTGAGCGTGGCCCACATGGAGCACCACAGCTAAGGACATGGCAGGCAGGCAGAGTAGACAAGAGTCTGCCCTCACACCCCATCATGCAGTTGTTGCTGCAGGGTGCAGGCAGGTGTGGCTGCCATAGTACTGCTAGGCTGCCTGGGCGATCTGCAGTGGGCCCTGGAGGCGGTGAGTGGCCCTACGGGCAAGCGGGGTGGGGAATGGGGGTGGGGTGGGGGCGGGGCAGGGGGTGGGGCGGGGGCGGGCTTAGTTTTTGGGTACTCGGTCTCTAAAAGGTTCGCCATCACTGGCCTAGAACTAAGGAGAAATTTCCTAACGGTGAAGACAATCAGCAGAATGGCTCGGCTTCCGAAGTTGTGGGTGCTAGTCACGTAACCTAGATAAAACAGTGTTTCTCAGCTTTGGCAACTTTTAAGATATCTGGACTTCAACTCCCAGAATTCCCCAGCCAAACATTTTGAAGTTGCCAAGTTTGAGAAACATTGGTCCAGTTCGGAGCTGGGGCCCCTTTATGATTTGTGGACTTTTAACTCCCAGAATTCCTGAGCCACCATGGCTGGCTCAGGAATTCTAGAAGTTGAAGTTGTCAGAAGTAAGTCTTCATCCTGGTTCATCCAAGCCGGGAATAAATAAGCAACATGGCGATTACTTTGGGAAGAAGGTTACAGTTTATTGAAGAAGCAGAAAGATGGTCCTTGCAAGAAAAAGCAGAGGAGAGGACAGAGGAGTTGAGCACATGGGCAGTAGGCTTTTATATCCCCTCTAGCCTTGTTTGGAATAGTAATAGTAATAGTAGTAAAGTTGGAAGGGACCTTGGAGGTCATCTAGTCCAACCCCCTGCTCGGGCAGGAAACCCTACACCATTTCGGACAAATGGCTGTCCAGTCTCTTCTTAAATACTTCCAGTGTTGGAGCATTTACTGCTTCTGGAGGCAAGCTGTTCCACTGATTAATTGTTCTCACTGTCAGGAAGTTTCTCCTTAGTTCTAGTTTGCTTCTCTCCTTGATTAGTTTCCACCCGTTGCTTCTTGTCCTGCCTTCAGGTGCTTTGGAAAATAGCTTAATTCCCTCTTCTTTATGGCAGCCCCTGAGATATTGGAATAGTTTCCTGTTCCTTTGGCATGAACCTTGAGGCTATTTCTGAGTGTTTGTCTAGGCCACAGGTCGGCAACCTGCGGCTCCGGAGCCGCATGCGGCTCTTTGAGCCTTCCCCTGCGGCTCCCAGCCTCCTCTGCCTTTGCAGAGAGAGACAGAGACAGAGAGAGGAATTGCACTTCCCTGCTTCTCTCTCTCTCTCTCTTTTTGTGTGTGTGTGTGTGTGTGTGTGTGTGTGTGTATAAAAAAAAGAGAGTACACTCACAGTGTTCTCCGAGGAGCTGAAAAGCTTACTGGACGGAGCTCTTCCCTTTGCTGCGTCTCTGCAGGAAGCAGGAAGGGCAGGAGAGAGCTAGCTAGCCCAGCTAGGCTGACTCAGGAATTCTGGGAGTTGAAGTCCATGAGTCATAAAAGAGACGAGGTTGCCTACCCCTGAGATTGTTGGAGAACAGCCTGAAGCTTGTCAGGTGAGCAGCAGATAGGAGAGGGGGGGGAGAAAGAGAGAGAGAGAGAAAGAGAGAGAGGGAGAGAGAGAGAGAGAGGAAAGAGAGAGAGAGAAAGAAAGAGAGCGGGGGAAGAGGAGTGGCAGACCAAGGGCAAATAGAGAGGGAGAGAGAGAGAGAGACCCTTTTGACATCTAAAATGAAGATAACACTGCATATATCCTTTTTTTACCTGTGTGTGTGTGTGTGTGTGTGTGTGTGTATGTATATATATACATATACATATATATATATATACACACACACACACATACATACACACACACACAAACACACACACACAAACACACACACACCTATAATAAAGGTAAAAAAGGATATATGCAGTGTTATCTTCATTTTAGATATCAAAATGGTTTTGCGGCTCCCAGTGTTTTGTTTTTGGTGGGAAACGGGTCCAAGTGGCTCTTTAAGTGTTTTGGGTTGCCTACCCCTGGTCTAGGCCTTGATATCTGTGGTTTAATCCTATTATCATAGCCTGCTTCCCAGGTGATGGGGCTAATGACTCCTAGAGTTTGGGTGGGGCATGCAGATTTTCTCTTTGTCTTCTTGAGTACTCTGGCTTCAACTTTCTGATGGTTTTACATCTGCACTTGTATGGGGTTAGCTCTTGCTTGGGGCAGAGAGATAGACTTGGAGCCAGGTTTGGTTTTAAAAAAAAAATCCTTTGGAGGAAAAATATATTTTTCTGCCCTTTTAATATTTCCTTCTGTGAGCTAACTTCCCTCAAAGTCCACAAGACAGAAAAGGGCCATGTTTCCCACCCCGGGTCTAGTTAAATAATTTGGAAAAGGGCAGAACTAATTCTACACTGTATGGATCAGGGGTCTTCAAACTTGGCCCTTTTATGACTTGTGGACTTCAACTCCCAGAATTCCTCAGCCAGCGTACCTGGCTGAGGAATTCTGGGAGTTGAAGTCCACAAGTCATAAACGGGCCAAGTTTGAAGACCCCTGGTATAGATAATTCCCTTGTAATGTCTCTCCCCTTCTTACATCTTAGTTTATATAATTATAAACTTATAGATTATACATAGATTATATAGATTTATATAATCACAAATCTATGATTGCTTCGTTGCGTCAGTACGGTTGAGATAGTATTCTTTGTTACACTGCCTTCCTATTTTTTGAAACTATTGGTAAAAATAGAAAAAGAGCCTCGGAGACCATCTTTAGTTTAGGGTCTTTCTCGCTTGTGAAAGACTACGTTTCCCAGGAGCCTTTGCGAGGCACATAGGCACCTTCCCCGGAGGCTTTTTTTCCTTCTTTTGTTTTCTTTTTCCTTTTTGCAAAGGGCGGCCTGAGGGAGGGGGCGCAAAACAATAAAACAAAACCCACCTTTTCACACGGGGACCCTGTTCTGGTGAGGGGGAAGCTTTACAAACATAATACCCATACTCACACACCCACACCCACCCACACACACAAAAAGGAGCTCTTAAAAAGCAGCCCAATGGAGAGAAGTGCATCGCAGATGCAACTGCTAGTTGGCCCTTCCAGCCTCGCCCCTTCCTGCCCAGCAACCCTCCCACGGAAGCGGCTGTATTTATTTAATGCTCCTTGCCTTGCGGCGAGCTCTACTTCCTGGTGGGGGAGGCGTCCTCATTTTTTTCGGGGGTTTCTCCCGCGGGAATCCTGGTGAGTGGCCGATCGGAGGGTTTTTAAGGGCTTTTGCAACGGGGTGTAAGGCTAAGCCCCATTGATTTCAATGGGATCGACTCCCCGGATAGTCCTAAAAGCAAACCCAGGAAAAGATGGACTTCCTAAGCAGCCCAGAGGCGGAGGAGGTTTGCGTCGCGGAGTTGCCACCCCTAACATTTCACGTCTTAGTTTTTTTGGGGGGCAGGGGTCTGGTTCCCCCCCCCTTCAGCCATGGAAGCTACTGGGGGCCCTTTGGGCCGGCCCCTCCCTCTCAGCCCCAGAGCCAGGATGGGGAAGGAATGGGGAGACCCAATTCTAGCCCCCCCTCTTAGCCATGGTAGTTTATTGGGGTTCTCTGTGCCAGTCCTTCTCTTTGGGGGGGGGGGTTAGAGGCTGGGGTGCTTTCTCTGCCCCCTTGAGCTTCTGAAGAAACATAGTTAAACTCCTATGTTTGGGGTCAAGCCAGTATCTTTATTTATTTATTTATGAGACTTATATACCGCTTTAAGTGCAAGCACTCTCTAAGCGGTGTACACCAGTAAGCAATGTATATATATATACAATATATATCTTGAACCATAATCGTATCCAAAGGGGTTGGCCTGAGATGCAAAGCCCCCAAAGACTTGCCAAGGTCAAGGTGTTGTGCGGAGACAGGTAGTCCTCTCGTTAACGACTGCAAATGAGCCCAAAATGTTTTTTTTTAAGTTTTTATTGGTTTTTTTAAAAATACAGTTCAACGGTGTGTCGTCTTGAGTTCATCGTTCACTAGTACAAATTAAATCCCTAATCCCTTGCTCGTTTCTCCAACCATTGGTAAAATAAGTCCCACAGTTGAAAATGTGCTGTGTCTTCTTTTCCGTTCACTCTCAGAGCGAGTCTGTCCATTTCTGCGCAGTCTAGTATTTGTTTTAATTATTTCCTCCTCCATTTTTCCATTTTGGTGCAAATAGGTCTTGCTGCTGTTGTCACATTTCTGTTGCTCATTTGTTAAGTGAGGTTTTTGCCCTGTTTTACGACCTTTCTTGCCACAGTTGTTAAGTGAATTGCTGCAGATGTTAAGCTAGTAAGACTTTAAAGTGGATCTGGCTTCCTTCATTGACTTTGCTTGTGAGAAGGTTGCAAAATGCGATCACAGGACCCCAGGATATTGCAAACCTACATAAATATGAGTCAGTTTCCAGGAGTCTGAAATTTGATCATGTTACCTTGGAGATGCTGCAGTAGTGTGAAAAATGGTCATAAGTCACTTTTTTCAGTGCCGTTGTAACTTTGAACAGTTACTAAACAAACTGTTGTAAGTTGAGGACTACCTGTACAGTTGTTCAGCCTTGACCCATGCTGGTGAGTTGTTACAACAAAGTTCCTATTTTTTACATCTGAATAACTGCACCTCGGAGCTGTAGAAACACTAGCTTTCTCAGCGCAAATTGGGGAGAGAAATATTTTCCTATTATCACAGGGGTAGGCCACCTTGGCTCTTTTATGACTTGTGGACTTCAATTCCCAGAATTCCTGAACCAGCCATGCTGGGGAAAGGGAGAGGTTTCCAAGCTGAGCCAAGGCTGGCCCAGGAATTCTGGGAGTTGAAGTCCACGAGTCATAAAAGGGCCAAGTTTGAAGAACCCTGTCCTAGACAGTCACATCTCTGAAATGGTGTAGGGCAGGGCTAGGCAACCTTGGCTCTTTTATGACTCGTGGACTTCAACTCCCAGAATTCCTGAGCCAGCATGGCTAAGCTTGGAAACCTTTCCCTTTCCCCTCAGCATGGCTGGCTCAGGAATTCTGGGAGTTGAAGTCCACGAGTCATAAAAGGGCCAAGGTTGCCTACCCCTGTACTATCAGTTCAGAATTTGTCTCCATCCAGTTTAAATACTGATCACGTTCCCTGAAGGGTAGCTGCTGTTTCTCATCCTCTGGGAGTCCCCTAATGGAGCTCTGGGTTCAATTCCTACTTTTTGCCCCTTTCAATGTTGTATTTTTTTTTTTTAAAAGCCCAGCTATATAGGGCATACCAGAGCAATTGGTTCAGGAATTGCTGTTGCTAAATGATACAAAAATCACATGACTGCACTACTTAGCAACAGCAGTTCTGGCAGTCCCAGTTGTTATTGTTAAGCTAGGACAGGGGTCTTCAAACTTGGCCCTTTTATGACTTGTGGACTTCAACTCCCAGAATTCCTCATCCAGGCATGCCAAATTCTGGGAGTTGAAGTCCACAAGTCATAAAAGGGCCAAATTTGAAGACCCCTAAGCTAGGAGCATGTGGGAGGGAGGACTTCACATGATTGTGACTTCCTGCCGGCTTGCCTGTTCTTTGCTTGTGGGAAACCAGCCAGGAAACATCCAAAATTGTGATTATGTGACCATGGGATACTGCAAAACTTGAAACTCCCAAGGATGGTCGTAAGTACCACTTGTTCAGTCCCAATGTAACTTGGAATGCTTGCTGAATGAACGGTCATAAGTCAACAACTGCCTATATAGGTTGGACTCAACTTGCAACCATTCATTTAGTGACCATTCAAAGTTACAAGGGCACTGTAGTGACTTATGACCAGTTTTCACGCTTATGACCGTTGCAACAGTCCCATGATCGCATGATCAAACTTCGGGTCCTTGGCAACTGGCATGTATTTATGACGGTTGCACTGTCCCGGGATCATATGATCACCCTTTGTAACCTTCCCAGCGTCTTTCAACAATCAAGTCAACGAAGGAAGCCAGATTTGCTTAACAACTGCAGTGATTCACTTAACCACTGTGGCAAAAGATCGTAAAGTGGGGCAAAACTCACTCGCTTGTAGGAACAGAAATTTGGGGCTCGGTTGTTGTTGTAAGTTGAGGACTACCAGCATGTGTCGACAGGCTTCGGGACCCCTTTTATCCCCCCCCCAAAAAATGTGTGCTTTGCTGTGTTGATTGGCAAGATGGGAGCTGCTCTTCCCTTGTTGATTTACAACAGGGGCCTTCCAACTTGGCAACTTTAAGACTTGTGGACTTCAACTCCCAGAATTCCTCAGCCAGCCTGTGGCTGTTTTAATTGCCCACGCGGCCGATTGATGGGTCTTACGGAAGGCTAGGTCCCATTTCCTGTCCTCTGCCTTAAGTGCCTCAGCCATGTCCCCGGAGACCGCTGTCTGGGACACCAGAGGGGTCCAGGGTTCGTCTACCTTTGGTACCTCCAGCGCCTCAGTTAGATCTGTGGAGGTGCTAAATATCCTTTTGTCCGTTCCGCCAATAGAGGGGAAGGAAGATGGGGAAACCCATTGCTTCTTGATCCCTGTGAGGAATATGGAGGGGCAGGGAACATGGTGTTGGGCTGTCACGGTTTCGAAGAAAACTGGGTTCGGACTCACCTCGGATGTGGCTTGTGGCTGAGGGAACTGATCGGACCCTATTGTTGTGATTCGGTGCCAGCCTATGCTCCCAACAGCTGAGTCTGAGGGATCTGAGGAGGAGGTGGAGGAGGCATTTGAAGGGCCATCAGGGGCAAAGGGAGGCTCCGATGAATTACAGGATTCACGGTTTGATGCAGAGCCTGGGCCCTCCAGTCGTGTTCCTGATGAAGCTCAGCTGTGTGAGGAGAATGAGTCAGACTTGGAGGACTCACACCTGATGGACATGCTAATTGATGCACGCACACGTCAATTAGCGAGAGTAAATCAGCAGCAGTCAATACGGCAACTCCAGAGTAAAAGGAGAAGGCACTGAGAGGCAACGCCTTGGGACTGCTGTATAAAAAGAGGAGGTGTGGGCGGTGCTGGTTGCTGAAGGCAACCATTTGCAAAGTACTTCTTGGGATCCTGGTCTGTTCATCTTGCTTGTGACTACTCTTCTGTTGCATCGTGTTTTCTGTGGACTAGTTCCTTCATGTGGATTGCGTTTTGCTGTTTGTGTTTTGGACTATTTGGCAGGTTTGTCACGCATATTAAAAGGGGTTTGTTTTGTTTTAAAGTCTCCAGCCTATTTTATCAACAGGGGTTTGGTCTTTGTGCCTTTAACAAGGACGGCTATAGGTTGGGATAGAACACCTCCAGCGCCTCAGTTAGATCTGTGGAGGTGCTAAATATCCTTTTGTCCGTTCCGCCAATGGAGGGGAAGGAAGATGGGGAAACCCATTGCTTCTTGATCCCTGTGAGGAATATGGAGGGGCAGGGAACGTGGTGTTGGGCTGTCACGGTTTCAAAGAAAACCGGGTTTTCCCTCAGCCACAAGCCTCAGATGTGGCTTGTGGCTGAGGGAACTGATCGGACCCTATGTTAGCCATAGTAGTGGCCTTGCGAAGCAAGGGGAGAAACAGAGCCGGGTTAAAAAGGCCTCCAGATGGAGAGGGGTCCGGGGGAAGCTCTTCCTCCTCTGACCAATTGAATTCCGGCTGGTCACCTCCCGTGGGAGATGAATAGCCACTAATTGAGGAACGGGCGGGAGACGCGGGTTCCTGATACAGGGGAATCCCTGCTGGAGGGGCGGAAGGAGAAATGGCTGATGTAGAGGCCTCCGGCGCGGGCGGGTGGTAAGAATGTTCCACGAGTGCCCGGTCCACAACTTTGGAGAGCAGGGCCTCAAGGTGGCCATCGGAAAAGATATACCGTATATGCCGGCGTATAAGGCAACTTCCGGAAGCGCTAAAATCGGCGCCAAAGACGGGGGTCGTCTTATACGCCGAGTCGTCTTATACGCCGGAAATACTGGTAGTTTCCGGCGTATAAGACGACGTTCTAGGAATGCGGCTCGGCGACAAAGATGGGGGTTGTTTTATACGCCGGGTTGCCTTGTACGCCAGCATATACGGTATCTCCAAGTTCTGGCCCCTTGAGACCGGCAGCCATTGGAGCGAAGGTAGCCTCAGGGGCTGAACCTGAAGCAAATGTCGGTGGGCTGGTGGATGTGTGCTGAGCTGACGGGGTGATGGAGTTGTCCGCCAAGGACCACACGCCTTGAGCCGGGGTGGAAGGTCCCAGAGGGAGATCGAATTCCGGGGCCACCAGTTGATCCCTCTCATTCCTTGTCTGTTTCTGCGCTCTGGTGGACTTCTCCAGAGCGTGGTGCCTACGACTGGCCTGCTTCTCTGCCAACTTGGAAGGCTTCTGGAGGGTGGCCTTTGCCTTGTCCTGGGCTGGCTGAGGAATTCTGGGAGTTGAAGTCCACAAGTCCAACACTGGGAGTTTTTAAGAAGAGACTGGACAGCCATTTGTCCGAAATGGTGTAGGGTTTTCTGCCTGAGCAGGGGGTTGGACTAGATGACCTCCAAGGTCCCTTCCAACTTTACTACTATTATTATTAAGTCATAAAAGGGCCAAGTTTGAAGACCCCTGATTTACAAGGTTGATGGGATTTTGGGGGAGGGAGGGGGGTTTCCTTGTACTGAGGTACAACGTCTTTTGTCCTGCTCAGGTGACTTCCCCCCCCCTTGTTTCCTTAACGACTTGGTTCCTTCTTACCTCCCATCCTGAAGGGATCTTTTAGAGGAGATTCCTGGCTTTTCTTCCCTGTCTTGCTTACGTGCCTGCTTCATCTTTAGGTATGGCAGCTTCTGACTAGTGCAGTGGTTCTCAACCTTTTTACTGCTGCGACCCCCCCCAACCGGTCGTAAGTCGAGGACTACTCAACCGGTCGTAAGTCGAGGACTACTCAACTGGTGCAGCACCGTTTGCAGAATGGGACTTTTGGCGGGCTCAGCAGGGCAGAGACAGCCTGGACAATTCCTATTGGCTTTTGAAAGCCAATAGAATTAGACTCTATTCAAGAGAGTCTATTCTATTGGCTTTCAAAAGCCAATAGAATAAAAGGGAGTAGCACAGCTAAGGAAAAAGGGGAAAAAATGGCGGACTGCGTTGTTTGGCGACCCCCGTGAAATGGTCGTTTGACCCCAAATGGGGTCCCGACCCACAGGTTGAGAACCACTGGACTAGTGCCAGGGGTAGGTAACCTCGGCTCTTTTATGACTCATGGGCTATGCTGACTCAGGAATTCTGGGAGTTGAAGTCCGTGAGTCATAAAAGAGCCGAGGTTGTCTATCCCTGAGCTAATCTCACTCTGGCCACCTGTTTCTCTCCTTTGGGAAGGATGGAAGGGCGACTTCAGAATAAGGGGGCTGTTAGAAGCGTCTGTCTGTCTGTTGGGAAACTGAGGCACTCTCTCTTGTTCCCCCTGCAGAACGCCAGAGAGGCATTTGGCCATCAACTGTGCAGTTTCCCCTCTCAGGGATTGTCTTGTCTTGTCTCAGTGGAGAGATTCCGGATATACGTTGCCACAAAGCCGATGGCCGACGGAGAAGTGCCCCGGACGGGATTCAGTCTGCAGTTGCAAACCGCTTTGGAGAAGTGGATGCAGCCAGGGTTCAAGAGGCAGGATTTGGGGCGAGTGGCTTCCAAACCAGGCGAGCAGTTCGGAGGAGACAGGAAGAGCTGCAGAGGGCTTGAAGGAGCGGAGCAACTGGTAAAACAGGAGCCAGACCTGCTCTCTCAGCAGTGGGAAGCCCAGTGGCAGGAATTCTTGAAGATGTCTGAATCCCAGCAGCCCTGGGGGGTTGTGTCCCTGATTCAGGAGGAGCCCTCCCCCTGGGACGACGCCAAGGCCTTCCTGGCCTCCTTCGAGCAGGTGGCCGAGGCCTGCCAGTGGCCCAAGGAGGAGTGGGCATCCCGGCTGCTGCCCGCCCTCCGAGGAGAAGCCGAGCAAGCTTATTGCAATCTGGAAAGCTCCGAGAGAGAGGATTATGGGAAAGTGAAGGCAGCCATCTTGCACAGGGATGCCCTGTGCCGTGAGAAGCTGCGCCAGCACTTCCGCCGCTTCTGCTACCAGGAAGTCGAGGGACCCCGGGGGGCCTATAGCCGGCTGCAGGCACTTTGCCATCAGTGGCTGAAAGTGGGGCACCATTCCAAGGAGCAGATCCTGGAGTTGCTGATCCTGGAGCAATTTTTGGCCATCCTGCCTCCCGAGATCCAGAGCTGGGTCCGTGGAAATAGCCCGGAGACCTGCATTCAGGCGGTGTCCCTGGCTGAGGATTTCTTGCAAATGCAACAGGAAGCTCAGCACCAAGAGGTAAGTCGAGGTACAGTTGGACGGACACACACACACACACACACACACACACACACACACACACACACACACACGGCTTTGGCGCCCTTCCTTTGCAGATCGACCAAGGTTTGTGAAGCAGGAGATGTGAATCAACCTTTGGGACTGATAGCTGTGTCCTCAAAAGAATTCACAATCTGGCAGAATGCTGAATCCAGAATTTAAAATTACCCAACATGCTTTCAGGGTAGGTCAGCCCTTCACGTTAGTCTATACAACAAGCCATGTTTATTAGCGCCACCTTTTTTTTTTTTGCATAGTTCCAGTAAACTGAATCTTGCTAGTCTCAAAGTGTATTTTCCTCCTCTCGCCTTTACTTTCTAGGGCAGACATGTCAAACACAAGGCCCAGAGGCCGGATGCGGCCCGCGAAGTGGTTTCATGTGGCCCACAAAGCCATCCTGGAAACAGTGAGGGAACGGCCCCTGCTGCCTTGGCCCTGGCCCTGGCCGGCCGGGAGCCAATGTACAATTTTGTGGTGGCTGACACTTGCCCCGGTCCCACCCCTTTCTGCCAGAGACCCTCAGATCTGTCCCACTCCTGCCCAGGCCCCCCACAGGCACCCTTGACGTGAATGATGTAGAACTGGACACGCCCACCCAGTAGGCCACACCCACTCCATCCATGCCCACCCAGTAGGCTGCACCCACTCTGGCCACCCCCCCCCCCCAGGGCAACCGCAATGCTGATGCGGCCCTCTGTGAAATTGAGTTTGACACCCCTGGTGTATGGGCTGGGAGGAGGGTCCCTTTGGAGAAGCTTACCACCCCCCAAGTCTTTTGGTGGGCTGATAAGGGTCTCTTATCAGTTTTATTATGCCGGTGGTCCTCGCCTTATGTTCACAGTTGAGTCAAAAAACTTCCACTGCTAAGTGAGACGGCTGTTCAGTGAGTTTTGCCTCCTTTTACGACCTTTCTTCTCACAGTAGTTAAGTTAGTAACCTGGTTGTTAACTAAATCTGGCTTCCCCCTTGGACAGGGGTAGGCAGCCTTGGCTCTTTTATGACGTGTGGACTTCAACTCCCAGAATCCCTGAGCCAGCATGGCTCAGGTATGGAAACCTCTCCCTTTCCCCTCAGCCTAGCTGGCTCAGGAATTCTGGGAGTTGAAGTCCATGAGTCATAAAAGAGCCAAGGTTGCCTGCCCTTGGACTTCGCTGGTTAGAAGGGCGCAAAAGGTAAATCACGTGGCTCCGGAGACCTTGCACCCGTCCTAAATGTGAACCAGTTCCCAAGCATCTGAATGTCGATCACATGGCTACGAGGATGCTGCAGTTGTTGTAAGTGTAAACAATGTCACGTTACCTTTTTTCAGGGTTCCTAAAAGAATGGTAGTATAAGTCAAGGACAACCTGTACTGCTACCCTGGGTGTGTCTTTTCTTCCTGCTGTCTCTCATTGCAGATCCTCAGGGAAAACATCGTAGTCTCAATATAGAAAATACTGTCAACTGTCCAGTTGGCCTTTCCAGAAAAAAGAAACTCCGGGGACATGGTTTTACCAAAAAGGATAATACTTTACTGGAAATCTACATTGGCCCAGAAGAAACAAAACCAGCTCTGGTTTTCTCCGCGGAAACCCTGGCATAGTTATTTCCCCATTTCCCTCTGATCCACCCACAGCCCAATAGGTTCACCAATGGCTTCTGTTCATTTTGTTATGAGAAAACAGTTAGCCACACTCGATCCTTGCAAACTTCCTAAGACGCCTTGGTTGCCTAGATACTGTCCCCCCCAACTTTGCATTCCATTCCACAATCTCTTCCCTTTTTTTTTTGGTCAAGCTGTGAGCCAGGGAGAAAATGTAGGCAAAAGTCTTGACAATAGCCACCTAGCTACATCCTCCTCCTCTTCCTCCTCCTCCTCTGAATTCAGTGAATTAGGGAGGAATGTATCTGAGTTGCTTCTGAATGTGTTATCTTGTTCTGGATTTAAACAAAATACTTCAGCCCCCTTTGCCTAGGGCAGGGGTAGGCCACCTCAGCTCTTTTATGACGCGTGGACTTCAACTCCCAGAATTCCTGAGCCAGCCCTGCTGAGGGGAAAGGGAGAGGTTTCCAGGCTGAGCCATGGCTGGCTCAGGAATTCTGGGAGTTGAAGTCCACGAGTCATAAAAGAGCCAAGGTTGCCTACCCCTGGTCTAAGGGCTATTCTAAGTGTTATTTATATAGCCTAGGGCAGGTGTAGGCCATCTTGGCTCTTTTGTGACTTGTGGACTTCAACTCCCAGAATTCCTGAGCCAGCCATGCTGAGGGGAAAGGGAGAGGTTTCCAGGCTGAGCCATGCTGGCTCAGGAATTCTGGGAGTTGAAGTCCACGAGTCATAAAAGAGCCAAGGTTGCCTACCCCTGGTCTAAGGGCTATTCTAAGTGTTATTTATATAGCCTAGGGCAGGTGTAGGCCATCTTGGCTCTTTTGTGACTTGTGGACTTCAACTCCCAGAATTCCTGAGCCAGCCATGCTGAGGGGAAAGGGAGAGGTTTCCAAGCTGAGCCATGCTGGCTTAGGAATTCTGGGAGTTGAAGTCCACGAGTCATAAAAGAGCCAGCCACTCTGAGACAGGGAGGGCAAGGGGATGAGGGCTGAGCCAGCCATGCTGAGGGGAAAGAGAGGTTTCCCTGAGCCATGCTGGCTCAGGAATTCTGGGAGTTGAAGTCCACGAGTCATAAAAGAGCCAAGGTTGCCTACCCCTGGTCTAAGGGCTATTCTAAGTGTTATTTATATAGCCTAGGGCAGGTGTAGGCCATCTTGGCTCTTTTGTGACTGTGGACTTCAACTCCCAGAATTCCTGAGCCAGCCATGCTGAGGGGAAAGGGAGAGGTTTCCAAGCTGAGCCATGCTGGCTCAGGAATTCTGGGAGTTGAAGTCCACGAGTCATAAAAGAGCCAAGGTTGCCTACCCCTGGTCTAAGGGCTATTCTAAGTGTTATTTATATAGCCTAGGGCAGGTGTAGGCCATCTTGGCTCTTTTGTGACTTGTGGACTTCAACTTCCAGAATTCCTGAGCCAGCCATGCTGAGGGGAAAGGGAGAGGTTTCCAAGCTGAGCCATGCTGGCTCAGGAATTCTGGGAGTTGAAGTCCACGAGTCCTAAAAGAGCCAAGATGGCCTACCCCTGGCCTAGGGAACAATCCCTGCCTATCTTCGTGACTCCTTCCTGACTCCCTACAGGAGAGAGGGTCCGACCCTATCTAGTTAATTCCTGTGGCTGGACCAAAAAAGAACTAGGTCTCTCCCATTCCTAGTCCCAAGGCTTTCCCAACTACCCGACCGTGACCGGACATCGCCATGCAACACCCCTCTTCCCCATCTCTCTTCCGTCCGGTTGAAACAGATGTTTTCCTCCTGTTTCCAGATGCTCAAGGAAGTGAGGGATGCTGCAGAGGACTGTGGGAAGGGACAACTGTTCAGGGAGGCTAATGATGAGGGGAACGCTGGAGATACCGGTGAGTGATGCAAATGGATGGGTTAAAGAAGTGGTTCTCAACCTGTGGGTCGGGACCCCATTTGGGGTCGAACGACCATTTCACGGGGGTCGCCAAACAACGCAGTCCGCCATTTTTTCCCCCTTTTCCTTAGCTGTGCTACTCCCTTTTATTCTATTGGCTTTTGAAAGCCAATAGAATAGACTCTCTTGAATAGAGTCTAATTCTATTGGCTTTCAAAAGCCAATAGGAATTGTCCAGGCTGTCTCTGCCCTGCTGAGCCCGCCAAAAGTCCCATTCTGCAAACGGTGCTGCACCAGTTGAGTAGTCCTCGACTTACGACCGGTTGAGTAGTCCTCGACTTACGACCGGTTGGGGGTCGCGGCATTAAAAAGGTTGAGAACCACTGGGTTAAAGCCAGTGGCAGTGCAATTCCTTTGGGTGTGGTTTTTTTTTTAAACTCCGTCCCTTTCTTTCTTTGGCTCCCTTCCCTTCACCATCCCTGCCAAACAGCTCCAAAACCTTTTCCTTAAGTCAGTGGTGGCGAACCTATGGCACGCGTGCCAGAGGCAGCACTCGGAGCCCTCTCTGTGGGCGCGCACGCTGTTGCCCCAGCCCCACCTCCCCTGCAGCCCCCCTGGAGGAGAGTCACCCCCGGACGCAGCCTGCACGGAGCAGCGCAGCCAAAGACATAGCCAGGCAGCAAGGACAAGACTCCGCCCTCGTGCCTCATAGTGTGCATGGCCCGGAGGGCGTGGCTGCCATGGCACTGCAGGGCTACCTGGGCGATCTGCCGCGGGCCATGGAGGCGGTGCGTGGTCCTGTGGGCGGGCAGGGCCGGGGGCGGGCAGGGGCGGAACAGGCAGAACGGGAGACGGAGCGGGGGGAGGGGGCGGGTTTTGGGCACCCGGTCTCTAAAAAGTTCGCCATCACTGCCTTAAGTTTTTTATTTTGGATTTTTTGTTTTTCATTTCTCGGTAGGTGAAGGGAGTAGAAGCGTTGACAAAATGGAGAAATATGCCTTGGAGAATTCTGAGCCCGAAGCGTCGCACGAGGTGCTCGGCGGGAGAGCAGAAGAGCCAGGGGCTCGGTTCGGCGAGCAGGAACACCTTTCCCAAAGCCAAGAGAGACTAATTTGGCCTCAGAAATACCTTCCCAGGGAGATGGGCGACAGTGCGGTGCCTTGCCGAGGAAGTTACCGGGAGCTCGGCCAGTCCAAAATGCCCATCGTTAAGAAGTACAGCGCCTCCAGCATTATCGCGAGGAGTTTCTACCATAAATCAAACTTCACTAAACAAAAGAAAAACCACCCGGGAGAAAAAACCTACAGCTGTTTGAATTGCGGGCGGAGATTCAGTCGTAGGTCGAACCTTAAACGTCACGAGGGCATCCACACGGGGGAGAGACCTCACGAATGCTTGGAGTGTGGGAAGAAGTTCACCCGGAAGTCTTACCTTCTTAAACACAGCACCGTTCACATGTACGGAGGATCAACATAGCAGTTGGTGAGGAAAAAGACGGGCGCGTAGAAAATTGGTACTGCGGGAAAACAAGTCAAAAAGGGGGACTTGATTATCCTCCAGATCTCTATGGTTCTCAGGAAGCACGTTGGGAATCCCAGGAAATACTCAGACCTTGGCGAAATGTTATTCTAGGATGCACCACGTAGAAGAATCCTCCAGCGTTTCATAAATTTTTTTGGGGGGGGGAATTCATAATGCACAAGAGAGGGAGGGAGAGATCGCATGAATCTTGATTAGATGTCAGTCTGTTTCCACCTCACTTCTTTTTGAGTTGCAGGATGCCGTCAACACAGTTCCGGGACAATTGGCTGATAGCTTTGTCATTTGGGATATTTCATCTATGAAAATGGGAGGGAAGACGTCTTATATGCCAAAGCTTAAATCTAATCGTCTATTTGGAAGGCTGAAATGTTTCTATAGAACAGCGTAGAAAATCTTAAATATAACTAAGAGACGGTATATTCCACTAGCGTATAATTCCACGAAGAACAGCTGCCAGAAGAGAAGAGGGAAGCTGTTCCATGGAGAACAGAAACAATCCAGCATCAATCTGAGTCAGGGGTCTTCAAACTTGGCCCTTTTATGACTGGCTGAGGAATTCTGGGAGTTGAAGTCCACAAGTCATAAAAGGGTCAAGTTTGAAGGCTTCTGTTCTGAGTGATCCAAATTCACTCATGTTAATCTGAGCAGACTAGTGACTTCCAAGATGATACAGGGAATGAGACTCCACCCCACCCCAGTAGCCATTTTACCTTTACAGTTTTTCCTTGGTTGTTTGGTCTATTTCAATGTTTCTGAACCTCGACGACTTTAAGAGGTATGGACTTCAACTCCCAGAATTCTCATGGTCGGCTGGAGAATGCTGGGAGTTGAAGTCCACACCTCTTAAAAGTTGGCGAGGTTCAGAAACGCTGGTTTGTTTTGTTCAATGGATACGATCGCCTCCCTTTCCCAAAGTGACTCTGAGTGGCTCACAGTGTTAAAAAAAAACAATAACACACACGACCAAAAAAATAAAAAATCTAGGGGAAAAAAAAGCATGACAGAACGAAACAAATCGAAACTTCTGTAGCACCAGGAGCAAAGTTCACCGGAAGCCTATCGGTGCATCCTGTCAGCTCAAGGGCCCTCGTGCTCAGTATGTGAGGGAAGAACCAGATTTTCAATGTCTTTCTACAAGCTGGCAGAGCTGGGATCACGTGGTTCTCAAAATGAAGATGTGGATCTGGGAAAATGTTCCTCTGTAGAAGAGCCTCTTTGAAGAAGAAAAGCCAGCTAGAACTTTGAGGAACGTTTGTTCTTCATCCTGTAGTTGTTGGCGAGCTCCGTAGTTTGAGGCGCTGCCGAACCCTCAGCTAGGTCTCCATAATCTGGTCATAATCTGTCCAAACTCGGATTCTCAATCCATCAACTCCTCTCACTTTCTACTATTCCTGCCAGCGATTTAGAGCAGTGTTAACTCACCCTTGCCTCTTTGAATATGGGTGGACTTCAATTCCCAGAATTCCTTTGCCAGCGTGTTGACTGGGGAATCCTGGGAACCGAAGTCCACCCATCTTAAAAGTCACTAATCTTGAGGAACACTGATTTAGAGAGAAAGCTCCCAGCTGGCCTTTGCCTTTCTCCATCTTTCTAGTCAGAGCCTGCTAGCTGTAATCCACGTTTCTCTTTTTTTTTTTCTCCCCATGCACATATATATTAAAATAAAAGCTTGCAGTCTGATTCTAGTCTGTTCTGAGTAATTGTCACCCCTCTTTAGAGAAGTCATTCCCCTTTTATTTGCTGGAAATAAATCTGGGCAGGCAGTACAGTCTGAAAAAAAAATTCCTTTTATTCCTGGTGGGGATTCACGTGAGGGTGTGAAAAGAGGCTGCACAATTTACCAGGGTGAAATCCAAAAAGCAGGAAATTCTTGAATTTGTGTTTTGCTCCCAAAGCTACTGCAGGCCCCTTTGAAGTCTTGAAAAGACAATGTGAATGTAAAGATGCCTTTATTGGGGTTGGGATGAATAAAGTTCTCTATGTTAAATAATCATGCCATTTTTTTTCACTTGTTTTTTTTTTTTTAATAAAGATTGTATTGTCTTTTTTCCCCATAAACATATGTTAATTTAGTGGACCTTCCAGCTTAACCAAAAGGCTAACTCAGTCTTATAATCAAACTTTCTTATTCTTCTTGTGCCATATTCATTATCGGACATTGGCGATCATGTTGGCGATCTTGTTTTTATCAGTAGCCGCATGAAAAAGTGCTGCTGAGTTTTGTCCAAACCAGTCCCTTAGATTTTGAAGCCACGATGTTCTTCTTCTGCCTGGACCTTGTTTGCCTTCCATCTTTCCCTGGAGGATTAAATGAAGTATGCCGTATTTTTCTGGGTGTCGCATTACATGTCCGAAATATTCTAATTTTCGTTTTTTAATTGTTTTGATGATTTCCCTTGGCTTTTCCAGGCGGCTGACCACCTCCTCATTTCTGATCTTGTCAACCCAGTTTATACGTAACAGCTGCCTGTAAATCCACATTTCAAATGCTTCTAGTCTCTTCAGGTGGCCTTCTGTCAGAGACCAAGTCTCTACTCCATAGAGCAGGATAGAAAAAATATCGCATCTGACAAGCCTGATTTTCAATCTTAGGCTTATGTCGTGACTGCAGAAATCAAGCAGTAAACGAAAAGATATCTTGTCCATAGATCTCTCTCTCCAGCTCACTTGTGAGAAGCCAGCCATTGTCCAAGTGCATTGTGGGAATCAGTCTTTAATCAGTCTTAAATCAGTCTTTTTCAACCTTGGTAAATTTAAGCTACGTGGACCTCAACTCCAGGAACGCCCCAACCAGCCATGTTGGCTGGGGAATTCTGGGAGTTGAAGTCCACATATCTTAAAATGGCCATAGTTGAGAAACACTGCCTTAAACAATCATCTTAAAATTGTTTAGGCGTAGCGTGTTATGTGAACACAACAAGTGGTTTAGTTATCGAAGATCTAGGATTTAAGTGTAAGGTCTGAATTTAGCCATTGGGAAAGCTGCAGGGGAAGAATAAGGAACACTGTATCTCAAACATTGCCATTTTGCAGAGTGATCTGCAACAAAATTTTGTAGTGTTAGCAGTTCAAAACGTCACCCAAGCTTAAGTTTGTCTGCATCAAAGGAGATCTCTCGAGCTACAGCTTTGCTCTAACAAATAACGGGGACGCTGAGTTCGAAATCTACTTATGATATCCGAGCTACAGTTCGATTTGGCAAAACCGTGGCAAAAAAAACAAAAAAAACCAGTTGTGAAATTAAGCATGACTCCTTTAATAACCACCCAGCTTAGCGATGGAAATTGGGGTCCCGGTTGTGATTGTAAGTCATGGGCTCCCTGTAGCTCTCTTTCTGGATCACAAAATCTTGTTTTGCTAATGTCTAGTCGTTTAGTTCAGGGGTCCCCAACCTTTTGGGCACCAGGGACCGGTGCCGTGGAGAAAGGGTTTTCCATGGACCACAAGGGGTGTGGTTTTGTGTACTGCCTGCATCCTGTGGATGGGGCTTTGCTTGTTTGTGCAGCCCGGTTGCTGGCATACTATGGACCGTTGCCGGTTGACGGACTGGGGGTTGGGGACCCATAGTCTAGTTTGATGAAAGGAAAGATGTTGAGATTCTAGAAAGAGTACAGAGAAGAGCAACAAAGATGATTAGGGGACTGGAGGCTAAAGCATATAAGGAATGGCTGCTGGAATTTGGTATGTTTAGATTAATGAAGAGAAGGACGAGGGGGGGGCATGATAGCAGTGTTCCAGTATCTCAGGGACTGCCCCAAAGAAGAGGGAGTCAAGCTATTCTCCAAAGCGCCTGAAGGCAGGACAAGAAGCAACATATGGAAACTAATCAAGGAGAGAAGCAACCTAGAACTAAGGAGAAACTTCCTGACAGTGAGAACAATTAACCAATGGAACAACCTGCCTCCAGAAGTTGTGAATGCTCCACCACTGGGGGTTTTCAAGAGACTAGCCAGCCATTTGTCTGAAATGATACAGGTAGTCCTCAACTTACGACCGCAACTGAGCCCAGAATTCCTGTTGCTAAGTGAGACATTAGCTGAGTTTTGCCCCATTTTAAAAAATTTCCTGCCAGAGTTCTTAAGTGAATCACTGCAGTTGTTAAGTTAGTAACCTGGTTGTTAAGTGAATCTGGCTTCCCCATTTGACTTTGCCCGTTCAGAAGGTCACCAAAGGTAAATCGCACGACCCCAGAACACTGCAATCGTCATAAATACGAATCAGTTGCCAAAAGTCTGAATTTTCATCATGTGACCGGGGGGAATGCTGAAATGGTTGTTAAGTGACAAACAGTCCCTTTTTTTTAGTGTCGTCATAACTTTGAAGGGTCATTAAACACACTGTTGTAATTCAAGGACTAACTGTATAGGGCAGCAGTAGGCCACCTTGGCTCTTTTATGACTCGTGGACTTCAACTCCCAGAATTCCTCAGCCAGCCTGGCTCAGCTTGGAAGCCTCTCCTTTTCCCCTCAGCGTGGCTGGCTCAGGAATTCTGGGAGTTGAAGTCCACGAGTCATAAAAGAGTCAAGGTTGCCTAGCCCTGGTATATGCTATGACAATTGCATTCCTTTTTTTTTTTTTTTGAAGGCAACTATTTTTCTTTCAATTTACACATGTATTGGATGCGATTAATTAGATTTGATTTGAATAGCTTAGGCTATTCAATTGGATTTTTCAAAGAGGAGGGTGGTGCCAAGGAAGGGGACGCTTCTCTTTGAAAATGTGTATGGAGATCCAGGTTGTGGTTGTCCCAAAGGTGCTTTTTCAAGAGGCAACTGGAGTTTCTTGTTTTTCCTTGAAGACATTTCACTTCTCATCCAAGAAGCTTTCTCAGCTTTGATTGGATAGTGGGGGAAATGGATGGATTTATATTCCTTGTAGACAGCTGGGCATTTGCATTCTTTTAGAGGATTGTTGAGGCCACTTGGAGACTTGTCTGTGCCCTCCGGGTCACCTGAGTAGGGCAAATGTGTGTAGAACCACTCAGGTAACCCTGAGGACACAGACAAACCTTCAAGTGGCCTCAACGACTCTCTAAAACAGACGTGTCAAACACAAGGCCCGGGGGCCGGATGCGGCCCGTGAAGTGGTTTCATGTGGCCGCGAAGCCATCCTGGAAACAGTGAGGGAATGGCCCCCACTGCCTTGACCCTGGCCCAGGGAGCCAATGTACAATTTTGTGGTGGCCATCTATGCTGAAACACATTCAGTCTTAGCTCCACAAGGCCGTCTAGAAACAGCGAGGAACCAGCCCGTTGCGCTAGCCCCACCCCGTGGGTGCATGCTGGGGAGGTGTCACACTTTGTGAGAAATGAAGAAAAGCGCCATCGCCTGGAAGTGGCCAGCAAATGGCCCTCGCCTACTTCACATATCCGGCTTGATGGGCTCTAGGGGAGGAGTTTTGGCAGGCAGCGAAGCGCTTTCCTCACAGTGCCGAGAGGCTGAGCCGGGTGGCGCAAATCCCAAAAGAAACGTGAGGCCGCCCAGCTCCCAGCCTGCCTGGTTTTAGCAGGCAGCGGGGCGCTCTCCTCACAGCGCCAAGAGCTGAGCTAGGTGGCGCGAATCTGATGAGAAGTGCAATGCTGCCTAGCCCCCAGCCTGCCCAGTTTCAGCAGGCAGCAAGGTGTAAAGTTGATGAGCTTCGCACCACCTGGCTCAACCTCTCGGCGCTGTGAGGAGAGTGCCCCGTTGCCTGCCGAAACCGGGCAGGCTGGGGGCTGGGTGGCATCGCGCTTCTTTTGGGATTTGCGCCGCCTGGTTCAGCCAACCCCCCCCCCAGGGCAACCGCAATGCTGATGCGGCCCTCAATGAAATTGAGTTTGACACCCCTGCTCTAAAAGAATGCAAATGAACAGCTGTCTGCAAGGAGTATAAATCCTTCCATTCCCCACCATCCAGTCAGAGCTGAAGAAGCTTCTTGGGTGAGAAGCAAAACGTCTTCAAAGAAAAACAAAAAAAGCCCAGTTGCCTCTTGAAAAAAAGCACCTTTGGGATTCTTTTTGGAAACTGCAATTGTGGAGAAGAGCATCGGAATATTTTTATTGTCTTTGCAAAATAAAATGTAGTATTACCGTCTCTTTGCGGCATGAGAGTAACTGACTTTTTTTTTTTGAACATGTAATACAGGTAGTCATGTGAACCCCTTTGGTAACTTTCCGACGAGCAAATTCGATGGGGAAGCCAGATTATGACTGACTCACTTAACAACTGTGGCAAAAAAGGTCATAAAATGGGGCAAAACTCACTTAACAAATGTCTCACTGAACAGAAATTTTGGGCTTAGTTGCGGTCGTAAGTTGAGGACTACATGTAAATTGCCCTGGAACAGAGTTTAAATACTGTATACTTCACTGTTCAGCTTTCAGAAATGTGGATTCCTCCTGCAGAGGCAGCTTTCACTTTTATTGAAACTTTCAGTATCCCTAAGCAGTGTCCCAAATTTGGGAGTCCCTTCCTTGTAATTTTGTCTTTGATTGATGGATCTATTTTTAAATCACGTGTCATCAAGGCCCCAAGTGGATTAATAATAATATAAAGTTGGAAGGGACCTTGGAGGTCATCTAATTCAATCCCCTGCTCAGGCAGGAAATCCTATACCATTTCAGACAAATGGCTGTCCAGTCTCTTCTTAAAGAGCACCCACAGCTTCTGGAGGCAGGTTGTTCCACTGGTTAATTGTTCTGTCAAGAGGTTTCTTCTTAGTTTTAGGTTACTTCTCTCCTGGATTAGTTTCCATCCGTTGCTTCTTGTCCTGCCTTCAGGCGCTTTGGAGAATAGCTTGACTCCCTCTTCTTTGTGGCAGCCCCTGAGATATTGGAACACGGCTATCATGTCCCCCCTCATCCTTCTCTTCATTAAACTAGACATACCCAATTCCAGCAGCCGTTCCTTATGTTTTAGCCTCCAGTCCCCTAATTATCTTTGTTGCTCTTCTCTGCACTCTTTCTAGAGTCTCAACATCTTTTTTACACCGCGGTGACCAAAACTGGATGCCGTATTCCAAGTGTGGCCTTACCAAGGCCTTGTAAAGTGATATTAACACTTCACGTGATCTTTGATTAGAGTCAAAGGGTTTGAGAGGAAGAGATTTGAACTCCTTTCATCATCTCGGCTGCTATACATGTTATTTGTAGTTTTAATTTCTTGGGATTTAAATGATAAAAAAAATGAAATTTAAAATAAAAAAGAACAATATATTTTCGATCTCTGACAGTGTTTGTTGAATTTCATGGTGTTGGATGGGGCCCATTGTTCAAGTCTGTCAAGAGCTTTTTGGATCCCAAGCTTGTCTTCTGGGATGTTGGCTATTTGTCAGAATCCAATTATATTTCATCTCTAGTTATCAACTATAGAAAACCCCATTTCTGCCTTCCCTGGATTCTGCCATACGGTGAAGGGAAGGGGGTGAACAAAGGGGCTTTATGGCCCTCACTTCCTTCAGTACACTTCAAAGAGACTGAATGTGGATATCGCCAAAAGGACTAACCATAAGAATGGGGCTATTACCTTTCATGTAGTTCTCTCTGAAGTCTCCAGCCAGCCGGCAGTAAGGAAAAGGGGGTGGGAGTGTAATGCCTGAGACTGTCGCTGGAAGAGGGGGGTGATTGGGTGGGGCTACTGGGGAACCCCTTAAAACCTTGCATGGGAGAGCTTGGACCCCAAGTCCTGTCTAAAACGCCTGCAACCATTTTCTCTTAATAAAGGATGCCTGTTGGAAGAATTATTCCAAGAGTTCTGTCTTCTTAAGATGCAAAGTGGGGTGGGTCCTTACACTATTCCTGCCAGCTTAGCGTCATCTGCAAATCTGATGAATTCCCCTTCTATTCCCTCATCTCAGTCATTGATGAAGATGTTGAAGAACATTGGGCCTAAGTAAGTAAATAAGGCTGGCTTCATCCTTTTTGACTTTCTGAAACTCCCTCAAGATCTGGTTCTGCCATCAGGCCTGGAGAGCCAAGAGGACTGCTAAAAATACTGAGGAAGCCCCACTATTAAAATAAAAATGGGTTAAACCTGTCACCATTGTTGTGTCATGGGAACTCAGCTGTCTAATACCGCAATCTTCAAAGGGGTTTTTTTTTTGGGGGGGGGGGGGGAGAGGAAATAATGACAAGGAAAGTGCACAACTCAATACAATATAGCCATTTTATTTTACAGAATTTCACTTAGATTTATGTTATTCAAAGGACGCAAGCAAAGAGAAGCGTTCAGTGTGATAATGTTTAGGGAGATAGACATTACATCCCGTAAGGGCTTGTGCTGGAAAAGATGAACAGAGGAATTGGTTTTGAGGGAGCTGCAGCCATCTGGATGTCCTCAGAAGGAAAAGGATGAGTTTCTTGACAACCTTGGATGAAAACACACTTGGAAGAGCTTACGGAAGAGTTTTCTGCAAACTGGCTGAGTTCAGGATCTTTAAAAAGAATCAAAATAAGATTAGAAAAATCTGCTACACAGAGAATTCTATAGAACTCCCAATTTATTCGAAGAATTATGGGCATCTCTACCAATGAGATGAATTCTATCGCTAAAACATTCTCTTTTCCCCAAATCAAATCAAATTTTTATTGTGGTCACAGACCAGCATAAAGAAGGTGGGGTGCAATTTAAAAAGCATAGAAGATGCATCAGAGTCTAAGATTGCTATTATCATGAAAAGCTAAAAGATATAAAACAAAACTACAGGCAAAAAATAAAGAGTCTAAAAAAGAGGGGTAGGCGCATCAGATCAGGCCTGGCCATTTTACCCCCACCGGCCTTTTGGTTGCGACTGTCTGGCCCAGGGCTAGGCAACCTTGGCTCTTTTCTGACTCGTGGACTTCAACTCCCAGAATTCCTGAGCCAGCCATGCTGAGGGGAAAGAGAGAGGTTTCCAAGCTGAACCAGGCTGGCTCAGGAATTCTGGGAGTTGAAGTCCACGAGTCATAAAAGAGCCAAGGTTGCCTACCCCTGCACTACACCAGTGGTTCTCAACCTGTGGCTCGGGACCCCATTTGGGGTCGAACGACCATTTCACGGGGGTCGCCAAACAAGGCTGTCCGCCATTTCCCCCCTGCTTTTCTTTGGCCACGCCCCTGGCACCCGGTGATGTATAAGTGGTTGGGGGTCACCACAACATGGGGAACTGTATTATGGGGTCGCGGCATTAGAAAGGTTGAGAACCACTGCACTAGACAGTATAATGGAGTGGGCGGGTGGCCTGAAAATAAGTCCCAATACGTCTTTTAGTCCCCCCAAAATATAAGACCCGGTCCTATTTTCGGGGAAACAGGTATATGCCAGGAGTAGGCAACCTTGGCTCTTTTATGACTCATGGACTTCAACTCCCAGAATTCCTGAGCCAGCATGGCTCAGCTTGGAAACCTCTCCCTTTCCCCTCAGCATGGCTGGCTCAGGAATTCTGGGAGTTGAAGTCCCTGAGTCATAAAAGAGCCAAGGTTGCCTAGCCCTGGTATATGCCATGACAATTGCATTCTTTTTTTTTTTTGAAGGCAACTATTTTTCTTTCAATTTACACATGTATTGGATTTTGTCTCATTATTAATCACACAGCGAGATTGCCCCCAGAACACAAGGAGAGGAAAATTATTTGAGAAGCTGTTTCAAACCACAGGCAGTCCTCGCTTAAACGATAGTAATCGGGAATGGAATTTCTATCGCCAAGTAATGTGATTAATTAGAGGGCAAAGTGAGTTATGTGACTTGTCAGTCTCTGGTTACGGTTGTTAAGCAAATCAGCGAGGGTCGGTAAGTGAAGGGCCCTCATGTGAGCCGAGGTGGCGCAGTGGTTAGAAAGCAGTACTGCAGGCCACCTCTGCTGACTGCCGGCTGCCAGCAGTTCGAGGCTCGCCGGCTCAAGGTTGACTCAGCCTTCCATCCTTCCCGCGTCGGTAAAATGAGGACCCAGATTGTTGGGGGCAAATATGCTGACTCTGTAAAGCGCTTAAAGAGGGCTGTAAAGCGGTATAGAAGTCTAAGTGCTATTGCTGTCTTCTGACTTCCTGCTGGCTTCCCCTATGATTTTGCTCACAGGAAGCCAGCAGGGGAAGAGTTAGGGTAAATTGTGATCGCATGACAATGGGATACTGTGATGGTCGGAAATCTGGGTCGGTTGCCGAGCACCCAGATTGTGATCAGGTGATTAGGGGATGCTGCCACCAGTTATAAACGCAAGCTGATTGCTAAGCAACTGAAATGTGATCACGTGACCATGGGATAGGGCAGTGTTGGCGAACCTATTAGAGACCGAGTGCCCCAAAACCGCCCCGATCCGACCCCGCTCTGCCCCACCCCCACCCACCCACTGCCTCCATGGCCTGCCGCAAGGTATCACCCAGGCGGCCCTACAGCACCATGGTAGCCACGCCCTCCGCCTGCGTCCCGCAGCATCATCTGCGCGTGATGGGGCGTGAGGGCAGAATCTTGTCCCTGCTGCCCAGCTACCATATTCTTGGCTGCGTTGCTCCGTGCAGGCCGTGCTCGGGGGCTTCTCCGGGAGGGTCTGCTGGTGAGGAGGGGGCCACGGGGGGAGGCAGGGCTGGAGCGATGGCGTGTGTGCCCACAGAGAGGGCTCTGAGTGCCGTCTCTGGCACGCGTGCCATAGGTTCGCCACTACTGGGGTAGGGGAATGGCACATTTTATGACAGCCAGAAGTGTTTTAGGGCAGGGGTCCCCAACCCCGGGGCCGCAGCCCATTTGGAATCGGGCCACACAAGTGGCAGGCGAGCGCACGCCTACCCCTCGCACAGAATCATTTTGTCTCCCACCCGCCGCCCGTCTGCAAAGCCGGAAAGGTTGGGGGTCCACTGCTTTTGGGGCCATAAAGCACCCTTTCATGTGGCTCTTATAGCTCTCAATGGTCATTACTGTAATACATAAATAAATTAAATGAATCGTTGAAGGTAAAGTATTGGAGTACAGATAATACTGCCATCTACCACTGTATGAACCAATTATTCCCCTTCCTGATCCAGGACACTAATTGCACCATCCCACTCTTCTTTTCTCTCAACTTCACTTACCTTTTTGTCAATTTGGTGCTATACGGCTGTGGTCAAAATAATTGTATTGCAGTCCAGGCTCATCTGAAGGGGAGTGTGGGGGGGGGGAGAGAAAATACAAATCTCTGGTTATAAAATGAAGCCCACTATCATGGTTCCGACAGATGAAGCTCTTCAAAAGAACTTGGAGGCATTGTTTACCTTAACAAATCTTTTATTCGAGAAACAAAGTATCGACACTACATATTTGAAACCAAAAACTAAATTCCCCTTTCCTGGATACAAAGTAACAAAGCACAATTCCGTCCTCCAATAAACAGTCATAAATCACATTCCCCAATTGGCTTGAAGGTGGATTTTGTAATGTAATAGTAATAAAGTTGGAAGGGACCTTGGAGGTCATCTAGTCCAACCCCCTGCTCAGGGAGGTAACCCTACACCATTTCGGACAAATGGCTCTCCAGTCTCTTCTTAAAAACTTCCAGTGTTGGAGCATTTACTGCTTCTGGAGGCAGGCTGTTCCACTGATTAATTGTTCTCACTGTCAGGAAGTTTCTCCTTAGTTCTAGGTTGCTTCTCTCCTTGATTAGTTTCTACCTGTTTCTCCCAAGCTCTGCAGCCTGCCAAAACTCTTATCAACTCTGGGCCCAATGACCTTGGGTTCCCACGGCTGAGCTATTGTTGTTATGACTAGCTGGAGTCTCATCCACATTCCCCCCTCCCAGCATCAACTAACTCTAAAAGCAATAGAGAAAAATGGCTGCATTTCCATCTGTTGTCAAAGCAAGAACATCCAATGTTAGCAGCGTTGACGCCCACATTGGAAAACTCGCAGAACCCCTTTGACGCCAGGCAAGTGGGGCTGGAGATACACAACAGAATACATTAAGTGTTCTGTCAGCTTTGGATCTCAACGTGAGTCTCAATTTCAGTTCAAGTGGCTTTGTCACAGTCACGCACAACCGCAGCAGCCCCCCCTTCCCCATCTCTGAGTAAGCACAGAATATTATGATCAGTTTTCACAGAATATTTTTTCCCCCGAGGTAGCTAGGAAGGTTTGGGTAGAGAGGAACAACAACAAATATATATATATATATATATATTTTTCTCCCTTACCACAGCAGTGGTGATTTCTTCAATGGAGAGTTCGGGTGGCCCAGCAACAAAACCTGAGAACGCAGAAAGTTAAATCAGTGGGACGTTTTAAACAGCTTAAAGTACTTTCTAAGTGGGTGACAATGTGGGTGTGAAGGGAAGAACTGGAAGATCTGGATGTTACACACAGCGTCAGCCCTACGAGGCAGTTTAGACAAGAAGCCAAGAAGCACAATCAGGTCTGCTAGCTCTCTCTTCATTCTAAGATCACATAGATCAGCAGTTCTCAACCTATGGGTCGCGACCCCATTTGGGGTCGATCGACCATTTTACGGGGGTGGCCAAAGGCGGCGATCCGCCATTTTCACCCCTCGGGGGGGGGTGCCGCGCATGCACGCCGCACATGGGGGCGCCCCCGCACATGCACGCCGCGGGGCACATTTGTGTGACGGGGGTCGCCGTCACACAAACATTGAGAACCACTGACATAGATTGAATCTTGCAAGGCTGAAGGCACTGAGGGACCATCTCACCCCACTGGGATTGGCCTGTCCCACTAGAGCTGGCAGTGGAGGCATGCTGCGGGTCCCCTCGGCCCAATTATTCCGGCTGGCGGGATCCAGGAGGGCCTTCTCTGCTGCTGATCCTGCCCTCTGGAACATCTTGCCCCCTTCCCCCCCCATGGAAAGTTGGGCCTGACCCTCCTATCCCGTTGTAAGGGCCCAAAGACCTGACTCTGCCAGTTGGCCTGCCTCTCCAGTGAGGGAAGAGCACAGTGGAGGTGGCTGATTGAATAACAAGGGATCCTACCTTCCCTTCACCCTGCTCCCTCCCTCCACTTAAACTTAGACTTTAATGTTTGATTTTAATATATTTACATTTTAATCTATATGCACATTTTTATGACGGTTAGCTGCCCTACGAGACACTTCCTTGCTTCCTAAAGAAAGGAAAAGACACTTTTTTTTCAACCCGATATCGTACAGCAGGGGTGGGGAACCGTGGCCCTTTTATGACTTGGGGGCTTCAACTCCCAGCACGCCGGCTCAGGAATTCTGGGAGTTGAAGTCCGTGAGTCACAAAGGGGCCGTGGTTCCCCCATCCCTGTCCTACAGGATCTCACCTGCGTGGGTCCTTTCATGCTCTGCGAGAAGAGACCGCTGACTGAAGCTTTCCGTGCATTCGGAACACTGGTAGGGCTTCTTTCCCAGGTGAGCTGCCCGGTGGCTGAGGAGGGATCTCTTCCAGCTGAAGCTCTTCCCGCACTCGGAGCATTTGTAGGGTTTCTCTCCCGTATGAGTCCGCTTATGCACAATGAGGGCAACTTTCTGATTAAAGCTCTTCCCACAGTCGAAGCAGGAATAGGGCTTCTCTCCAGTGTGGATGATCTCGTGGCGAGCCAGGTGGTCTTTTTTATGGAAGCATTTCCCACACTCAGCACAGGAGTACGGCTTCTCGCCGGTGTGGATTCTTGTGTGGTTGATCAGGCCCACCTTCCAGTTGAACCCTTTCCCGCACTCGGAGCACTGATATGGCTTCTCTCCCGTGTGGGTCCTCTTGTGCGTCATGAGGCGGTCTTTCTTATAGAAGCTCTTCCCACAGTCCGAGCACTCGTAGGGTTTCTCCCCTGTGTGGGTCCTCATATGAGCCACGAAGTTGGCCTTCACGCTGTAGCTTTTCCCACACTCGGCGCATTTGTGCGGCTTCTCCCCCGTGTGGGTCCGTTTGTGGGCAAAGAGCGAGGACTTTGCGTGGAAGCTCTTCCCGCACTCAGGACACTTGTAGGGTCTCTCGCCTGTATGGATCCGCTTGTGTTGGATGAGGATCCATTTCCCGCTGAACGTTTTCCCACACTCCGAGCACATGTAAGGTTTCTCCCCGGTGTGGGTCCTCATGTGGATGTTCAGAGCAGAGGACCAATTGAAGCCTTTGCCGCAGACTTTGCACTCCTGCAGATTCTGCTCCCCTGTGTGCTTCCTCATGTGCATGATCAGGGAGCGTTTCCAGTAGAAGCTTTGGCCACAGTCCGAGCAGGTGTGGGAACGTTCCCCTGTGTGGGTTTTCTCGTGCCTTAAAAGGTAAGAGGAGCAGGAGAACCCCTTCCCACAATGCGAGCACTGATATGGCCGCTCCCCGGTGTGAATCCTTTTGTGCACATCGAGGTACGCTTTTAGGATGAAGCGTTTCCCACAGTCATGGCATTCGTAGGGTTTCTCGCCCGTGTGCGTTCTCCGATGTGTAATAAGGCCAGAAATCTGCTTGAAGCTCTTCTCGCATTCAGAGCACTCGTAAGGCTTCTCCCCCGTGTGGGTCCTCTTATGTGTGACGAGAGTCGCTCCGTGATTGAAGCTCTTCCCACAAATGGAGCACATGTAAGGTTTCTCGCCGGTGTGGATTCTCCGGTGCGTGATCAAGTAATCCTTGCGGCCGAAGCTTTTCCCACATTCGGGGCACTCGTAGGATTTGAGAGCTGATCCGGCCGAGTGGGTTTTCTTGTGCCTCCGAAACGAAGCTGTGTAACTGAAGCATTTCCCACATTCGGCACACTGGTAAGGTTTCTCTGCCGTGTGGCTCTGTTTGTGTATGTTGAGAGTTCCTTTCTCACGGAAACTTTTCCCACAGTCGGGGCACTGGTAGGGCTTCTCTTCCGAGTGAGTTCTCATGTGCACATTCAGAGCCGATTTCACGGTGAAGGTCTTCTCGCAGTCGGAGCACTTGTACGGCTTTTCCCCCGTGTGGATCCTCCGATGGACGGCAAGGTGCGGCTTACGATTGAAGCTCTTCCCACAGTCTGGGCACTTGTACAGCTTCTCGCCTGTGTGGATTCTCTCGTGCAGAATCAGGGACCCCTTGCGGAAGAAGCTTTTCCCGCACTCTGAGCAAGTGTATGGCTTCTCCCCGGTGTGGATCCTCTTGTGTTGAAGAACGTAGGCTTTCTCGCGGAAGGTTTTCCCACAGTCTGAGCACTGATACGGTTTCTCGCTCACGTGGCTTGCCTCGTGGCTGAGAAGCGCATGGCGGGAGGAAAAACTCTGGTCGCACTGGGGGCAGCTGAACAGTTTCTCCCGGCTGTGACCCCTCTCGTGGATGATCAGCTGGGACCACTTGTAAAAGCTTTCTCCACACTGCACGCATTTGTATGGGTTCGCTTTTGCCTTCTTGCCCTGGAGAGATCTTTGGGCAGTATTTGTTTGACTGTCGTCCTCCAAGGTCTTTCGCGGAGTTGCAACTTGCAGAGTGTCTCCTCCAACATTTCCCAAAGTTGCTTCTTCTTCTTCGGTAGACTTCTCCAGCTGAATGTGGGCTTCTTTTTCTTGTGATTGATCATGGTCTGTTGGAACAAAAGAAGAGCAACGAAGATGACTAAGGGACTGGAGGCTAAAACATATAAAGAACGGTTGCTGGAATTGGGTATGTCTAGTTTAATGAAGAGAAGGACGAGGGGGGACATGATAGCAGAGTTCTAGTATCTCAGAGGCTGCCATGAAGAAGAGGGAGTCAAGCTATTCTCCAAAGCGCCTGAAGGCAGGACAAGAAGCAACAGGTGGAAACTAATCAAGGAGAGAAGCAACCCAGAACTAAGGAGAAACTTCCTGACAGTTAGAACAATTAACCAGTGGAACAACCTGCCTCCAGAAGTGGTGAATGTTCCAACACTGGAAGTTTTTAAGAAGAAAATGGTTAGCCATTTGGCTCAAATGGTATAGGGCAGTGGTAGTGAATCTATGGCACATGTGCCAGAGGTGGCACTCGGAGCCCTCTCTGTGGGCACACGCGCCGTTGCCCCAGCCCCACCTCCCTCTGCGGCCTCCTCCTCACCAGCAGCCCCCTAGAGGAGAGTCGCCCCCAGGCTTGGCCTGCGTGGAGTAGCGCAGTCGAGAACATGGCAGCTGGGCAGCAGGGAGAAGACTCTACCCTCATGCCCCTTTGCGTGCAGATGCTGCTGCGGGGCACAGGCAGAGGGCATGGCTGCCATGGCACTGCAGGACCGCCTGGGCAATTTGCTGTGGCGGGCAGTGGAAGCAGTGGGTGGCTCTGCGGGCAGGTGAGGTATGAGTGGAGCAGGGGGCGATGTGGTTTTGGGGCACTTGGCCTCTAAAAGATTCACCATCACTGGTATAGGGTTTCCTGCCTGAGCAGGGTGTTGGGTTAGTTTTCAGCAATCTTTAGGAGTCAGGCTTGGCGGAAAGGAGATATGATCTCTTTTTGGCCTAACCTGGGAACCACGATTTCAAACAAATTGAGGACAATATACAACTGTCCTCAAGTTACAACTGTAACGGAGCCTACCTATCCTGGTTGCAAATCATGAAGCTCATAAATCAGGTCACCCATGTGACTGATCCAGTTTTACGACCTTGTTTTGAAGTGGTTGTTAAGCCGATGACAGGATGGTAAAGCCGCCGCAGTCAGTAAGCAAACCATTAGTGCACAACGGGCCTGGCTTCGACAATTTTGTCAATTTTTGACCAAACACTCGTATGTCTACGGGAGACAACAAACTGTGGCCCAGTTGCGGACTGCCCAAAATACTATTGCACGACTGGACGGGGGGGAGGGAATGGAAGACACCATTGTGACACGAATAGCATTGTGGTCGTACATTTAAGAACCAGAAGCCCAGAACATGGATTAAGACAGGGCTTTTCAACCTTTTCACCCATTGTACCATTTTTAGGATATGGCAACATCCGAGTAGCACCAGTTGCCTAGCAAGGTGTCAAAAACGTGATGACCCCAAAAGGAAAAAAGTGATAAAGCACAGATAGTCTTCGACTTACAACAGTTCGCTTAGTGACTGTTCGAAGTTACAATGGTACTGAAAAAAGTGCCCCCCAAGCCACAGCCGAGCAAGACACCTGCCTGCACACCCAGCGGCGTTCTTCCTCCTGTCCGAGGTTTTCATTGTTGTGAGCATTTCTGTTGAGGATTGGCAGCGGGGATGGGGTGGGGGGTGTTTGGTTTTTATTCCCCCCCCCCCCGTCTGCTGGGTGGTTGCAGCAGGTTTTAGTCACTTCACATGACCCTGGGACACTGTGACCGTCATAAATATGAATCAGTTGCCAAGCATCTGAATGTAAATCAGAAGACTCTGGAGATGCTGCAACATTCCAGCTGATTGGCACTTCTGGGCTAAGCAGAAGTGCCAGGATCAGTGCAGAGCTCCAGATGGAGCCTGGCGCTGGTCCTGGAGCTTCTACTGAGACCTGATAGTCCCAAAGAAGCGCTGATCCTGGCGCTTCTGCTCAGCCCTGACGGCCCTGCAGCTCCAGGCATCTCTCGCTAAGGCTTGTGCGTTGCTGCCACCAGTTCAGCTCATTCCCCTCCCCCACTACCACTTTTCTAGGATGGTTGCATACCACCTGCCAGGTGCCAATGTATTGCAGGTGGTACCCGTACCACTGGTTGAAAAGCCCTGGATTAAGAGACATTTTTCTCGTCTTGTATGAATTTTATGCATGCTATTTTGAGTTTCACCCAAGCTTGTGAGCCTTTTTTTTTTTTTTTAAGTGCAAGGGCTGCTTTTTAATACACACGGTTCTTTTGAGTTTTGTCAAGGTTCTATCCAGGCTGCAAATTTGGAGCTGCTAAAATCGATGGGTAGGTTAGTGGTTATTTTCCTATGCGGAAGATAAAAATGGGGTTAAGACAAGCATCCCAAATGCATTTTCCCAAAGAAAATACGTTTTCAGTAGAACTAGAAAAGTATTTAGACCAGTGCTTCTCAACTCAGCGACTTTTAAGATGTGTGGACTTCAACTCCCAGAATTCCCCAGCCAGCATTGATGCTGGCTGGGGAATTTTGGGAGTTGAAGTCCACACATCTTAAAGTAGTGAGGCTGAGAATAAACTGATTTAAACAAATACGATTAAAACACTAGGAGGTAGAAACAGAGCTCAGAAGAAACTTATTTTCCAAAGCACCAAAGGGCAGGACAAGAAGCAACGGATGGAAACTAATCAAGGAGAGAAGCAACCTGGAATTAAGGAGAAACTTCCTGACAGTGAAGACAATTAAGCAGTGGAACAGCTTTGCCTTCAGACGTTGTGGGCGTTCCATCACTGGAAGTTTTTAAGAAGAGACTGGACAGTCACTTGTCTGAAATGGTGTAGAGTCTCCTGCTTAAGCAAGGGGGTGGACTAGAAGACCTTCAAGATCCCTTCAAGCTCTATTCTAATTGACTGACTGACTGACTGACTGATTGAAAAGAGCTTAGAGCAGTGGTTCTCAACCTTTTTAATGCCGCGACCCCATAATACAGTTCCCCATATTGTGGTGACCCCCAACCACTTATACATCACCGGATGCCAGGGGCGTGGCCAAAGAAAAGGGGGAAAAAAATGGCAGACAGCCTTGTTTGGCGACCCCCCGTGAAATGGTCGTTCGATTCCAAATGGGGTCCCGACCCACAGGTTGAGAACCACTGGCTTAGAGGTAACATGTAACAAAATAACATTTGTTCAAAGAACACAGCCTTTGTCTAACTCGGCTTCCAGCAAGCAATGCCAACAGGGGAAGCCATTTGCTTAAAGCAGAGGTAGGCAACCTTGGCTCTTTTATGACTTGTGGACTTCAACTCCCAGAATTCCTGAGCCAGCCATGCTGAGGGGAAAGGGAGAGGTTTCCAAGCTGAGCCAGGCAGGCTCAGGAATTCTTGGAGTTGAAGTCCATGAGTCATAAAAAAGCCAAGGATGCCTACCCCTGGCCTAGGGGTAGGCAACCTTGGCTCTTTTATGACTCGTATGGACTTCAATTCCCAGAATTCCTGAGCCAGCATGGCTCAGCTTGGAAACCTCTCTCTTTCCCCTCAGCATCGCTGGCTCAGGAATTCTGGGAGTTGAAGTCCACAAGTCATAAAAGAGCCAAGGTTGCCTACCCCTGGTCTAACTGAACAAACTACTGTCTTTGTGGTGCCTCCCTCATTTTAGTGCAGGGACGTGGCCAGGCCATCATCAGAGGTCAACACTGATTCCGGCACAAACATAAAAAAAAGTGAAAAGATAATAAAATGGATTAAATCAGTAAACACAGGGTAGAAGCTCCATAGTTGGTGACATACGGTTCTTCCATTGTGTTTGTGGACTTTTTTTTTTTTTTTTTTTGGGCAGTTGAATGTTCTGAGTTCTGAACAAAAGCCCAAGATTCTGTTAACAAGGAGAAGATGAAGGTGGGGTATTGCTGTCGGAAAGTCACCCTGTACTTATTTTTCTTCTTCAATCACCTTTTCTTTATCTTGGGGGCGCTGATGGTTGGGATTGGCATCTGGATTTTGGCTGACTCAAAGCCCTTCAGTCCCATTCTGCAGAACTCGGCACCGTCGTTCCAAGCTGGGCTTTATGTCTTCATGGGAGTCGGTGCCATCACCATGGTGCTTGGCTTCCTGGGGTGCGTAGGGGCTCTCTTTGGCATCCAGTGTGCCCTTGGCATCTATCTCACCTGCCTGTTGCTCATCCTCTCGGCCCAGATCACCGCTGGTCTGATGATCTACTTCCAACAGAGCTCGCTGAAAGCCAGAATGTCCGAAGTGGTGATCGATCTCTTCCAGACGTACAACCCTTCCGATGAAATGAACCAGGTCCTCGAGTCCGCTTGGGACTTTGTTCAATCCCAGTTCTCGTGCTGCGGCTGGACTGGACCCGAAGACTGGCAACTCAACAAAATCCTCTGGAACAGCAGAATGCAGTTCTATCCGTGTTCTTGCAGCAACCGGACGGAGGACGCCTTGAGAGGAACGGGCTTCTGCGCTCTGGAGACCGATTTGAACACAACCACTCTGGCCGACTGGCCCGTGAAGAAGCAGGGGTGCGGGACGGCTGTGCAGACCTGGTTGCAGGAAAATTTCAACGTCTTTCTCGGGGTTTGCGCGGGGGTGGCCATCACGGAGCTACTGGGAATAGGGCTCTCTCTCTGCCTTTGCAAAGGCAAAACATGCCAATAATGAAGGCGATGCCCTCACCTGGAATCTGGATGCCATCCACGAGGAAAGAGGCAACTGGATTCCTTACTCCAGATGTTTCTTGGCAGTCCCTGCTGGGGCATTAGCCCAACATCTCTTCCTCTACTTATCTTGCTCCCTTCTACCTGTATAAGCCAAGAGCACAAAGGGATGCGGAAGTTCTGAATGGCATTGCTTTCAGCTTTTATTCATCACCATAATAAGATCGAGGATGCTCTGTATGCCTTATAGATACCCCTTTCGCTGTGCCCACCCTCTTCCTTCTATGCAATTTGGATCAAGTTGGGAGATTAGATGGGTGGGCTTCTTCCTCAATTATTCCTACCAAAGGATGGTTCGTCCAAATTATTCTCAAGCTATTCAGACACCGCTCTTAAGGCTGACTTCTTCAATTCTTACTGGAAAATCTCTTCGGTCTGGAATCGTGTCCCTTGCTCTGTTTCTCCAATTTTTTTAAAAATAAAGTGTTGGCTGTACAACATTCTTTCTCTTCCTGTTTGGTGTTCGGGATGCCCATCAGATCAAAGGGTAGGTCAGCTTCAAAGGAGAGTCTTTGAGGATCGCGGTGTGGAATATCTGAAGTTTTCCTGGTTTTGTTCATTGGAAGGCCATTTATTTTTGTTGTACAGGTAATCTTTGACTTTTATTTAGTGACCGAAGTTATTTGTTTAGTGACCGAAGTTACTACAGTACTAAAAAAAAAGACTTACAACATGTTTTTCACACATATGAGCGTGGCACCATCCCACATGATCAAAATTTGGATGTTTGGCAATTGGTTCGTATTGATGACAATTGGACAGTCCCGGGGTCACGTGATCACCTTTTGCGACCTTTTGACTAAGCCAAGTCAATGGGGAAGCCGGATTTCCTTAGCAACCGTGTTACTAACTTAACAACAATTAACAATTGTGGCAAAAAAACAGGTCCTAAAAATGGGGCAAAACTCACTTAACCGTCTTGCTTGGTAACAAAAACTTTGGGCTCAGGTATGATCGTATGTCAAGGGCTACCTGTAAATACATTTGTGAGAGATAAAAAAAAATACAAGCTAAAAAAAGAAAAAAAATAGAAGGTGCAGAAAATAGAAAAAAAAAAAGCTTGGGAGCGCTTGTGGGCGGGTGAGGAACTACAAAGAGCCCATCTACTTGCCGGTTTTCCATTTTTCTGTGGTCATCAGCTACACGCAAAGGCAAGTTAGAGATGGAGCACGCCTCAAGGGCCTGTCAAGAAGGCACTCCTTTCAGAAACTGTGTGGCTGTCAAGATCACCAGATTTTTTTTTCTTGGGTTACCACCTTTGGTTAATGAAGATGCAATAACTAGTGCCATTTTTGTCTAAGGCAGGGGTAGGCCACCTTGCCTCTTTTATGACTCGTGGACTTCAACTCCCAGAATTCCTGAGCCAGCATGGCTCAGCTTGGAAACCTCTCCCTTTCCCCTCAGCGTGGCTGGCTCAGGAATTCTGGGAGTTGAAGTCCACGAGTCATAAAAGGGCCGAGTCTGAAGACCCCTGTTGTAGGTCATCTAGTCCAGGGGTAGGCAACCTTGGCTCTTTTATGACTCGTGGACTTCAACTGCCAGAATTCCTGAGCTAGCAGGGCTCAGCTTGTAAACCTCTCCCTTTCCCCTCAGCATGGCTGGCTCAGGAATTCTGGGAGTTGAAGTCCATGAGCCATAAAAGGGCCAAGGTTGCCTACCCCTGGTCTAAGGTAAACTTGTGTCATTTGAGTACCCAAACTGACAGATGGGAAGAACTTCTAGAATGGATGGCCCTTGGGGGCAAATAATCTAATTATCATCTTGATATATGTTTTTTATTTCATCAATGTATACGGCCATCCCTTTGGCACACATGACTCTCGATTTGAAAATTCCTAAATCGGACAAATAAAAAAATAAAATAAAAACAGAATAAAAAGACCCTTTATACACACACACACACACACACACACACACACTCCTAATAACTATAAAAATATGAATCCCAGGTATATCTGTACAATGATAGAAAATCCTCGAACTGTGGGAAGGGTATAAACCAGCTGTTTATTGTTAAAAACTAAAACAATAAAAACAACTATTTACAATACTAAAAACAACCTAAGCTTTCGCTGGTCCACTGCCAGCGTCATCAGAGTGAGTGTCGAGAGTGGGGAGTTTTCTTATAAACCTTGCTAACTCAGTTTCTTGCCCATTGACCGTGTGACAGGGCCGGCCGTCCTAACTGACTGTAATTGCCTCAGGCACTAAAAACGCATGAAGAGCAAGCCAGAATGCGTACCGCGCTCGCAAGGAGAGGAACTAAAGAAGGCAACAATTGTATGGAAAGGAGACTGGACGCACGACGAATCGCTCAGGTTGAGGGGGAAGAATGACGATCGGAGAACAACGCGATTCGCAGGGAGGAGAAGAAAGACAAACAGCCGCCCGTCCGGTGCGGCTGGTGGGGGAACGATCCCGCAAATACTCCTGCAAGAACATCAGCTGATCGGATACGGACGAGGCGGGGGGGAGAACGCCACAACACATGCACAGGCCCGCACATGGGGAGCCATCTGCTGGGTGCGGATGACGGAGTGAATCTGGGAGCATTTCGGCAGTCACTGCAGCTGATCAAATGCAGACGAGACAGTGGGACAGGATACTACTATGTGCGCGAGGCGTGAAGGGAAACGGGCTGATAGGGATAAGCAGCAGAGGGCAAGAACAGCAGGTGGACAAACGGGACAAAAGGGGGAGCATCAACGGAAAGGCATCTATAATGCCAGACCCAGACGTGCGACCCAGAATGATTACGGTGGGGGGGGGGATCGGAAGATACACCGGCAGCAATAACATCAGGAAAGATAGGATTGACAAGGATGGGAAGGATGGAAAAAGAAACAATGGGAAGAAAGAAGGCTGTGAAATTGTAATGCAAACAAGGGGAGGCGGGACAACTTAGGCAGTTACGATCATTTAGGACAGCCGGCCCTATCACACGGTCAATGGGCAAGAAACTGAGTTAGCAAGGTTTATAAGAAAACTCCCTACCCCCGACACTCACTCTGATGACGCTGGCAGTGGACCAGCGAAAGCTTAGGTTGTTTTTAGTATTGTAAATAGTTGTTTTTATTGTTTTAGTTTTTAACAATAAACAGCTGGTTTATACCCTTCCCAGAGTTTGAGGATTTTCTATCAGTGCGTGCGTGCGTGCGTGCATGCGTGTGTGTCTATAAATAAAAAGGGATGGGGTGGGGAGAGAATAATGACACATTTGCATTTTTAACGACCTAGAATTGCGATTACATATACCGTAAAAGTCCAGAATTCATTTTATAGTCTGTGTTCTCCACTCCTGATCAGCAATGCCTTAGGAGTTATCAAACCAAATGCTAAGTACCAAAGGCACACATAAAACCTTAATAGAGAGTCTTAAAGCTGAATTACGAACTCAAAAGCTGTTCAAATACCTGGGAAAATATTCTGACTGAAGTTAAGATATCAAAAAGCCTAGGACGCCATTGTGAAGCTCTAGATCAAAGGTGGGGAACGATGCCCCCTTTATGACTTGTGGACTTCAACTCCCAGAATTCCTGAGCCGGCATGGGAGTTGATGTCCCCAACTGATAAAAGGGCCATCGTTCCCCACCCCTGCTCTAGATGCTAATCTTTGGTGCTTGAGCCGTTCCTGAAGCTAACAGCCATCCATGTATTCTGCTCAAGTCTAAAGGATGGATCATAAAGACCGGACTTAGCTAGAGTGCCCTCAAGACACAATGCTATCATTGTCTAGGATGGCTTTTCTATGGTTAGACCCACCTGGAAACACAGCCAAGCTATTCTATTTGGTCGCCATGTTTCTTTCCATTGATGCTGAAGCTTCTGAGTTCTGAAGAGAACCAAGGGGTTCCGTGAAAAGGCAACGATGGCGAATTGCTGTTGGCTGTGCCTCAAATGCTTGTTCTGCTTCTTCAACATCCTTTTGTTTCTTGTGGGCGCTACCATGCTCAGTTTAGGCCTCTGGCTTTTGAACACCAAGAGCCCCTACATTTTCCTCCTGCAGGCTATGTTCGACTCCTTCCAAAGCCTGGTGTACATTTTCATCCTTGTTGGCGCTTTCACCATGTTTCTCGGCTTATGGGGCAGCCTAGGACTCCTCTATGATGTGCAATTCGTTTTGAGCATCTACATCCCCCTCCTGATCTTCACTGTCGCCTTCCACTTTTTCCCCGGCTTATTCATGAACTTCCAACAGAAGAAGATTGAAGACAAGCTCACCAAGAACATCCTCGGCCTCATCCAGAACTATAACCCAATGGACCGGGCCAACCAGCACAGAGAGATAGCCTGGGATTATGCTCAGGTCCAACTGTCTTGTTGTGGCTGGACCGGGCCAGAAAACTGGAAAAACAACACATTTTTCCAGGATCAAGTGGGAATCTACCCGTGTTCTTGCAGCAGCCACCCAGCCAGTTTCCAGCCGGTCCTGGGCGTCTGCAGGTTGACCGCCGTTTCCCATAAATCGGTGGATGATTGGCCTGTGACAAAACAGGGATGCGGTACGCTTGTGCAAAAGCGGTTCAAGAAGGTCGCGAACACTGTTTTCGTCGTCTCCTTTGTCGTCCTGTTCTCTGAGATTCTGGGAATCGGCCTTTCATTTTACATTTGCGCAGGCCGAAACATGTACGTTGAAGGTCACAGCTGAATCTCCCAGGGGGAAGATGGCGGTGGCTAAGGGGAACAACCCCTCCGAGGGAAGAAACAGAATTCCTTCTCTCCAGGTTTCTTCCAAGTTTTCTGAGGCATTTTGGCATGGCTGGTAGCTAATGAGTTGGACTCAAGACACAACTTTGAGCCTCCAGAGGTTCAAATGAAATTCCCAGTATGTCTCATCCTTGAGCATACTGGCCTGGCTCCTGAGGCCTGAGGTCCCTTCAGAAAAGGGGAGTTCCAGATCCCTATAGTGTATCTTAAAAGATTTTAAAAGCTGACTAACTTCCGCAACTTTTATCCAGTCAGCTTTATCTACCATTAGATATATGAGACCTCTAAATATTAACATCAGCTCTGAGCTACATAATCTAACCCACTGTTTCTCAACCTCTGGCACTTTAAGATGTGTGGGCTTCAACTCCCAGAATTCCCCAGCCAGACATCTTAAAGTGCCGGAGGTTGAAAAACACTGGTTAATTCTTAAGCTTTATCCAGGGTTCTGATTTAGGACGATCCTTCTTTCCATATCTCTAGCTCTTTTCCATTATCCCAGCCTGCTAACCCTGCATTTAATTCCATCCACAAGTTTATTGAGAAAGGGAAGGCTTTTCGGCAATGTGTTCCTTCACAGAACCAAGCAACTGGATGCTCCTTTGTGTGCTCTTTGACTGTCTGCTCCCAAACATGCTACAAAAATCGAACATTAAGAGACTTGTCTTTTCTCAACGGCACGCCTAACACAAAGGAGCATCCAGTTGCTTGGTTCTGTGAAGGAACACATTGCCGAAAAGCCTTCCCTTTCTCAATAAACCTCCTTCGAGCTCTTGAACCTGTTGATGCGTTATTTCTCCACCTTCCTAAAATAAACTTCTTACGCGAAAAGATGATTCCCGAATCCTTCCCATCACTGTTCATTCGTTGATGACATCGAACGGAAGTGATAATATAGCTCTAGTCTATACCCTAGAGCAGGGGTGGGGAACGATGGCCTTTTTTTATGACTTGTGGACTTCAACTCCCAAAATCCCTGAGCCAGCAGGGGAGTTGATGTCCCCAACTGATAAAAGGGCCATCGTTCCCTGCCCCAGCTCTAGATGCTAGTCTTTGTTGCTAGAGCCGTTCCTGAAGCTAACAGCCATCCGGGGTTTCTGTTCAAGACTAAAGGATGGATCACAAAGACCGGACTTAGCTAGAGTGCCCTCAAGACACAATGCTATCATTGTCTAGGATGGCTTTTCTATGGTTTAGACCCACCTGGAAACACAGCCAAGCTATTCTATTTGGTCGCCGTGTTTCTTTCCATTGATTCTGAAGCTTCTGAGTTCTGAAGAGAATCAAGGGGTTCCGTGAAAAGGCAACAATGGCGATTTTCTGCTGCCCGTGCCTCAAGTGCTTGTTCTGCTTCTTTAACGCCCTTTTGTTTCTTGTGGGCGCTACAATGTTCAGTTTAGGCCTCTGGGTTTTGATCACCAAGAGCGCCTACATTTCCCTCCTGCAGTCTGCGTTCGACTCTTTCCGAAGCCTGCTGTACATTTTCATCGCCATCGGCGCTTTCACCATGTTTCTTGGCTTATGGGGCACCTTGGGACTCTTCTATGGCGTGCGATTCGTTTTGATCGTCTACATCCCCCTCCTGATCCTCATTGTCATCTTCCATTTTTTCCCCGGCTTATTCATGAACTTCCAACAGAAGAAGATTGAAGACAAGCTCACCAAGAACATCCTCGGCTTCATCCAGAACTATAACCCAATGGACCGGGCCAACCAGCACAAAGCGATAGCCTGGGATTATGTTCAGATCCAACTGTCTTGTTGTGGCTGGACCGGGCCAGAAAATTGGAAAAACAACACATTTTTCCAGGATCAAGTGGGAATCTACCCGTGTTCTTGCAGCAGCCACCCAGCCAGTTTCCAGCCGGTCCTGGGCGTCTGCAGGTTGACCGCCGTTTCCCATAAATCGGTGGTGGATGATTGGCCCGTGACAAAACAGGGATGCGGTACGCTTGTGCAAAAGCGGTTCAAGAAGGTCGCGAACACTGTTTTCGTCGTCTCCTTTGTCGTCCTGTTCTCTGAGATTCTGGGAATCGGCCTTTCATTTTACATTTGCGCAGGCCGAAACGTGTACGTTGAAGGTCACAGCTGAATCTCCCAGGGGGAAGATGGCGGTGGCTAAGGGGAACAACCCCTCCGAGGGAAGAAACAGAATTCCTTCTCTCCAGGTTTCCTTCCAAGTTTTCTGAGGCATTTTGGCATGGCTGGTAGCTTATGAGTTGAACTCAAGACCCAACTTTGAGCCTCCGGAGGTTCAAATGAAATTCCCAGTATGTCTCATCCATGAGCATATTGGCCTGGCTCCTGAGGGTTGAGGTCCCTTCAGAAAAGGGGAGTTCCAGATCCCTATAGTGTATCTTACAAGATTTCTGACCAACTTCCGCAACTTTTATCCAGTCAGCTTTATCTACCATTAGATATATGAGACCTCTCAACATTAACATCAGCTCTGAGCTACATAATCTAACCCACTGTTTCTCAACCTCCAGCACTTTAAGATGTGTGGGCTTCAACTCCCAGAATTCCCCAGCCAGCATGGCTGGCTGGGGAATTCTAGGAGTTGAAGTCCACACATCTTAAAGTGCCGGAGGTTGAGAAACACTGGTTAATTCTTAAGCTTTACCCAGGATCCTGATTTGGGACGATCCTTCTTTCCATATCTCTAGCTCTTCTTCCATTATCCCGGCCTGCTAACCCTGCGTTCAATTCCATCTACAAGAAACCAGGTCTTTGCTGCCTCTTTGATTGTCTGCTCCCAAATATGCTACAAAAACCGAATGTTAAGAGAGTTGTCTTTTCTCAACCACACGCCCGACACAAGGGAGGATCCAGTTGCTTAGTTCTTTGAAGGAACATACTGCCAAAAGGAACACACTGCCAAAACGCCTTCCCTTTCTCAATAAACTTCCTTCGAACTGTTGAACCGGTTGCTGCGTTATTTCTCCACCTTCCTAAAATAAACCTCTTACGCGAAAAGACGATTCCCGGATCCTTCCCATCACTGTTCATTCGTTGATGACACTGAACAGATCAAAGATTGCCCCAGCCGTGCAAGTGTGATTTTGCAGATTATTTTCTTGGACAGGTCTATCCAATGCCTTCTGGGTGTATGTGCATGTGTTTGGGTGTGTGTATGTGTTAATAAGGATATGATCGAGATCACAGGAAGTGATAATATAGCTCTAGTCTATACCCTAGAGCAGGGGTGGGGAATGATGGCCTTTTTATGACTTGTGGACTTCAACTCCCAGAATTCCTGAGCCAATTGAAGTCCACGAGTCATAAAAAGGTCATCGTTCCAAATGCTGGCTCAGGAATTCTGGGAGTTGAAGTCCCCATGTCATAAAAGGGACATCATTCCCCCTGCTGGCTCAAGAATTGTGGGAGTTGAAGTCCACAAGTCATAAAAGGGCCATTGTTCCTCATGCTGGCTCAGGAATTCTGGGAATTGAAGTCCACAAGTCATAAAAGGGCCATCGTTTCCCATGTTGGCTCAGGAATTCTGGGAATTGAAGTCCACAAGTCATAAAAGGGCCATCGTTCCCCATGCTGGCTCAGGAATTCTGGGAATTGAAGTCCACAAGTCATAAAAGTGCCATCGTTCCCCATGCTGGCTCAGGAATTATGGGAATTGAAGTCCACAAGTCATAAAAGGGCCATCGTTCCCCATGCTGGCTCAGGAATTCTGGGAATTGAAGTCCACAAGTCATAAAAGGCCAAGGTTCCCCACCCCTGGGCTAAGGGAACTATGTATGTTTAGCCTAATGAAGAGAAGGTTTAAGGGAGACAAGATAGTAGTCCTCCAATACTTGAAGGGCTGTCACAGGAAAGAAGGGGATCCATTTATTCTCCAGAGCAGCTGAGGGCAGAACAAGAAGCAGTGGAAGCCAACTGGGAACGTACAAATGGAAACCACACGATCCCAGGATGCTGCAATCCTCATAAATAGTAGCTCGGGTTCTCCGACCCTTTGGAACAGCAATAGCCCACAAGTATATGTTAAGTTTAAAGATGGAAGAGGAACAAGTTCAAGAAACAATGATAACATGGGCAAAAAAAAGTTTGGGCATAACATAGGTCAGTGGTTCTCAACCTGTGGGTCAGGACCCCATTTGGGGTCGAACGACCATTTCACGGGGGTCGCGAAACAATGCAGTCCGCCATTTTTTCCCCCTTTTCCTTAGCTGTGCTACTCCCTTTTATTCTATTGGCTTTTGAAAGCCAATAGAATAGACTCTCTTGAATAGAGTCTAATTCTATTGGCTTTTGAAAAGCCAATAGGAATTGTCCAGGCTGTCTCTGCCCTGCTGAGCCCGCCAAAAGTCCCATTCTGCAGACGGTGCTGCACCAGTTGAGTAGTCCTCGACTTACGACTGGTTGAGTAGTCCTCGACTTACAACCGTTGGGGATCGTGGCATTAAAAAGGTTGAGAACCACTGACATAGAGTTAAAAAATTAGCAAAGCCTTCTAAAATTCTAAAATAACAAAGGCGGTGGCGTACAAAGAAAACCTATATAAAATGTTCCACAGATGGCACTTATCACCTGTGAGCTTAGCAAAAATATGTCTAGCAATTGTTGGAAATGTAGACAAAAACCAGGCACATATTATCATCTTTGGTGGACATGCCCTAAAAGCCAAGAATACATATATGGTTAGAGAAAACGATAAAAAAAACATGGAGATTTTAAGCCAGAATTATTTTTGTTAGGTATAATTGTAGGAAATTATGAGGAAGGATGTGTATATTTAATGTTAAATGTATTAACTGCAGCGAGAATCGTATTTGCTCAACGTTGGAAAGATGAAGAATTACCAGCGGAGGAAGAGATAATTGAGAAAACTTTGGACTGTGCAGAAATGGATAGACTTACATTGAAAATGAAAGAGAAAAAAAAATTCAGAGAGAGGGAGTAAGGGAGGGAGGGAGGGAGGGAGGGAGGGAGAGAGAGAGAGAGAGAGAGAGAGAGAGACAGACAGAGATGTTCCCCAGGAACACAAAATGGAAACCTTGGAACTGATTAAAACAAAATCCAGTTAACAAACAGCCAAAGAAGGGAATGAGATTACCTGCTGGATCTTTTCTTTTCACAGCTGTATCTTTCGGCTCTCGGCTCTTGGGATCATCCAGATGTTCGGAATGTCCTTCTGCTTCCTCCCTGTTGCTCTCTCTGAAGGGCGCCTCACGTGGGTTCCCATCCCCGTTATTCTGAATCCCGTCCCTGGCTGCAATCACCCCCCCAAAAAACCCACAGAAACTTCAGTCCCAAACTCAACTCTCGCAGGAAAATTGAAAACAAAAACACAAGTTCCTCCAATTAACTATGAATACCGGATCTCTCCACTTCTAGTCCAGACCTTCCCAGTTAAGCTCACCATCCACCCCCCCCCCCAGCCCAGCTCTGCGTCTAAGAGGGAGGAGCTGGCCCAAAGAGTCCCACGGTAGAGTGTCTGTGGAGATTCTCCATCATCCGGGCCAGGGTTGTCCCAAAGGTGACTTTTTCAATAGGCAACCAGACTTTCTTTGGAGACGTTTCGCTTCTCATCCAAGAAGCTTCTTCAGCTCCGACTGGATGGTGGGGCAAATGGAAGGATTTATACTCCTTGCAGACAGCTGGTCATTTGCCTCCTTTTAGAGCAGTGGTTCACACCCTGTGGGTCGGGACCCCATTTGGGGTCGAACGACCATTTCACGGGGGTCGCCAAACAATGCAGTCCACCATTTTCCCCCCCCCTTTTCCTTAGCTCTGCTACTCCCTTTTATTCTGTTGGCTTTCGAAAGCCAATGGAATAGACCCTCTTGAATAGAGTCTAATTCTATTGGCTTTCAAAAGCCAATAGGAATTGTCCAGGCTGTCTCTGCCCTGCTGAGCCCGCCAAAAGTCCCATTCTGCAAACGGTGCTGCACCAGTTGAGTAGTCCTCGACTTACGATTGGTTGAGTAGTCCTCGACTTACGACCGGTTGGGGGTCGCGGCATTAAAAAGGTTGAGAACCACTGTTTTAGAGAGTTGCTGAGGCCACTTGGAGGCTGTTCTGTCCCAGCCTACGTGAGTCCTTACTAAACTCACAAGGAGAAACCCCTCTTCCAACGAGCAGGCTGGAACCGCAGGAAAAAAACAATCCCCTTTTATTATTCACAGACCTTAGTCAGTGTCCAAGGCAAACAAAACACAGTTCACTGAAACTCGATCCTCAACAGGAACGGTTGCCTTTGGCAACCAGCACCTCCCACGCCTTCCCTTTTATTATGCAGCCAAGGCCTGGCTTCCTAATGCCTTCTCCTTTGCCTTTGGAGCCGCCCCATTGCATTCCTCTGTCCTACTCCCTTCTCTTGCAGATGTTTTCGTGCATCCTTGATATATCCCAGCTGTAATTCATCACTGTCCAACTCAGACTCCCAGCACAGCTATGTTTCAGCCTGAGCGCGAGCAGAGGGGCCAGGCTCCTTGTCGGACTGTAAGTCTTGGGGCTCCTCAGAGCCTTCCTCTGACTCTGATGTCACTCCAGGCCCCTCCTCCGATTCCTCCAATTCAGCTGCCGGATCCACTGGCTGGCTAGGAATCACAACAGAGGCACTCGAATGGTGCGGGAGTATGGATGGATTTCCAGAAAAAAATTGCAGACTTGAGCTTGAGCTTGCGATGCATTACAACACAGACTCATCCCCAACAGCTGGTGTTTGTGTTCAGCGGTGAAGGGACACAGGGCAGGAAACATGCACAGCTCCACCACACAACACAGTCCTGTCAGCAGTCCCAAGAAGGCTCCATACCCATTTGCACCGCTCAGGTGGCCCTGAGGACACAGATAAGCCTCCAAGTGGCTTCAAGGACTCTCTAAAAGGACGCAAATGACCAGCTGTCTGCAAGGAGGATAAATCCTTCCGTTCCCCACCATCCAGTCAGAACTGAAGAAGCTTCTTGGAGGAGAAGGGAAACGTCTTCAACGAAAAACAAAAAAAAGTCCAGTTGCGTCTTGAAAAAGCATCTTTGGGGTCCTGAGGTAGAAAGAGGACCAGAACTCTTGTCTCTCCAATTGTAGTCCAAAATATTCAGTACTACTACACCCTGGTTCTGGGACTGAGAGAGACTGGCCCAGAGTCTCAGATAAGAAACTGGGTCTCCTTGGCTCTAATCCAGGGGTCTTCAAACTTGTCAACTTTAAGACTTGTGGACTTCAACTCCCAGAATTCCTCAGCCAGCCAGGGCTGGCTGAGGAATTCTGGGAGTTGAAGTCCACAAGTCTTAAAGTTGACAAGTTTGAAGACCTCTGCTCTAATCCATATCTTGCCTGAACAATTACGCTCCTTTGGTCCCCTCTGAGTCAGAGACTGGACTTGGGCTACTGGGCAAAAAGATGCTCTCAATGGAACGATCAGATAAGGGAGAGCCTAGCCCAGGGGTAGGCAACCTTGGCTATGCTGGCTCAGGAATTCTGGGAGTTGAAGTCCACGAGTCATAAAAGAGCCAAGGTGGCCTACCCCTGGCCTAGCCCACAGCTGGATTAGTGAGTGGGGACAAGAGGCTCAGAAGAGACCCACCCTCGTTGCTTGGGCTGTAAAGAAGGGGGGAGGGCAGGCGGGGAGGAAGACAATGGACTTTAAGACTTGCAAGACTCTATCAATGTAACTTCACAATAAAGTAGAATTAACTCATCTGTGTAGCAAAAGGAGTGGCAGAGCCTGAAGAGGAGGGGAGGGGGGAGGAGAGTGAAAAGAAGAATCAGTGCAGGGCAGGGGTAGGCAACCTTGGCTCTTTTATGGACTTCAACTCCCAGAATTCCTGAGCCAGCCATGCTGAGGGGAAATGGAGAGGTTTCCAAGCTGAGCCAGGCTGGCTCAGGAATTCTGGGAGCTGAAGTCCACGAGTCATAAAAGAGCCACGGTTGCCTACCTTTGGATTAGAGTATATAGATGCCATCCAGAGAGTAGAAAACTTCAACTCCCAGAATTCCTGAGCCAGCCATGCTGAGGGGAAAGGGAGAGGTTTCCATGCTGAGCCATGCTGGCTCAGGAATTCTGGGAGTTAAAGTCCACAAAAGAGCCAAGATTGCCTACCCCTGGCCTAGAGTCTCCATGTTCCCACAAGCGGAACTACAATTAAGGAACTACAATCAGAATGGAGCTGGAAGGGACCTTGGAGGTCTTCTAGACCAACCCCTGCTAAAGCAGGAGATCCTATACCCTTTGAGACAAGTGGCTGTCCAGTCTCTTCTTAAAAACCTCCAGTGATGAAGTACCCACAATGTCTGAAGGCAAAGCTGTTCCACTGGTTATTTGTCCTCCCTGACAGGAAGTTTCTCCTTAGTTCCAGGTTGCTTCTCTCCTTGATTAGTTTCCATCCCTTGTTTCTTCTCTTGCCTAAGTGCTCCAAGTCCCTTCCATTAACCCTTATCTAGCACCAAAATACAGGTAGTCCTCGACTTACAACAGTTCACTTGGTGACTGTTCAAAGATACACCTCTGTTGAAAATAAGTGACTTAGGACCAAATTTTCACACTCACAACTGTCACCCCTTCCCCCATCGTCACGTGATCAAAATTCAGATGCTTGACAGCTGACTCCTACTTATGACGGTTGCAGTATCCCAAGGTCATGTGAACACCTTTTGTGACCTTCTGGCAAGCCAGGTCAGAGGGGAAACCCAGATGCACTTAACAACCGTTTTACTGACTTAGCGACCGGGGCAGGGGTAGGCAGCCTTGGCTCTTTTATGACTCGTGGACTTCAACTCCCAGAATTCCTCAGCCAGCCACGCTGAGGGGAAAGGGAGAGGTTTCCATGCTGAGCCAGGCTGCCTCAGGAATTCTGGGAGTTGAAGTCCATGAGTCATAAAAGAGCCGAGGTTGCCTATCCCTGGACAGGGGCAAAAAAAGGTGGTAAAATAGGGCAAAAAAAAATCTACTTAACAAAATGTCTCACTTAGCAACGGAAATTTTGGACTCCATTGTGGTCGTTGAGTCGAGGACTATCTGTACTGGTCAACTGGAGGGAGCTTCAAGCTGGCAATATTTGTGGTGCAGATTCAGACATTGTTCCGGAAGCCACAGGAAAGAAAACAAATCATGGCTTCGTTCAATGTGGGAACCTGGTTTTGGAGCAGAATCTCTCCGTCTCCGTTCCTCCCTGACCACAACATTCCCAATTGAAACCCACTTTCAATCCTTGCCACCTCAGAGGACACGGTCTTCTCGGCTATGGCTTCCTTTCCAACGGACTCTTTCACCGTCCTGTCTTCTAGAAGACAAACAGAAACAGCTGTGACAGGAGGGAAAAACATTAGTAGGGCATGTCCTTCTCCCTGCAAAGGCCTAGATCGGGGGCGGGGAGCCTTGGCACTTTCATGACTTGTAAGCATGAAAAACGGTCATTTCTCCCCCAGCCGTTGTAACTTTGAACGGTCACTAAATGAACGTCTGTAAATCAAGGACTACCTGTAACACAATTTTTGTTTTCTTAGCCAGTAGTCATACGTGCAGGGAAGAAACAAAAAAGTACTTTAGTATAGGCAGCGTGGCTTGGGTATTCAGCACCTCACACACAACTAGTCATAGGATGACAACATGTGGCTCTGGAGCTGTATGTGGCTCTTTGAGCCTTCTCCTGCGGCTCCAAACCTCCTCTACCATTTGCAGAGAGAGATAGGGACAGAGACAGAGAGAGGCACTTGAGCTTCCCTTCTCTCTCTCTCTCTCTCTCTCTCTCTCTCTCTCTCTCTCTCTCTGTGTGTGTGTGTAAGACACACTGTTCTCCAATGAGCTGACAAGCTTATTGGGCGGGGCTCCTCCCTTTGCTGAGTCTCTGCAGAAAGCAGGAAGCAGGAAGGGCAGGAAAGTGCCAGCCCAATGATGTGTGTCAGCTTGTTGGAGAACAGCCTGAAGCCAGCTTGCCAGGTGAGCAGAAAATCGGAGAGAGCGAGAGTGGGGGGGGGGAGAGAGAGAAAGAGAGAGGAAAGAGAGAGAGAAAGAGAGAGGGAGAGAAAAAGAGGGACAGAGAGAAAAGAGAGAGGGAGAGAAAGAGAGAGGAGAGGGAGAGGGGGAGACAGAGAAAAAGAGAGGGGGAGAGGGGAGAGAGGAAAGAGAGAGAAAAGAGAGGGAGAGAGGAAAGAGAGAGTGAAAGGAAAGAGAAAGAGAGAGAGGAAAGAAAGAGAGAGAAAGAGAGAGGGAGGGAGAGGAAAGAGAGTTTTGCGGCTCCAAGTGTTTTCTTTTCTCTGGGAAACGGGTCCAAGTGGCTCTTTGAGTGTTTAAGGTTGCCGACCCCTGGACTATGGGATTATAGAAGCAGGTCTCCAAAGGGGAGGTTTGGAAAAAGGGAAGGGAAAGTGATGGGAAAATTGGCTCTCAAGAGGGCACTTCTGGTCAGCCAGTGACATCTGCAGTGAAGGTCACAAAAATTCAACATGATGGTCATAACTGAGGCATCAACGAAGCATGGAAAAAAGTGACGACGGGGTCTTTGATCGCACAGCCGTGGCCATCTTGAATATTCTGAGCTGCCCTCTGAGGCGTGAGGAGTCCTTACCCAAAATAACGGACTTTCTGTCTTTCCGAGCAATTTTCTTGAGCTTCGCCATGTCCTGGCTTTTTGACTGAGCTTCCTTTGAGGCAGGGAAATTGGAAGCCTGCCCTTCTGATGGCCGATCCACCTGGAACAGAGGTGAAGGAAAGAATTTGAGAAACCGAGGGTGAATCAAACGGTAGAGGCAGATGACATTTGATGGAAATCTGCTGTCATGGTTCCGACAGATGAACCTCTTCAAAAGAACTTTGAGGCATTGTTGACCTTAAAGAATCTTTATTTTGAGTAGCATAACATTAGCACTGCATAATCAAAGCCAAAAACTGAATTCCCCTCCCCTGAGCACATAGTATCAAAGCACAATTCCCTCCTCCAATTAACTGTCATAAATCACTTTCCCCAATTAGCTTGAAGTGCAGGCTTCCTCTCCAGTTCTCCAGGCCGCCAATTCCTTAACAGCTCTGGTTATAATAACTTTGTTTCTCACCCTAGGTCTAGAGTTGTTATGTCTAGCTGGATTCTCGCTCACATCCCCCCTCCCAGCATCATCTAACTCTAAAAGCAAAAAGTAAAAGATGGCTACATCTCCACTTGTTGTCAATGCAGAAACATCCGATGTTAGCCGCGTTGACATCTGCAAGAAACCATTGTGTAGGCAAAAAAGGCTGGTTCAAAAGTCCAAAATACAGGTGGGTCCTCAACGTACGACTGCAATTGACAATCACAGCATCGGGGGGAGGATGTGATTGCCTTTTGCGACCTTCTGACAAAAGCAAAGTCAATGGGAAAAGCAGACTTGCTTAACAACCCGGTTACTCACTTTAACAACTGTGGCAGTTTCACTTAACAACTGTGGCAAGAAAGGTCATAAAATGGAGAAAAACTCCCTTAACACCTGTTTCACTTAGCAGCATCTATGTTGGGCTCAATTGCGGTCGTAAGTCGAGGATAACCTGTATTTTCCCTACTGCCTGTAGAGAATTGTTCTGATTAGTTACAGGTGGTCCTCAGCCTACTAACTCAGGGGTTGGCCATCTTGGCTCTTTTATGACTCGTGGACTTCAACTCCCAGAATTCCTGAGCCAGCCATGCTAAGGGGGACAGGGAGAGGTTTCCAAGCTGAGTCAAGCTGGCTTAGGAATTCTGGGAGTTGAAGTCCACGAGTCATAAAAGAGCCAAGGTTGCCTACCCTTGGCCTAGCCATTCATTTAGCGACTGTTCACAGTTTACAACAGCACTAAAAAAAATGACTTACAACCAGTCCTCCCGCTTACGACTGTCACAGTATTTCCTTCAGTCACAATGATCAACATTTGGGCGCTTAGCAACAGGCAGGGGTTTACGACGGTTGCAGCCCCCCAGGGTCACATGATTTGGCCAGGATCAAATCTGAATTTTGATCAGGTGACTACGGGGGATGCTGCGAGGTTCTAAGCGTGGAAAACCAGTCGTAAGTCTCTTTTTTTCAGCACCGTTGTAACTTCGGTCCCTAAATCAACCGTTGTAAGTTGAGGACGACCTGAACGCTGGCACGAGACTTTGGCTTTATGTTCTGCTTTGCGAATTTCCACAGATGCCGTGCACAGAAATTGAGAATTTGGACTGGGCAGCCCCGATCAACTCACGAGGGCCTCTGCAGGAGTTTTTCTTTCGGTCTTGACCCTCTTAAGCAGAAAAAACACTCCCTTCTCTTAGGACAGGTGTAGGCCATCTTGGCTCTTTTACGACTCGTGGACTTCAACTCCCAGAATTCCTGAGCCAGCCATGCTGAGGGGAAAGGGAGAGGTTTCCAAGCTGAGCCAGGCTGGCTCAGGAATTCTGGGAGTTGAAGTCCACGAGTCATAAAAGAGCCAAGGTGGCCTACCCCTGTCTTAGGACGTCCCAAAGGTGCTTTTTCAGGAGGCAACTGGACTTTCTTGCTTTTCCTTGGAAGACATTTCGCTTCTCACCGGAGAAGCTTTTTCAGCTCTGACTGGATGGTGGGGAATGGGAGGATTTATACTCCTTGCAGACAGCTGGTCATTTGCATTCTTTTTAGAGAGTCCTTGACGCCACTTGGAGGCTTATCTGTGTCCTCAAGGTCACTTGAGTAGGGCAAATGTGTGTGGAGCCCTCTTGGCTGCAGGATGTTTTCTGCCCTGGGTCCTTTCACTGTTGGAAGTCAGGCGCAGGCTGCTGGGGACGAGTCTGCGTTGTCTGCATCTCAAACTGAAGTGCAGATGGTTCCTGCAGTCTGCAATGTTTTCTGGAAATCCATTCGTACTCTTGCGCTGTTTCCCCCACCAGTGAAGGGACTATCCCAGGGGTGTCAAACTCAATTTCATTGAGGGCCGCATCAGCACTGCGGTTGCCCTGGGTGTGTATGTGTGTGTGTGTGGCCAGGGTGGGTGCGACCTACTGGGTGGGTGTGAATGGAGTGGGTGTGGCCTGCTGGGTGGGCGTGGCCAGCTCTACATCATTTGCATCAAGGGGGCCTGTGGGGGCCTGGGCAGGAGTGGGACAGATCTGAGGGTCTCTGGCAAAAAGGGGGGGGACCAGGGCAGAGCCCATCAAGCCGGATATGTGAAGTAGGCGAGGGCCATTTGCTGGCCACTTCCAGGCGATGGTGCATTTCTTCATTCCTCACAAAGAGTGACACCTCCCCAGCATGCACCCAGGGGGCGGGGCCGACGCGGCAGGGGCTGGTTCCTCGCTGTTTCCAGACGGCCTTGTGGAGCTAAGACTGAATGCGTTTCAGCATAGATGGCCACCACAAAATTGTACATTGGCTCCCGGCCGGCCTGGGCCAGGACCAAGACAGGGGGGCCGTTCCCTCACTGTTTCCAGGATGGCTTTGCGGGCCACGTGAAACCACTTCGCGGGCCGCATCCGGCCCCCGGGCCTTGTGTTTGACAGGTCTGGACTATTCAGTCAGAGCTGAAGAAGCTTCTTGGATGAGAAGTGAAACGTTTTCAGAAAAAAAACAAAAAAAGTCCAGTTTGCCTTCTAAAAGAGCACCTTTGGGACAACCGTGACCTGGATGATTGAGAATCTCCACAGACATTCTGGCACTGGGCACTAATGGAGGCCCTCAGCCCTCGCGCGTCAGTGCCCCACGGTGATCCCTCACCTGATTCTCTAGGAAATCCTCTGCCAAAGAGATGGCCTGGTTACAGGTTGAGGGCCCCTGGTCCCTGATGCTCTCCTGCATCTCCCGGGGCAGGATGGCCAGGAACTGCTCCAGGATCACCAGCTCCAGGATCTGCAATTTAGTGTATCTCCCGGGAGTTAACCACTGGTGGCAGAGATGCCAGAGCTGCCTGCAAACTTTACGAGGTCCTTCATTCTCCCGGTAGCAGAAGTCACGGAAACGCCGGCGCTCGGACTCGGCGTTGACCAGAGGCTCCTCCTGGGTGTTTTGCCTGGGTCTGTCCCGGCACTCTCTCCAAGGCCTGGCCTGGAGCACGGGAGAGCTTTTTCCAGCTGCGGATTTTGCCGGCTCTTGCTCCCGGATGGATGCCAGCTGAGAGTCCAGGGCTGAAGGGGTCAGAAGGGGACAATCAACTTTACCATAACAACAAAAAAAGACATCACAAGACCCTCATTTGACAGGACCCACACCTGACCCCATCACAAGACCCTCACTTGACAGGACCCACACCTGACCCCATCACAAGACCCTCACCTGACAAGACCCACACCTGACTCCAACACAAGACCCATCACAAGACCCTCACTTGACAGGACCCACACCTGACCCCATCACAAGACCCTCACCTGACAAGACCCACACCTGACCCCATCACAAGACCCATCACAAGACTCTCACTTGACAGGACCCACACCTGACCCCATCACAAGACCCTCACTTGACAGGACCCACACCTGACCCCATCACAAGACCCTCACCTGACAAGACCCACACCTGGCTCCAACACAAGACCCATCACAAGACTCTCACTTGACAGGACCCACACCTGACCCCCATCACAAGACCCTCACTTGACAGGACCCACACCTGACTCCAACACAAGACCCATCACAAGACTCTCACTTGACAGGACCCACACCTGGCTCCAACACAAGACCCATCACAAGACTCTCACTTGACAGGACCCACACCTGGCTCCAACACAAGACCCATCACAAGACTCTCACTTGACAGGACCCACACCTGGCCCCATCACAAGACCCTCACTTGACACGACCCACACCTGGCTCCAACACAAGACCCATCACAAGACTCTCACTTGACAGGACCCATACCTGACCCCCATCACAAGACCCTCACTTGACAGGACCCACACCTGACTCCAACACAAGACCCATCACAAAACTCTCACTTGACAGGACCCACACCTGACCCCCATCACAAGACCCTCACTTGACAGGACCCACACCTGACTCCAACACAAGACCCATCACAAGACTCTCACTTGACAGGACCCACACCTGGCTCCAACACAAGACCCATCACAAGACTCTCACTTGACAGGACCCACACCTGGCTCCAACACAAGACCCATCACAAGACCCTCACTTGACAGGACCCACACCTGACCCCATCACAAGACCCTCACTTGACAGGACCCACACCTGGCTCCAACACAAGACCCATCACAAGACTCTCACTTGACAGGACCCACACCTGACTCCCATCACAAGACCCTCACTTGACAGGACCCACACCTGAGTCCATCACAAGACCCTCACTTGATAGGACCCACACCTGAGTCCAACATAAGACCCTCACTTGACAGGACCTACACCTGACCCTATCACAAGACCCTCACTTGACAGGACCCACACCTGACCCCATCACAAGACCCTCACTTGACATGACCCGTACCTGAAACCCTTATAAACAGAATGTCGACACTGACATTCCCCTAAACTCCGCTGAAGAAGTTACCTAGCTGTTGGACCTTCGGAACTGGGTTGCAAGAATCCCTAGGGGATGTCTATTGTAATTTCTGAAGGATCGGTCATAAGTCAAGGACTACTTCGTATGTTTCCTCTGAATCCGAAGTACAGGTAGTCCTCGTGTTACGACCACCACTGAGCCCAAAATTTATGTTGCTAAGGAAAACGTTGGTTAAATGAGCTTGCCCCATTTTCCTGTCACGTGATCCAAATTCAGAAATCTTCGCAACCGACTCATATTTACGACGGTTGCAGCATCCCAGGGTCATGTGATCACCTTTTTGCGAATTTCTGACCAGCAAAGTCAATGGGGGAAGGTGGATTCACTGAACAACCACGTTCCTAACAACAACCACAGGGATTCACGTAACAACTGTGGCAAGAAAGATTGTAAAATGGGACAAAACGTACTTAGCAACTTGTCACACTTAACAACAGAAATTCCGGACTCAATTTTGCGGTTGTTAAGTCGAGGACTACCCTGTACCGTGTGAGCTCCCAAAAATATATTATTTGCGTTGAGGCCGCACTCTCCTCCTGAACTCGACGACGCGTTTTCCTTGCGCCCGTTTTTTCGGCTACACGAGTTGAACAAAAGGCCGCGACCGGTTACCTGGGCTGGCGGGAAGAGAATAGGAGTGCTCCAGACCCACAACGCCACCCCCGGGAGAGGGCGTGTTGGCGCTGCTTTCCACTTTTAACAAATTCCTCGGCTGAGTATCGGGGGGCTTATGGCGAAGAAGTGGCCGTCTTCTTTTAGCGCCCTGTAAAAGAGTGGAGATAAATTTAATGAAGAAAAGGACGAGGGGGGAACACGATAGCCATGTTCCAATATCTCAGGGGCTGCCACAAAGAAGAGGGAGTCAAGCTATTCTCCAAAGCGCCTGAGGGCAGGACAAGAAGCAATGGGTGGAAACTAACCAAAGAGAGAAACAACCTAGAACTAAGGAGAAATTTCCTGACAGAACAATTAACCAGTGGAATAACCTGCCTCCAGAAGCGGTGAATGCTCCAACACTGGATGTTTTTAAGAAGAGACTGGACAGCCATTTGGCTGAAATGGTATAGGGTTTCCTGCCTGAGCAGAGGGTTGCACTAGATGACCTCCAGGGTCCCTTCCGACTTTATTATTATTAAATTTTGAGAAGGGATCTGGAAGTCTGGGTGACACAGCTGCCAGTGAGCTGGTTTTAGGAAATTCACCCACAGAAAGAAGCAGCAACGGATCCCTTCCAAAGCCACATTCTGCTTCACGATCTTCAAGACCCACATGAAGATGTGGAGACTTTGGAAAAAACGCAGAGAAGAGCGCCTAAGACAGTGGTAGCGAACCTATGGCACGCGTGCCAGAGGCGGCACTCAGAGCCCTGTCTGTGGGCACGCGCACCATGCCCTGGGGATGGCAATCGTCCCTCTTCAATCAGCTGCCCATTAACTCTCTGAGGTCCCACGGGGCCGGATGCATCCCAGCATGGCTGGTTTCCCTCCCCCCCTCCCATCCCTCCTGGCCTCGCATGCTCTCCTTTTCCTGGGCACGACCCACTGCATCGTCTCCTCAACTGTCGGCCGGCCGTCCAGCTCAAAGGCGGCTTCTGAACTGCTGGCAGCGGGCTGCACAGCCCCAGAGTGCGCCAGTCAAGGGGTTGGCAGGCTGTGGCTACTGACGGACACTGTCAGCCCCCATGTGCTCGCTGGCCTCTGTGTGCGGGGGCCGATGGTGTCAGGCAGCAGTCGCCCCGGCCCCTGTCTCGCCTTGCCCTGCGACAATGGCACCCCTGCCCTGCCTCGCCTCACGCCGCAGGACAAGCCTCCTGCCCACCGCCCCACCTGGCAGAGACCCCCTGGATCTCTCCCAACCCTGCCCGGCCCCCACAGGCATCCCTTCCCACAAGCAACATCGAGGTGACCACGCCCACCTTGGCCACACCCAGCCAGTCTGCCATGACCACAGCCACGCCCACCCAGTGGGCTCTGCCCACCCGGCACCCGGCAATAAATAAGTGGGTTTTGGGTTGCAGTTTGGGCACTCGGTCTCTAAAAGGTTCGCCATCACTGGCCTAAGACGATCCAAGCCATGGAGACTAAAACATGTGAAGAACGGCTGCAGGACTTGGGTTTGGCCAGTCTAGAGAAAAGAAGGGCCAGGGTGTGACATGACAGCACTGTTCCAGGATTTCAGGGGCTGTCACAAAGAAGAGGAAGGGGTCAAGTTATTTTCCAAAGCATCTGAAGGCAAGACAAGAAACTAATCAAGGAAAAAAAGCCATCTGGAATTAAGGAGAAGCTTCCTAACAGTGAGGACAATTAACTAGTGGAATGGCTTTGCCTTCAGAAGTGGTAGGTGAGAGTAAAAACTTACAGTTGGTATGATGAAACATAACAAATTAATCCAGACAACACGTTGTTCATCAAGCACTAAGGAACTGTAATAGCAGAAAATTAATAAAGTATTTTTTTTTTTTTAAAAAAAAGTGGTAGGTGCTTCATCACTGGAGGTTTTTAATAAAAAACTGGACAGCCATTTCTCTGAAATGGTATAGAGCAGGGGTAGACAACCTTGGCTCTTTTATGACTCGTGGACTTCAACTCCCAGAATTCCTGAGCCAGCATGGCTCAGCTTGGAAACCTCTCCCTTTCCCCACAGCATGGCTGGCTCAGGAATTCTGGGAGTTGAAGTCCACCAGTCATAAAAGAGCCAAGGTGGCCTACCCCTGGTCTAAGGGCTATTCTAAGTGTTATTTATGTAGCCTAGACCAGAGGTAGGCCATCTTGGCTCTTTTATGACTTGTGGACTTCAACTCCCAGAATTCCTGAGCCAGCATGGAGGAACTATGGCCTCTTCATGACTCGTGGACTTCAACTCCCAGAATTCCTGAACCAGCATGGCTCAGCTTGGAAACCTCTCCCTTTCCCCACAGCATGGCTGGCTCAGGAATTCTGGGAGTTGAAGTCCACCAGTCATAAAAGAGCCAAGGTGGCCTACCCCTGGTATAGGTTCTCCTGCTTGAGCAGGGGGTTGGACTAGAAGACCTCCAAGGTCCCTTCCAGCTCTATTCTGACTCTGATTCTGATTCCTGTCTACAGCCACATCCTCTATGAATTTGGAAACCCATCTGAAAGGAAGAGCAATTTTGCCTCTCTAAAACACTGCTTTCAATTCTCCAGTGCAGCATTTCTCATCCTTGGCAACTTTAACATGCTGGCTGTGGAATTCTGGGAGTTGAAGTCCACGTATGTTAAGGCTGCTTAGGTGGAGAAACTCTTGCATAGTCATTCTAACAGTGCCGTTTTTGTACTGTTTCCCACTTCGTTTGTGCTTCCCCAAAAGAACGCACAATCTTCCAGTGCAATCTCACATAAGCATTACACAGTTGGCGTTTGACTGAATATAAATCTAAGCATTCATATTCAGTTAAATAGCTAAATCAGGGGTAGGCCACCTTGGCTCTTTTGTGACTCATGGACTTCAACTCCCAGAATTCCTGAGCCAGCCATGCTGAGGGGAAAGGGAGAGGTTTCCAAGCTGAGCCATGCTGGCTCAGGAATTCTGGGAGTTGAAGTCCACGAGTCATAAAAGAGCCAAGGTTGCCTACCCCTGAGCTAAACAAATGAGGCAATATTTATCCTGAACTGCGCACTGTGATTCCGAGATATGTTTCTGGAGCAGGATCCATGAATGAATTTATTTATTTTTAAAATAATTTATTTTATAATAAAATTATTTTATATTTTACTATCATAAAACAATAAAATGCAAAAGAAAGAAATTTAGGCTTGAGAGTGATAACTGAGTAAAGAGAAAAATACTAAACATATTATAGAAGTTAAATAAATGAAATGTCCTCCAAAAATTAACAGAGAAGACCCATATTTTATCTATTAATGTGCATATGGCTTTTACCTTCTTAGATCATTAAATGTGGACCATACAGCAACACAATCTGTCACACACTCATTTTTGGACCCTTTACAAAGGCTTTTCTAAAACAGATAATAAACTTGCATCCTGGATCCCTTTCCTTAAATTAGGAGAGTGACTTTCCAGGTACCAAGGATTTATCCTGGTTGCCAAATAAAGTGAAAGCTCTTCATAACAATTTGTTGCCTTTTAACGTTTTATTTTTCCTTATTGTAAGGATTTTACATATTTATTGTTTTAGTCCTCTTGTAGACTATCCAGAGTCACTTGTGAGATGAGTATCCTTTAATTCAGTGGTTCTCAACCTGTGGGTCAGGATCCCATTTGGGGTCGAACGACCATTTCACGGGGGTCGCCAAACAACGCAGTCCGCCATTTTTTTCCCCCTTTTCCTTAGCTGTGCTACTCCCTTTTATTCTATTGGCTTTTGAAAGCCAATAGAATAGACTCTCTTGAATAGAGTCTAATTCTATTGGCTTTCAAAAGCCAATAGGAATTGTCCAGGCTGTCTCTGCCCTGCTGAGCCCGCCAAAAGTCCCATTCTGCAAACGGTGCTGCACCAGTTGAGTAGTCCTCGACTTACGACCGGTTGAGTAGTCCTCGACTTACGACCGGTTGAGTAGTCCTCGACTTACGACCGGTTGGGGGTCGCGGCATTAAAAAAATTGAGAACCACTGCTTTAATTCTTTGCAGGCAAGAATCTAAACACACACACACACACACACTAGACAAATGCATAAATTTCCTTATTTCAGGCCCCATTAATGTCTCAGATACTAATTAAATGTGGCACAATCTGTATTGCCGGCCTAAAACCTTTCCCAAACTTTCAGAATGCCTAAAAATGCCTTATTCCCCTTTAGAAACAAAAATTGCAACACACAGGACAGAACAAAGCAACATTGTCTTCTTCAGCTTTGAAATGAGATAAGGTTTATCACAGAGGTCCCCAACCTTTTGAGCGCCAGGGACCGGTTCTGTGGAGAGAAGTTTTTCCGCGGACCGGAGGGGGCGTGGTTTTGTGTGCTGCCTGCATCCCGTGGGTGGGGCTTGGCTTGTTTGTACGGACTGGTTGCTGGCATGCCGTGGCCTGGTACCGGTCCACGGATCGGGGGTTGGGGACCCCTGGTTTATCAGATGTTTTTTGTAGAAAGCATTTTGAAAAGACTATGAACGAAACAACTTAGGGCAGTGATGGTGAACCTTTTAGAGACCGAGTGCCCAAAAACTGGCCTCGCCCCTGCTCCACCCTCTGCCCACCCCCGCTCTACCCCCCCTGCATCACCCCCACTCCACCCCACCCTGCCTACCCGCAGGGCCACTCACTGACTCCAGAGCCCGCCACAGATCGCCCAGGCAGCCCAGCAGCACCATGGCGGCCACACCCTCTGCCCACGCCCTACAGCATCAACTGCATGATAGGGTGTGAGGGCAGAGTCTTGTCTCCGCTGTCTGGCTGCCATGTCCTTGGCTGCGCTGCTCCGCGTGGGCCACGCTCAGGGGCGACTCTCCTCCAGGGAGGCTGCTGGTGAGGAGGGGGTCAGTGGCAGAGGCAAGGCTGGGGCAACGGCACGTGTGCCCACAGAGAGGGCTCCGAGTGCCGCCTCTGGCACCCGTGCCACAGGTTCGCCACCACTGACTTAGGGTTACTTTCAATTCTGTGGGTGAATCAGCCCCAGCGGCTTTACCTTTACCTTTCTCTGTCGCTCAGGTATGTTAAAGACAGTCGGAATCGCTTCCGGCTTGAGGTATCGCCGACCAGAAGCCACATTTTTTAGGTAGTCAGTCTCGCAAAAATGTTCCGAGCAGAGCACGTGGTGACGTGTAGGAATGAAATTCTTCCGTCGAATATTCCAAACCCACTTTTTTAACACGTCTTTTTTTCCAAGGGGAAACCTACGGGCAAATAACAACACAACAAGCGCGAATAACAATAGCAACGACACTTAGGCTTATATGCTGCTTCACAGCGCTTTCCAGCCGCCTCTAAGAGGTTTACGTTACAATGTCAGCACATTGTCCCCCACCTCCCAACAACCCGAGTCCTTCATTTTACCAACCTCATAAGGACGGAAGGCTGAGTCAACCATGAGCCCCGTCAGGATCGAACGCCAGACCCTGGGCAGAGTTTGCCTGCAATACTGCATTCTAAACACTGTGCCTCTTAAGGTCGATGAGGATAACATTAATGATGTCACAATAGTTTCAATAGTAACCACAACCAACAAGTTGTTGCAGGGTGCTGCTTATTGCCGTGAAAGGATATAGGAAAGACCTCGGGGGATGAAGAGACACTGTCCAGGGAAGAAACAGATAAGAGGCAGCATAGTCCACAGCTGCGTAACAGGCGGCTCACAAGGGACCCTCGCTAAGGCTCTAAAGCTGATGGTGTCATCATCGCTGCTAACATCAGATGTTTTGCATTGACAACAGATGGAAATGTAGCCATCTTTTTCCCTTTTGCTTTTAGAGTTAGATGATGCTGGGAGGGGGGGATGTGAATGAGAGTCTAGCTAGACATAACAACACTAAACTCAGCCTGAGAATCAAGGTTATTGAGCTAGAGCTGATAAAGAATTGGCAGGGCTGGAGAACTGGAGAGGAAGCCCACACTTCAAGCTAATTGGGGAATGTGATTTATGACTGCTTAATTGGAGGAGGGAATTGTGCTTTGATACTATGTGCCCAGGGGAGGGGAATTCAGTTTTTGGCTTCGATTATGTAAGTGCCGATATTATGCTACTCAAATAAAGATTCTTGAAGGTAAACAATGCCTCAAAGTTCTTTTGAAGAGTTTCATCTGTTCGAACCATGACAGTACTTTCAGCTTGCAAGTCTCTGTTGCTGTAACTTTACAATAAAGCACAAATAGCTAATCAGGCTGGGTTTTCTGATAATTGCAATGGCCTGGAGGAAGTTAATTGGTGCACTTGGTTCTTTTCTACATAAAATGGCTTTCCCATTATATAACACTTAGCAATAGCACTTAAGACTTATATACAGCTTTACAGCCCTCTCTAGGAGGTTTACAGAGTCAGCCTACTGCCCCACAACAATTTGGGTCCTCATTTTACCAACCGCAGAAGGAGGGAAGGCTGAGTCAACCTTGAGCAGGTAAAACGCGAACTGCCGAACTGCTGGCAGCCGGCATTCAGCAGAAATGGCCTGCAGTACTGCATTCTAACCACTACACCACCTTGGCTCTATCTTCCGCTTTGCATAGCCCAAGCAAAATCTTAAAAGATTTCTAAAGCTGAAGGGATTGCGCGTGGACCTCGGCTTACTATAGTAATGAGACATCTTCAAGAAAACAACCAAGCTTAGAGAGCACCATGGACAACCTCGAAGTCACAAATCTTTGTAAGCTGCCCGGAGTTCCCTGTGTGTGCGAGTTGGGAAGCCATATAAATTTGCTTCATAAATAAATTGCAATGACCTGACAGCAGAATGCTAACAATAATTGAAATTACGTCCTGCATCTCCCTCGCTTTATATCAGTGGTTCTCAACCTGTGGGTCGGGACCCCATTTGGGGTCGAACGACCATTTCACGGGGGTCGCCAAACAACGCAGTCCGCCATTTTTCCCCCTTTTCCTTAGCTGTGCTACTCCCTTTTATTCTATTGGCTTTTGAAAGCCAATAGAATAGACTCTCTTGAATAGAGTCTAATTCTATTGGCTTTCAAAAGCCAATAGGAATTGTCCAGGCTGTCTCTGCCCTGCTGAGCCTGCCAAAAGTCCCATTCTGCAAATGGTGCTGCACCAGCTGAGTAGTCCTCGACTTACGACCGGTTGAGTAGTCCTCGACTTACGACCGGTTGGGGGGTCGCGGCATTAAAAAGGTTGAGAACCACTGCTTTAAATGGTCGCTGAATGACTGGACATGAAAGAAGGACTATCTGTCTGTCTGTGTCTGTTTTCATTCTGTAGGAAACATTTGCATGGCTGGTTTCATTTAAAACCACACCCTCGTTACACTGGCAGCACAAGCAATTATATACAAACAGGCAGCAAACTTCACCCTCTCTCACACGGATGTTACCTAACTGGGTTACCAAACATTTGCAAGCAAACAGCCAAGCTCAGAGAATGTGGAGAGCATCTTCGTTCAGTTCTGAGCTACATTTCTGACAGTGAGGACAATTAACCAGTGGAACAACCTGCCTCCAGAAGCGGTGAATGCTCCAACACTGGAAGTTTTTAAGAAGAGACTGGACAGCCATTTGTCTGAAATGGCATAAGGTTTCCTGCCTGAGCAGGGGGTTGGGCTAAATGACCTCCAAGGTCCCTTCCAACATCATCATCATTATTATTATTCATTAGACGTGAACCTCAATCAATTGAACATTCAAATTGACTGACGCTGTTGGTTGACACAGGTTGCTACCAGCATCCTAGGTGTCCACCAGGTATCTCCTTAAAATGTAAGATGTTCCGAATAGCGCAGGTTTTTTTTTTTAGCATTGCTGGAATTAGTGCAGGAAGCTGCAGTTTCTTGATGTGTTTTGCAAAGTTTTTGGACATGGTTCCCAGTGCCCCGATGACAATGGGTATCACTGTTACACGTTTCATCCATAATCGCGCACTTTCGATGGCCAGGTCGTGATATTTCTTAATTTTTTTCCAATTCTTTTTGTTCGACTCTGGCATCTCCTGATACAGCGATATCAATCAGCGGTACGCTTCAGTTCTCTACAACTGCGATATCCGGTGTGTTGTGTTCCAAATGGCGATCTGTCTGTATTCGAAAGTCCCACAAGATCTTCACCCTCTCATTCTCAACCACTTTTTCCAGATTAAGTTTACTCCCCAGTTATTTCTTTTGGGTATTTTTGTGGATTTTGATGCTAAAGAAGCTATTTTAATGTTGAATTTAATAACAGCAGCAAGATTATTGGTGGGTCAGTATCGGAAGAAAGACTCTCTGCCTTCTTTAGAAGAATGGGTATTTAATGTTTCTAATTTAGCAGAAATGGCTAAAATTTCTGCTTATTTAAAGGACCATTCACAAGAGATATATGTTATTGTATGGAGAAGATGGATAGAATATGTTCAGAAGAAATATGGAACTACAAAGTTTCATTTATTTTATGAGTAATGGATTTGTTTATAAAATTATGATGTTAAAGTTTGAAGAGAGTTAAGGGTTAGTATGATTTTGGTTATTGTATAATTAGTTAACTTAAATAGATTCTGTTTAATATTTTTGTATAACCCTGTACTTGGCTCTGGGAAGTGGGGGGGGCAGGAGGTGGGGGGGGAGGATGGGTTGGAGGTTAAATAGCTCAGATAAATAGAAATAGTTTCATTGTATATAGTATTATTTTTTATTTTGGAGAGAGGAATTGCTCGGGCATTTCCCCTGGACTGCATCCGGAGTGAGAAGATAGGAGGAAGGGGAGAAGTAAGTAGGAAGGTTGAGGAGAAGGAGGAGAGGGGGAGAGTGAAGAAGAGGGAAAGAGGGAAGTGAGGGAAGAGATTAGAGGGTGGATGCGGTTTGGGGGGAAATGGGTGAGCAATACCGAAAGTTGTGTGTATAAATTTATTTTACCCTTTATCTGATGTATTTTTTATGAGTGTAATGTAAAATTGAAAATCAAAAATTTTTTACAAAAAAAAAAAAAAAAAAAAAACTTTTTCCATCCTATGTTCCCACTACTTTTTGGACACAGGCAAGTCGTATTTTTTACAAAATGCCCAGTGGATTAATTTAGCAACTCGGTCATGTCTAGCTTTGTAATTAATTTAGCAACTCGGTCATGTCTAGCTTTGTAATCAGTTTGCGTGATTACTTCTTCTTCTTCTTCTTCTTCTTCTTCTTCTTCTTCTTCTTCTTCTTCTTCTTCTTCTTCTTCTTATTATTATTATTATTATTATTATTATTATTATTATTATTATTATTATTATATTATCGATCATCGCACAGCCAGATGTTCAGACTGGATTTGGCATTTTGTCTACCTATCGAGTCCTTACCCAGGACCTGGGATAGGCAGATGTGGATGTTTGATGGTATTACAGATATCATTGCAGGATGGAAGCAGTTCCTGGTAAGGCCGCCTTTTGCAATTGACTAATAGCGAATTTGTCAATGCCAATGGTGTTCAAATGGTGCTCCAGTTGTTTTGGGATTGCACCCAAGGCGCCTATGACTATTGGTACTACCCTTGCTTGCTTTTGCCACAGTCTTTCTATTTCTATTTGTAGGTCTTTGTATTTTGTTATCTTCTCCAGCTCTTTCTCTTCTATTCTGCTGTTTCCAGGCACTGCCACATCCACTATCCAGACTTTTTTGTCTTTCTTATCGACAATTGTTAAGTCTGGGGTGTTATGTTGCATGTGCTTGTCTGTTTGAATTCTGATTATTATTACTATTATTATTATTTCCACTGATATCAGCCTTCTCAGGTAGACCAGACCAGAAACACAGCAAAGAAAAGCTAATTCTACTTTAATATAAAGCCACATTAACCGAATCTTGAAGTTTGAGAATACAGGTGGCACAGCAGATCATTTAGTGACCGTTCGACGTTGCAACGGCATTGAATAAAGTGGAATTATGACTGTTTTTCCTACTTACAACCGTTGCAGCATCTCCCTGGTCACGTGATCAAAATTCAAACACTTGGCAACTGACTCATATCTATGATGGCTGGAATGTCCCGGGGTCAAGTGATCCCTTGTGGTGACCTTCTGACAAGCAGTCAAGAGAGAAGCCACTTAACTGTGTTACTGTCAAGACTGAACCGCTACGATGCCTGCTAGCGTCTAACGCTAATCAACTTGCCAGCAAAAAGGGGGAAGGGCTGGAAAGCGAAGGGAGGAAACGGGAAGCCGTTCACAAACCGTGAGAGAGCCTGCAAAACGCCAAGGTCGCTGCTGCAAGGTGCTTGACTGTTCCCATAACAAAAAGAAGTCTTACCATTGGACAATGTGAACACCTGAGGAGCGGGGACCGGGGAATCTATTGTTTAATTTGGCAACGTTTCGCGCAGGAAACCCCAGAGCTGGTTTTGCTTCTTCAGTTCCGAGACGGTGTATCCAATAAAGACTTACACCTTTTGGGGATTCAGCCGCCCGGAGGGTTCCTTTTTGGGGGTTCACACTAACTTAACAACTGCCATGAGTCACTTTAGAACTATGGCAAGAAAGATCATAAAATGGGGCAAAACTCACTTAATTGTCTCGCTTAGCATTATAAATGTTGTGGTCCTAGGTCAGGGGTAGGCCACCTCGGCTCTTTTGACTCGTGGGCTTCAACTCCCAGAATTCCTGAGCCAGCCGTGCTGAGGGGAAAGGGAGAGGTTTCCAAGCTGAGCCAGGCTGGCTCAGGAATTCTGGGAGTTGAAGTCCACGAGTCATGAAGAGGCCATAGTTCCCCCATGCTGGTTCAGGAATTCTGGGAGTTGAAGTCCATGAGTCGTAAAAGAGCCAAGGTTGCCTACCCCTGTCCTAGGTAGACCACCTGTACAACTCCTCCCTCTCTTTTACAACCTGAGAACTTAAGAGAGGGTCCTTGATGATCTTTTTGCTTCGTGCACTATGCAGCTGTGGGCCATGCTCCTTCTTATCTGACTGCTCCCTATGCAACTCTTCCCTTCCTCTCATCTCCAAGGTCATTCCCACATACCATTACAATTGGCTTCCTTATTTTTCCCTCCTCTGCCATCTGTGATGGTTCCTGACAAGGTTTAAAACCAGTCAGATGGGCCTGGTGGAGATCAATGCCATTGATAAAGGGAGCAAATCACCGCTAAGATTTGCTGTTTCCGTTCATCCATTCAACCATGGAAGGAGGTTTGACTTACCTGTGGAAGGAGATATTATTGCCCAGTGAAAATTTGTTGTTGCAGTTTATGGCACAACATGATTTCACCATGACTGTGTCTCGCCCACAAACTGTGGAAGGCAAAAGAAGAGAAGCCAATGAAGCAACAAAGATTAGCGGACTGGAGGCTAAAGCATATAAGGAACGGTTGCTGGAATTGGGTATGTCTAGTTTAACAAAGAGAAGGACGAGGGGGGACATGATAGCTGTGTTCCAATATCTCAGGGGCTACCACAAAGAAGAGGAAGTCAAGCTATTTTCCAAAGCGCCTGAAGGCAGGACAAGAAGCAACGGATTGAAACTAACCAAGGAGAGAAGCAACCTAGAACTAAGGAGAAACTTCCTGACAGTTAGAACAATTAATCAGTGGAACAACCAGCCTCCAGAAGCAGTGAATGCTCCAACATGGAAGTTTTTAAGAAGAGACTGGACAGCCATTTCTCTGAAATGGTATAGGGTTTCCTGCCTGCGCAGGGGGTTGGACTAGATGACCTCCAAGGTCCCTTCCAACTTTATTATTATTATTATAAACCTGCCAGAGACCCATGCCCCAAGCAACTTCCCTTGCTCTCATAAACTCCACTAATTTAGGAAGCCCCTCCTGCTTATAATTCTTGTACCCTGCCCCCAAGTCTCTTACCATTTCCTGTTCAAGCCTCGCTATGCTATTTCTGCAGATTTCCCTACGTTTTTTATATTATTCCAAACCGTGCATTTTTCTCAATGTGCCAAGATTTTCCGGCATTTCTTGCCCACATTGGAAAAAAAAAAAACACAATTGGAGATCATTAAACAGATTTCAAATCTCTAGAGATAGCCATTGCATTACCTGGGAGTGTGTATGTCAAAGGTCAGTCACCAGATGTATTATTTTTCTTTCAGAGATCAAAAGAAACCTACAGAGAAAAAAAAGGGGGGGGGGAAAGACTTAGATTTTGCACTGTGACCAGGTTCATATATTTTGCAAAACCATAATTTAACCATGATTTAACCACTTGCCCGTGTAAAGGAGGCTGTTTCCCCCCCCTTTAGGAAAAAGACTTAAAATATTTAGCAGCATACGACTTTTAACTGTTATACTACACCAGTGTTTCTCAACCTTGACAATTTTAAGGCATGTGGACTTCAACTCCCAGAATTCCACAGCCAGCAATGCTGGCTGTGGAATTCTGGGAGTTGAAGTCCACATGCCTTAAAATTGTCAAGGTTGAGAAACACTGTACTACACTGACTTTTAATTGTGTGGATCACCTAGAACAAAAACAGTTAATTATTAAATGAAGAAAGCAAGCACCTTTTAGTGCGTTATACAGCACACTAAGAGCATCAGCTTCACACCGCCTTACACCTTAGCATAAATTAAGAACTGAAGGCCACAAGGATTAACAACTCAAGTACCTATTTCACTTCCCTAATATCTGTGTCTACGAGCAGAAATATATGCACAAGTAGACACCAGACCCAGGCATCTGATACATTTTCCCTCCGAGAGCCCACGAATCTAGAGAGAAATGTTATTTATGTATTCATTAAATGTACATGCTGCCCATCCTCTAGGCAGCTTTTTACAGAGTAAAAACAAGGTAAAACATTAAAATCTAAAAACATTAAAATCCATAGTGATACACTAACCTTTTTTTGGGGGGTGGAAAGATGTCTTTTGCCTTTAAATCCACCCCACTTAATTAGCATTACTCTACATTAAACACCTTATGTAAAGAGAAGGGGAGAGCTAGAAGGAAATAGGTGAAGATGACCAGCAACAAGGCAGATGGACTGGCAAGGAGAGTACCAATTATAATTCATAATATGAATAAAACTGGAGCAACAGTTTTGTCTAGTGGTGAAAACACCAGGCTAGAAACCAGGAGATGATAATAATAATAGTAGTAGTAGTAGTAGTAGTACTAAAGTTGGAAGGGACCTTGGAGGTCTTCTAGTCCAACCCCCTGCTCAGGCAGGAAACCCTACACCATTTCGGACAAATGGCTGTCCAGTCTCTTTTTAAAAACTTCCAGTGTTGGAGCATTCACCGCTTCTGGAGGCAGATTGTTCCACTGGTTAATTGTTCTCACTGTCAGGAAGTTTCTCCTTAGTTCTAGGTTGCTTCTCTCCTTGATTAGTTTCTACCCGTTGCTTCTTGTCCTGCCTTCAGGTGCTTTGGAAAATAGCTTAATTCCCTCTTCTTTATGGCAGCCCCTGAGATATTGGAATACTGCTATCATGTCCCCCCTTGTCCTTCTCTTCGTTAAACTAGACATACCCAATTCTAGCAACCATAGATTATGGGTTTTAGTCCTGCCTTAGGCATAAAAACCAGCTGGGTGACTTTGGACCAATTACTCACTCTCAGCTCACAATATACGGCAGGGGTGTCAAATTCCCGGCCCTTGGGCCAGATGCATCATAGCGAAACCGTGCCCGTCCCATTGCCGGCAATGACAAAAAAGTCACGATACATTGCAACACATCACCTGATGTTGTGAGTTTGACACCCCTGATATAAGGCATGTCAGGTATGGCTGACAAGGTGATCAGTCAATTCCTGTCTGCACTCAATAACCAATCAGACCCTGCAGCTGTGGGAGGGGGAAAACACTAGGGAAAAAAAATGTGAACAATAAAACTCAATTTTAAAACTATCTCAAATCTGCCTCTTTAGGCAGCCCTTTCCTTGCAAACTAATTGACTCATTATGGACCATCAAGTTGGTGTTGACAGATGGATTTCCTCCAGGAGGATCTGTCCCTAACCTGATCCTTCAGCATTTTTTTTCCATCATGCCCCTGTAACTGAATCCATCCTCCGTACTGGCCCCTCCTCTTCTTCTCTTTCCTTCCAGCTTTTCAGCATCCAACCCTTATCCAGAAATCCAGGTCTTCACATAACACCTCCGACTCATTTTTTTGCTCTTCAATTTAGGACAGTGGTCTCAAAAGCTTGGCCACTTTTAAGACCTGTGGACTTCAACTCCCAGAATTCCCCAGCCAGCTTGGCATGCTGAAGAATTCTGGGAATTGAAGTCCACAAGTCTTTTAAAAGTTGCCAGGTTTCAAGGCCCCCCTACTCTAGAGCAGTGTTTCTGAACCTTGGCAACTTTTAAGAGGGGTGGGATTTCAACTCCCAGAATTCCCCAGCCATGCCTGGCTGGCTTCTGGGAGTTGAAGTCCAAACATCTTAACAGTTGCCAAGGTTCAGAAACATTGCTTGAAGACAGGGGTCTTCAAACTTGACCCTTTTATGACTGGTGGACTTCAACTCCCAGAACTCCTCAGCCAGGCATGCCTGGCTGAGGAATTCTGGGAGTTGAAGTCCACCAGTCATAAAAGGGCCAAGTTTGAAGACCCCCTGCTTTAAGAAGAGACCAGCTGCAAGCTAGGCTAGGTTTGGCTCACCTCCTCCGTCTCTCCAAGTTGGCCACCTAGTAAACCGCTCGAGCCAGCCAATTCCTCCCTTAACGGCAGAGAGGCGGCATTTGAACCCAGGATCCTCAGCCTTTCCTCCCTTCTCTAAGGCTCTCCTCCACGACGGCCACTTTTGAAGCCGCCGCCGCCGCCCGTTTTCCGCCGCGCACCAGCAACCAAACGCGACTTCCCAAGCAGGCAAATCCCGGACCGGAAAGTGCCCCAGCCAATTTCTTCCCCCGTTTGCAGCCACCCGCCAAAACCTTCCTCCTCTTCCTCCGCCGCTTTTCCTCTCTAGCCGCTTTTCTCGCTCTCTTTAAGCACTGCAGGATCCGATGCAGGATCGGGCTGGTTTTGATTGCTGGGATCCCCCCCCCAAAAAAAAGGGGGTGAGGGTGTTTAATATTTTTAAAAATGGCTATGCTTAAAAGTGCATCCACCGAAGCAGAAGTATCGGAAGGGGGAAAAAAAAAACGATTAAAACAAGCCCCGCTGCAATGGAACACGCGTTTTGTTTTGAAAAAAAAAATTAAAAAAATAAATGGCACGTGAGAATGCAACCGAATCCGAACCTTGCGGGTTAAAACGTTTGCTAGCGGTGGGGGTGGGCTGAGGAGAGGAAGGTAATGTTGGGAATAGCGAAAAGGTGGGCAAATGTCCCTGCCGATCTTTTTCATTTAAGACTAAATGAAGCAGGTTTGGGTGAGAGCAGGTTCCATTTGAAATACGTGGGAAGTCATTTCCCATAATTCCCAGCCTGCAGTCGCTGGGAATGATGGGAATGGTGATCTCCCACGCTTGGAGGACCCCGGTTTGGAAAAGGCTAAAGAAATGGAAATATTCCCGGCCCTGCCTATAGTGCTAAAGATGCAGTTTTTTAACCCCATTGCCTGGAAGTGATACCCAATTATTACAAAACAATTGGGTTTCTTCTCGAGTCGACCAAAGCAGGCTTGAACTGAGAGGTTTCATGTTTATTTAGAAGAAAATAATTGGTAGTCTTAATTGGTAGCAAATATAAAAATAATTCTGAGTTTGTAAGATTTTGTTATCTGTAAAAGCAACCCTGAAACTGAATTGAGCAAAGTTTTCCCTCTGAATTCTAGAGGAGGATGGACTCACACAAGCACACATCCTTAGCTGAGTTCAGCCCTTAGCAGTTACATCTGCATATGATGTGCTAACCTTAAAATGGTTTTAAACGTGGTTAGCCTTGGGGTATGTAAATCTGCCCCATGCAGTTTATATATTCTGCAAATTCAGAAAATGAATTAATTCAGCAGCCTGGTTAAACAAGTTGCAGGAATGCAGTCATCTACAAACTATGCATTCATGGAGAACAATTTGTGTGGCTAAGAGTTGACATCAGCTTGATGGCGCATAATTAACCACACTATATTTTTAAAAAGATGGCACTGAAAAGGGTTTATCCTTGGCCAATCAGTTCTATGTGTCCAGAAAATATACCCAGTTAACTAGTTTATCCTTTTGGGTGTGCAAACCCAAACTATTGGACTAAAATGTCTGCTGCCAATCCCAAAGGTACTATTTCAAGAGACAATTTTTTTTCCTTTGAAGATGTTTTGCTTCTTCAAGAAGCTTCTTCAGCTCTGACTGGACGATGGAGAATGGAAGGATTTATATTCCTTGCAGACGGCTGGTCATTTGCATTTTTTAAGAGAGTCCTTGAGGCCACCTAGAGGCTTATCTGTGTCCTCAGAGTCACTTGAGTAGGGCAAATGTGTGTGAAGCCACACCGGAAGTCAGTGTGCCCCAATGCTTGTTATGGATGGCTGATCTGAGTTTTTGTAATGTTTCACAGGAGGTTTCTGAATTGATGGTCGAACCACGCTCCATGAACTTCACTAGCAGTTACTCCTTTGGCATCTTCACATTTGGTGGGATTTTCTATGGCACCACTTCCAGTGTGATGTTGGTTCATGACAGGGTGGTGAGGATGGCTGAAGAGTATTGGCAGTTCACTCCCTCCCATCTAGGACATAGCACAGAAGCGTTGCTTGAGCAGTATACGCAAGATTATCTGGGACACTATACATCCTCTTCACGATCTGTTTTCTTTGTTACCTTCTGGGACAGTGGTTCTCAACCTGTGGGTCGGGACCCCATTTGGGGTTGAACGACCATTTCACGGGGGTCGCCAAACAACGCAGTCTGCCATTTTTTTCCCCTTTTCCTTAGCTGTGCTACTCCCTTTTATTCTATTGGCTTTTGAAAGCCAATAGGAATTGTCCAGGCTGTCTCTGCCCTGCTGAGCCCGCCAAAAGTCCCATTCTGCAAACGGTGCTGCACCAGTTGGGTAGTCCTCGACTTACGACCGGTTGAGTAGTCCTCGACTTACAACCGGTTGGGGGTCGCGGCATTAAAAAGGTTGAGAACCACTGTTCTGGAAAGAGGGAGCTTCGTGGTATCCATAGCAGAACATCCAGATTCAGCCATAGTTTCATTCCATACAGCATTAATCTCGTGAACTCTCAAGCTTCCTCCTTCCGTTATATATTCAAGTTGGACAGTATTTAATATTTATTTGTTATGTATATATAGGGGTGTGGGTTTATACATATGTTATGTATAGTATATTTAGGTGTGTGTCATGTATGTGTTTCACTTTGAGAGCAGGCAACTACATTTGATTTTTGATGTGTGCCATTGTGCCTACAGTAAAAAAATAACAATAAAGGTTATCTTATCTTAATGCTCGCCCACACACTGCTAGACTCACCCAAGAACTTCTAAAGCAGTTCCATTGCGATCTTTTTGATCACCCCCCCCCCATAGCCCAGATTTGGCACCAAGCAACTACTACTAAGGAATCTCAAACCTTGTAACATTTTATGACAAGTGCCTCAATTTGAATGGCAATTATGTCGAAAAGTAATCTAATATTGTAGTTTTCTAATGTGTATAATAAAAGTTCTGTATCTGCGAGTGTCTGTCATTGATAACCAAACGGAGATTTCCGAACTGCCCTTATTAGTGGACAATCACTTAAATAGGAGCCAGCAATGTGCTGCAACTGCCAAAAAGGCCAACAGAGTGCTAGGCTGCATTAACAGAGGGATAGAATCAAGATCACGTGAAGTATTAATACCACTCTACAATGCCTTGGTAAGGCCACACTTGGAATACTGCATCCAGTTTTGGTCACCACGATGTAAAAAAGATGTTGAGACTCTATAAAGAGTACAGAGAAGAGCAACAAAGATGATTAGGGGACTGGAGGCTAAAATATATAAGGAACGGTTGCTGGAATTGGTATGTCTAGTTTAATGAAGAGAAGGACGAGGGGGGACATGATAGCAGTGTTCCAATATCTCAGGGGCTGCCCCAAAGAAGAGGGAGTCAAGCTATTCTCCAACGTGCCTGCAGGCAGGACAAGAAGCAACGGGTGGAAACTAACCAAGGAGAGAAACAACCGAGAACTAAGGAGAAAATTCCTGACAGTTAGAACAATTAATCAGTGGAATAACCTGCCTCCAGAAGCGGTGAATGCTCCAACACTGGAAGTTTTTAAGAAGAGACTGGACAGCCATTTGGCTGAAATGGTATAGGATTTCCTACCTGAGCAGGGGGTTAGACTAGATGACCTCCAAGGTCCCTTCCAACTTTTTTTATTATTATTATTATCTTGGAATCACTTGATCACTATTTGTGATCTCCCCAGTTTCCAACAAGCAGAGTCAATAGGGGAAGCTGGATCCGCTTAACGACTGCATGATTCACTTAACAACTGCAGTGATGTGCTTAGCACTTGTGGCAAAAAAGGGTTGGATTATTATTCGACAACTGCCTTGCTTAGTAACAGAAATTTTGGTCCCCATTGTGGCTATATGTCAGGGACTATTTGTAGCTTTCTCCTCTGGTCTTAATGACAAATGGTAATAATTCACTGACTTTGAGTACAGTAGTTTTTAAAAAGCTGCACAGGGTCATACCTAATTACAATTCTGGTGAGCGACCACTAGGAAACTCTTAAGGCTGGGAATCAAATTGGATAGGACAGGGATAGGCAACCTTGGCTCTTTTATGACTCGTGGACTTCAATTCCCAGAATTCCTGAGCCAGCATGGCTCAGCATGGAAACCTCTCCCTTTCCCCTCAGCATGGCTGCCTCAGGAATCCTGGGAGTTGAAGTCCACGAGTCATAAAAGCCAAGGTTGCTTATCCTGGGATAGGAGGAAGAACGTACTAGATGGAAGACAGTGGCCAAGATACCAGCCTGGATATGTCTGACAAATTAACAGGGGCTTGGCTTGGCTCAGTGGAGACATTCTCATTTGCCTAGGATTAAACCACTCTTGGCCGATTCTCCAAACATGGCCAGAGCTGATTCATATTTGGGTGGAAAATATTTGAGGAAATCCTTGACTGGGAAGTTGAGAGGAACAGTTGCAGGAACTGGGTATGTCTAGTCTAGTGAAGACTAGAGGTGACATAATAGCAGTATTCTAATATTTGAGGGGCTACTACAGAGAAGATGGAGGTCAACTTATTTTCCAAAGAACCTGAAGGCAAAACAAGAAACAGTGGAAGGAAACTAATCAAGGAGAGAAGCAACCTAGAACTAAGGAGAAATGTATTGCTAGTGAGAACAATCGACTTATGGAAGAGCTTGCCTTCCAAAGTTGGGGAGTGGGTGCTCCATCACTGGAAACTATTAAGAGCTTGAACAGCCATTTGTCCAGAATGTTTATAGGGGCTCCTGCCTGTGTAGGGGGCTGGACTAGAAGACCTCCATGGTCCCTTCCTATTTTGTCATTCTGTTATGTCCCATAACAGAGCGTGAAAACATCCATGAGAAACACAATGGCTGTACCATTTCTGTTATTGTTCAGAAGATGTGTCTCTCAATTGATCTTGAGAAGCTTAAGCAGAGCCCAGTAACTTGGAGAGGAGACCATTAAAAAGATGTTCAAGTCATTAACCAGATACAGTGTTTCTCAAACTTGGCAACTTACAGTTGTGTGGACTTCAACTCCCAGAATTCCAACTCCCAGATGCTAGCTGCAAAACTCTGGGAGTTGAAGTCCACACAAGTTGAAGTTGCCAAAGTTGAGGAACACTGGCCTAGAAAGAGGTTGAAAGCTATGTACCAGGTGACAACCCATCCTTTCATAATGTTGCCAGGAAAAAGAGTGCAGGCTATCAAACTGTTTTTTGCCTGATTGACCTCATGATTGAATGTCCAGTTTCTGCCTATCTGCATTGAAGCCACTCATCAATGCCCACAAATACCTTCCATAGAGCAGGGGTGGGCAACTATTCCTGCTTGAGCAGCGGGACTACATGACCTCCAAGGTCCCTTCCAACTCTATAATTCTGTCTTCTATGACCCCCTTTAGGACCTACGGACTTCAACTCCCAGAATTCCTGTACAAGTCATAGTTGCCCATTCCTGCCATAGAGATAAAAAAAAAATAGCGGTGCAATGCAGGCCCTCACTTCCGGTTCTCCTATGACTGATTTCCATCTCCAGGAAAGGCGCAAAGTGGCTGTCTCGGTGCCCGTTATTCCGACAGGATCGCGGAATGTGGCCCTTTCCATCAATCTCGGCTGCTGCCTACCCACCTTGGCAGGGGCTGATGGGATTGGAGTCCGAGCACCTTCTGCTCTGAGTTTCATTTGTCTGCATTGCTTTCGCAATCTCAAATCCCTGATTTATTTACTTAGTACTGGATCGCCGTTTTAGTGCTCGATTCCTCTTAGGCTTAAAAAACAAAAACAGCGCTCACCGCGATCTCTTTAGTTAAAACGAATTGATCCCAAACGCGTTTCCTTTCCACCATTTAATCCGAAGTGAAAGTGATTTTCCAGCCACGCCGTCCTCGGTGGCTGGAAAACGAAGCCACGTGAATTTATGCAATCCAGGGATTAAGTTGCAAAAGGGAAGGGGAAAAAAAAGGCGCCTTTCGGGTCGGGAGAAGCCACCCCAACGCGCGCTCAATTGGTTGATCCTTTATTTGGAGGCGGATCGAAACGCGCAGCGAAAGCGGTGAGTAGAGCGGGCGGTACCATTTCAGACCCGCCCGCAGGGGGGGGACTCCGCTTTATCCCAACCTCTTGAAACGTTACGATTTCACACATTAGAAAGCGAGCACAGCCAATCAAGCCTGTTTCGCTCTTTTACAAATCTCCCCGCAGAGGGTCTGAATTACGGCAGGGTTGCCCTCGGGGGCAGCCAGAAAAATGTAAAAAGAAAAAAGGGCACCTCCCTTCCTCGAAGTGGAACAAGCCATGTCACCGTCTTCGCACCTCCCCGCCTCCAAGTGGAGCAAACCATGTCACCATCTTCGCGGGGGGGGGACAGGACGGCGAGAAGAGAGGAATCCCGGGCTTCAGCCGTGGCGTTTGGGGATAAACTTAAGCCGGCCCAGCAATCGTAGCCTTAGACCGGAAGGATCTTGTTCCTGGATTTATTTCGTAATCGGCCGTTCGGCGCGATCGTGAGAACCCGGCCTCTTGCGTGTCGCAAGCAGGGAAGAGGCGCCAGGGCGAAGGAGAAGCGGGGTCGCGGTGAGTTTGCTTGGAAAGAGGCCGGGAGGTGCGGATCGGAGGGCGGCGGTGGCGAGTTCCCAAGGCGGACGAAGCCCGGCCTGGCTGACGCGCATCTCCCGGCGAGGAGGAAACACGCATCTCTCAACCGTAGACTTATGCAAAAGGCTAGACTGAGAGCACCCATTGTCTGAAGCGGGGAACGCTTTGCAATTGCGCGGGGGAAGCCATCTTGGTTTGTTTTTCCCTCCTTGCTTTTTTTTTTTGTTGTTCCTCCCTCCCGCGGGCGCGGAAGTGCGAGCTCAGCCAAGGAGGGTGGGAAAAAAAACATAAAGAGTAACAGTTGCCCCTAACTGTGGGTGGTGGTGGGGGGGGCCCGTGGGTGGCATGAAAAGGATTTAGCCCATCCGGAGTGCAAAAATCCGGATGACACGTGCATTGCAGCAAACCGATGCACACGTTACTCCTCCTCCCCTGCTCTTGAATTTTCGCAGATCGAAGGTTCGAAGTAACCCGGGGCTTTCATTCCGACGCAACCCTGTATGAAGCTTGGTTAAATCAGCCCTTCTTGAACCTTTTTGTTGTTGCTGCTGGTGCGATCAACTAAGCTGGAAACATAGAGAGACCCAAGATCGCCCAACGTTTTAAAACCCATTTATCGTACTGGATCTCTTCGGCTGGGTGATTTTGCACGTGTTTTGGCACGTCTTTCAATGCAAAGCGACCCGGGATGAGCAAAAAGGACCGGAGTATTTTCTTTCTATAACAGCCCCCATTGCTTAATACAGAGAGGAGGCCAAGAAAACGCTAGATAGAGAGTTGCGCCTGCCCGTTTGTGTATCGCAAAGGGGAGAAAGATTGTTGCGTTCCCATCACGTGCGAAAGCCGGAACGTGGCTTGCTTGTTGGGGGGGAGGGGGTTCTTGGGAATCTAATCGTGGCTTAATGTAGCCGGATTCACATGAGTGCCGGGAGTAGATCTGTGCAGCAGCCTCTTGTTTTTTCCCAGTTCTCTGAGCTGGCCTGTGGGTGGATGGGTTTTGTTGTTCTTGCTTGGAAATTCAGGCTGCCGTGAATGGGTGAAATTGTACTGGGATGCTCGCTGGAAGGGCCCCAGATTGTGGGTTTGCGTAGTGGAGGGAGGGATAAGAATTTGGAGAGGAAAATTAATTGCAACAATTAGGTCAGGGGCAGGCCACCTTGGCTCTTTTATGACTCGTGGACTTCAACTCCCAGAATTCCTCAGCCAGATGGCTCAGCTTGGAAACCTCACCCTGTCCCCTCAGCATGGCTCTCAGGAATTCTGGGAGTTGAAGTCCACGAGTCATAAAAGAGCCAAGGTTGCCTACCTCTGAATAGGTGATGGTTCGCCGATACCTTTAAATACTGCAACAACAACAACAACAAAAGTTAGTGTCCCTTTAAAATATAAGATAATGTGAATTTCTATTATGTAAACAATGAGGGGTGGCTACAAGACTTAACAAAGTGTCAAATCGAATTAAATCCGGAAACATTTCTCCTGGGAATACTTAAAAAGAAATTTGATAAGAAAATAAGACCTCTGATTTTACATATACTAACTGCGGCAAGAATTGCATTCGCGCAATATTGGAAGGAACGCAATGTACCACCAGAGGGGTTGATTATTCAGAAAATGTATGAATGAGCCGAGATGGACAAACTCACCTTAGAATTAAAAGAAAAAGATGATTCGGAATTTTATGCGGTTTGAGAAAATTGGTATATTTGGATAGACAATAGAAACAAAAATTGGAAATATACATAAGGTTATTGTGCAAATTAGGTTATTGTGGGTTAGACTGAATGTACATAGTGTATATATTGTATAGAATGTAGATCCATAGTATATAAAAATGACATAGTCCGCTGAATATGTACTGTATAAAGGAAAATGTTAATAAATAAATAAATAAACAAACAATGGGGGGGGAAACCTCTTGGAAAATGCTCTTGATGGTTTTTCAGCAATAGTTTGTCCATCGTAACCCTCCAGTTTCCCATCAGCAGGGGAAGGTTTCATTGGATGCACATCTTTGACATGGTTACTTAACACAAGAGGTGTTTGTGTGTGATACAGCCACTTCCAAGTCTAATCTGAAACTTGAGCAATTAGGTATCCTTCTAGGTTTTTTTTTTTTTTTTACATCTATGGGTCCATTGCATGGTTTTTTTTTCCCTTAAGGCATCCACCTTGGCTCTTTTATGACTCGTGGACTTCAACTCCCAGAATTCCTGAGCCACCCTGGCTCAGCTTGGAAACCTCTCCCTTTCCCCTCAGCATGGCTGGCTCAGGAATTATGGGAGTTGAAGTCCAGGAGTCATAAAAGAGCCAAGGTTGCCTACCCCTGGTCTTATAGCAGTGGTTCTCAACCTTTTTAATGCCGCGACCCCCAACCGGTCGTAAGTTGAGGACTACTCAACCGGTCGTAAGTCGAGGACTACTCAACTGGTGCAGCACGGTTTGCAGAATGGACTTTTGGCGGGCTCAGCAGGGCAAAGACAGCCTGGACAATTCCTATTGGCTTTTGAAAGCCAATAGAATTAGACTTATTCAAGAGAGTCTATTCTATTGGCTTTCAAAAGCCAATAGAATAAAAGGGAGTAGCACAGCTAAGGAAAAGGGGGAAAAAATGGCGGACTGCGTTGTTTGGCGACCCCCGTGAAATGGTCTTTCGACCCCAAATGGGGTCCCGATCCACAGGTTGAGAACCACTGTCTTATAGGGTCTCCTGCTTGAGCAGGGGGTTGGACTAGACCAGGGGTAGGCAACTTTGGCTCTTTTATGACTCGTGGACTTCTTCCCAGAATTCCTAAGCCAGCTATGCTGGCTCAGGAATTCTAGGAATTGAAGTCCACGAGTCATAAAAGAGCCAAGGTTGCCTACCCCTGAACTAGAATATCTCCAAGATCCCTTCCAGCTCTATTCTGATTCTGATTCCTGTCTACAGGCACATCCTCTCATTTACGACCGCAACATACCACAGTCGTGTGACTTGTGATTTGCAACATTTATTGTTGTTTTTCCAGAGAAAATGGAACAAAAAAATGCCTACTTGGATGTTAGTTGGATTCACTGAGCAATCCTGTGGCTCCCTTAATGAACATGTGATTTGCTGAACTCTGCAGCGGTTCACTTTATGACCTGGTAAAAACAACTGTAAAGTCAAGTCTAGTCATTATTGACTACAACAAATTATGATTGAAATTCTGGGTTTCTTTGAGGTTGTATGTCGAGAATTGTTTGTATTGCTTTTCTAAGAGCTCCGATCCACAATGCTGTACTTCAGTTTTCTAGACCATGGGTAGGCAACCTTGGTTCTTTTATTACTCGTGGACTTCAACTCCCAGAATTCCTGAGTCAGCATGGCTCAGCTTGGAAACCTCTCCCTTTCCCCTCAGCATGGCTGGCTCAGGAATTCTGGGAGTTGAAGTCCACACGTCATAAAAGACCCAAGGTTGCCTACCCCTGCTCTAGACATCTTAAATTCCTTCAACTTTAAATTTGGGACTGACCAAGGGATTGCAGTAAATGGCCTCTGAGGTCTCCTCTCATTCTATAATTCTGTAATCTTCAGCCTGCCTGATTTTTGATTTGGAAATAAGCAGAATAGAAATCAGAAATCCTTTACCTGCAATTATCCATCAAGGACGGAAACGATAGTGGGCGTAGTTAATTTTGTTAACCTTGGTTGTTTATCTCTTCCAGGTATTGCCAGGAAATATTATTCTTCCACTTGCTGGTTCAATGGGAGATGTCTAAGACACAAAGAGATGAACGGTCAAAGTCCTAGAGAGGCATCAACTTGGTAGCCTTAAATGCACTTTTGTGCTGGGCTGATCCTGATGTTTTGATGTGGGTGAGCTTTGTTGAGAAACTAACATGTTACCAGGAAGAGCGGTGTTTTGGGGGGATTTCCAGCTTTTTTACTTGTAATTTCAAAGCATCCAGCTGCTGGATTTAACACAGGGAAGCAAGGGAAAGTCGGGGGATTTGATTCGACCCCACAAGGACAGACATGGCAAGTTGCTGCTCGGTGGCTAACTGCAAAAACCGCCGGTGGCATGGATCCCGTGTCACCTTCCACAGGTAAGTGAGCGAGCTTGAATCTCACCTCATATACCCTGTTTCGCCAAAAAGAAGATCCGATTTTACATTTTCTTTTGCTTCCAAGAGAGGCACCAGGTCTTATTTTCCGGGCATGTCCTTCCTGCTTACATTAGGATCACCGCAGCCGGGCCTCCCACGCCTCAACACCTGTTGCACTTCTGCCTGAGATCTTCGGCTGCTTGCAGCTGCATGCCACGTGGCGCATTGCTCCGGTGGCACTGCTCGCGGCAGTTGGCTGCATGGATCGTCATGCCAGTGCCGCCGCTCATGGCAGGAGTCCGTGTGGTGCGTCACACCGTGGCATGCGCACGATGACCACACGGCCTGCCGTGAGCAGCAGCACTGGCGTGAGCGGCATAACAATCCACACAGCCTCCTGCCGCAAGCGGCAGCTTCGTTGCAGCCACAAAAGAGCTTGGCCAGCAGCATGACAGATGATGGATTATGGGAGGCCTGGCTGCAGCAAGCCTAAGATAAGCTGGTGCAGGGTACGTGGGGCAGCCCCACCCCACTACCCCCGTCCTAACTTGATTTTACCCCAAAACTAGGGCTTATTTTGGGGGTAGAGCTTATATTAGATGCAAGTGTAAAAATCAAGCTAGGTCAAGGGTAGGCAACCTCAGCTCTTTTAAGACTCATGGACTTCAACTCCATGAGAGTTGAAGTCCATGAGTTATAAAAGAGCCGAGGTTGCCTACCCCTGAGCTAGGTCTTATTTTCGGGATAGGACTTAACACAGTATCATCATTTGACTCCACATCTGCATATGCTGGAAGCGGGAGGGAAATTGATGTAAACGAGGAGCAGTAAAGACGCAGCAAGAGTGGTCCCCTGTTTGTGGCCATTCTAGCCTTTTGTCTCTGTGTCCGGAGGCCAACATGGAGAATAACCCTGATCTGGATTTAGATAAAATATACCACTGAGATTTTGGTAAGTGAAGCAAGGGTAACCCGTGGCTTCAAATTAGTAGTGAAAATAGAGAAGACTGTGTTTCAACTGAATACAAGTAGTCCTCGACTTATGACCACAGTTGAGCCCAACATTTACGTTGCTAAGTGAGACATTTGCTTAATTTGCCCCATTTTAGGACTTCCTGCCACATTTGTTAAGTGAATCACTGCAGTTGTTTAATTAGTAACGCGGCTGTTAAGTCAATTTGGCTTCCCCGTTGATTTTGTCAGAAGGTCACAAATGGGGATCCCATCACCCCCAGGACAACGCAACCGTCATAAATATGAACCCAATTGTCAAGCATCCGAATGTAAATCACATGACCCATAGGGGATGCTGCAACGGTCATATGTGTGAAAAATGATTGTAAGTCACTCTTTTCAGTGCCATTCTCTTTTTGAACAGTCACTAAATGAACTATTGTAAGTCGAGGACTATCTGTAATGGGAACTGATGAGTTGATTGATTGATTGATTTGATTTCTATAGCCACCCATCTGAACAAGCAACTTTTTCCGTACAGTTAATTCCATTGTTCCTTTCCACTTGTCCTACCATGAAAATTTCTCTTCTTATTTTTCCATGTTAGTGAAACTCTCTTTTATTGTTATTAATTGCGAAGTCGTGTCTGACCCATCGCGACCCCATGGACAACATTCCTCCAGGTCTTCCTGTCTTCTACCATCTTCTGGAGTCCATTTAAGTTTACACCTACTGCTTCAGTGACTCCATCCAGCCATCTCATTCTCTGTCGTCCCCTTCTTCTATTGCCCTCCATCTTTCCCAGCACTAGGCCCTTCTCCAGTGAGTCCTTCCTTCTCATTAGGTGGCCAAAGTATTTGAGTTTGTGAAACTCTCTATATCAAGGCTTTTCAACCTTTTCACCCATTGTACCACTTTTAGGATATGGCAATATCCGAGTACCACCAGTTGCCGAGCAATGTGTCAAAAACTTGATGACCCCCCCCCCAAAAAAGGAAAAAAGTGATAATGTACAGGTAGTCCTCGACTTACAACAGTTCGCTTAGTGACTATTCGAAGTTACAGTGGCACTGAAAAAAATGCCCCCCAAGCCACAGCCGAGCAAGACACCTGCCTGCCCGCCCGGCGGCGCTCTTCCTTCTGTCCGAGGTTTTCATTGTTGTGAGCATTTCTGTTGGGGATTGGCAGCGGGGGTGGGGTGGGGGGTGTTTGGTTTTTATCCCCCCCCCCCCCGTCTGCTGGGTGGTTGCAGCAGGTTTTGGTCACTTCACATGATCCTGGGACACTATGACCGTCATAAATATGAATCAGTTGCCAAGCATCTGAATGTAAATCACGAGACCCTGGAGAGGCTGCAACTTTCCAGCTGAGTGGCGCTTCTTCTGGGCTCATCAGAAGTGCCAGGATCAGCACCAAGCTCCAGCTGGAGCCTGGCGCTGATCCTGGCTCTTCCACTGAGCCCTGACAGCCCTGCAGATCCAGATGTCTCTCGCTCAGGCTTGTGCGGTGCTGCCACCGGTTCAGCTCATCCCCCTCCCCGGCTACCACTTTTCTAGGATGGTCACGTACCACCTGCCAGGTGCCAATGTATCACAGGTGGTACCTGTACCACTGGTTGAAAAGCCCTGCTCTATATTGTTTCACCCGGCTTCACTACCATTTTTGCACAGAAAAGTGAAAAGTGATTAGCGATACGGTTGGTCCTCGGAGGTTGTCTGTAAGCTTCCATTTTTGCTGGGTCCATAAAAGAAATGGCAACGCCAGATTTACCCTCAGCCTCCTCTTTTTGATTTTGATCCGAACCTTCGCTCAAGCAGAGAATTCAGTTTTTTTCGTAAATAATTGTGTGAACAGCCTTTGTGGAGGATGGGCTTTTTAAAAAACAACAACAACAACAACAGAGTTTTTCCATCGTTGCTGCAGGTTTCCTCTTACGAAGGAGAGGCAGTTAAAAAAGTGGATCAAAAGTATTGGTCGTCCGGATTTCGCTCCCTCTTACGACGACGTCGTATGCTCGGAACACTTCAGAAAAACGGATTTCTGGGGAAGGATGGCTTCTGGGAGAAGGAATTTAAAGCCAGGAGCTGTCCCAACTATCTTTAATACCTCTGGCCGTTCAAAAAGATTAAACATTGGCAAGGTATTTTGCTTCGTTCTGCTTTTCCCCCTCTGCTGAAGTTTATTTGGCTCTTTTTAACCATCTTATGTAGAAAAATCAGTGCCTGGTTAGTTCTGTCTTTTGATATTTAATCATCTCCATTTCTAGTCCTGATATTTAATTGGAATCATATATATAATTATTTACAAAGTCAGAATAATCATAGTCTATCGGAATTTTGCTACTCTGAGCAATCGTAGAGATGTCATTCCCCAAGTCCTAGGAAAATAAGAATTTTGTAAGAAGACGTTGCAAAATAATTCTTAAACCCTGGAAGTTAATACAGGTAGTCCTCAACTTACGACCGTAACTGAGCCCCACATTTCCATTGCTAAGCAAGACGGTTGTGAAATGATTTTTGCCCCATTGTACGACGCTTCTTGCCACAGTTGCCAAGTGGAATCACGTTAGTAACACGTTTGTTAAGCGAGTCTGACTTCTTCCTTGATTTTGCTTGTCAGAAAATCACCCCAAAAATGATCATGTGACCCCAGGACACTGCAACTCTCATAAGTGGTCAAGCATCCTAATTTTGATCACGTGACCAGGGCAACGCTGCAACGGTCGTAAAGTGTGAAAAGCTGTCCCGTCACTTTTATTAGTGGCCGTTGTAACTTTGAAACACTCACTAAACCAGAGATAGGTAACCTTGGCTCTTTTATGACTCGTGGACTTCAATACCCAGAATTCCTGACCCAGCCATGCTGAGGGGAAAGGGAGAGGTTTCCAAGCTGAGCCAAGCTGGCTCAGGAATTCTGGGAGTTGAAGTCCACGAGTCATAAAAGAGCCAAGGTGGCCTAGCCCTGCTCTAGAGGGCCTAGTGGAGGATGGGGGCATTGGTTGTGAGGCAGAATGGTTACCCTTGCACTAAACAAATGGTTGTAAATTAAGGGCTACCTATACAAGTAGTCCTTTCGCAAAAAAAAATAAATAAATGCCTACTATGAATAATGCCTCGCTTAATGACAGTGGTGTTCACTCAATGACCGCTGCAGGAAAAAAGAGCATAAAATCACACGATGAGCTGCTTAACAACCAGCATAAGCCTAATTCCAGGTTAAATTAAGACTGTAATTGAACCTGGAACGAGGGTGCTGGTTGTTAAACAGGTCATCCTGTCGAGGACTGCCAGAATTAAGCAGGTCATAAACTGAGGACTACCAGTGTTTCTTTATGTAACTCAGGGGTCTTCAAACTTGGCCCTTTTATGACTTGTGGACTTCAACCCCCAGAATTCCTCAGCCAGGCACACGTGCCTGGCTGAGGAATTCTGGGAGTTGAAGTCCACAAGTCATAAAAGGGCCAAGTTTAAAGACCCCTGAGGTAACGGAATGCCTTTTCCCCTTATTCTCCTTTGCAGAGGGCTCGAAAGGAAAGCTCGGAAGAGGGGCAGCCCCTCGTCCAAGGGAATCCACCCGGCCATGAGCCAAGCTCTCCTCCGGGAGCTGGTGAGGGCGATGCTGACATCTTGTCCTCCACGAACGATATTGTCATCCTAGAACATTCTTACTCTACTCCGGCAAGTCCCAGTAAAGCAAGCAAGTGAATTTTATGACATTTGTTATTAAATGGACGAAACCGCTATAAAGATCCTGAGCGTGAACCGGGTGTCTGTGGAGATTCTCAGTCATCCAGGTCATGGTTGTCCCAAAGGTGCTTTTTTTTTTTTTTTTTTGGTCAAAAGGCAACCGGACTTTGTTTTTCCTTGAGGAAAAATAGTGCCACACCCATTTGCACTATTCAGGGGACCCCGAGGGCAGAGATAAACCTCCAAGTGGCTTCAACGACTCTCAAAAAAGATGCAAATGACCAGCTGTCTGCAAGGAGTATAAATCCTTTAGTCCTCCACCATTCGGTCCGAACCAAAGAAGCTTCTTGGATGAGAAGTGAAACGTCTTCAAGAAAAAACGAAGTCCAGTTGCCTCTTTTTATATGTCTTTAATAGAGACATGTCAAACACAAGGCCCGGGGGGCCGGATGCGGCCCGCGAAGTGGTTCCATGTGGCCCGCGAAGCCATCCTGGAAACAGTGAGGGAACGGCCCCCGCTGCCTTGGCCCTGGCCCAGGCTGGCCGGGAGCCAATGTACAATTTTGTGGTGGCCATCTAGGCTGAAACACATTCAGTCTTAGCTCCATACGCCCCCCCCCCACATGGCCTGAGAGGAACGGTGAGGCTCCTCCAGTGGACCATGTCTTGGCACTTGCCCTGGTTCCACCCCCTTCAGACAGAGACCCTCAGATCTGTCCCACTCCTGCCCAGGCCCCCACATGCACCCTTGACACGAATGATGTAGAGCTGGCCACACCCACTCCATCCACACCCACCCTAGCCACACCCACCCGGCCCCCTGAGGGCAACCGTAATGCTGATGCGGCCCTCAATGAAATTGAGTTTGACACCCCTGCTTTAATAAATTTAAATATTGGAATCCCAGGTATGTCAGTCAAATAAAATGATGAGCTTCGGGATGTAAGAAAAAAGTCTTTATTGCTAAGCTTTTGTCAACAAGCTGTTGACATCAGAGCAAAGGGCTAAATGACAAGGGAGCATCTGTATACATTTACATAACAGTTAAAAATGGTTACTGGAGGCTGACTTCCGTGTCTTTGCTGTTACCAATGTGACTTTTTGCAAGCGAGCTTTTTTATGAGCACGCTACATGCACATGCCATACTGTAACCGTTTTTTAACTGTTATGTAAATGTATGCACATGCTCCCTTGTCATTTAGCCCTTTGCTCTGATGATGTCAACAACTTGTTGATGAAAGCTTAGCAATAAAGAAGCCTTTTTTCTTACATCCCAGAGCTCATCATTTTATTTTACTGACTTTAATATATATGTGTGTGTGTGTGTGTTTTCTGAGGTTTTCGCGGGTGTTTGTAGGTCTTTGGTTATTCGGGTTTTCTCCCGGGTAAAATTGGAAGTGTCTTGGCGACGTTTTGATAAAGTCCCATTTGTCATTTTCAGGCTGGTGTTTTCGGCTTCGTGCTTCTAGGAGCAATGTGTGATCATAGCTGTTTCTTCCTTTTAACTGCCAGTGGGGGTATGAACTGATGAGTGATCAGTTCATACCCCCACTGGCAGTTAAAAGGAAGAAACAACTACAATCACACATTGCTCCTAGAAGCACAAAGCCGAAAACACCAGCATGAAGATGACGAATGGGACTTCGTCGAAACGTCGCCAAGACACTTCCAATTTTACACGGGAGAAAACCCGAATAACCAAAGACCTGTGTGTGTGTGTGTGTGTGTGTATAAACACTTCTAGTAATACCCATTTTTCCACACTAAGCAAATACAATTCTTATTGTTGTTAGTAAATATAGAATTGCATATCAAAATTTGTTACATTTTTCTAATAATGTCAATAATACCAATTTAAAATGTCTTTTCTAACCAAAGCATATCTGAGTTGCATTTGCACTTAATTTCCATTTATTTAATCCATATCCTATTTTCGCTTTTTTCAGTCTTAATTTCCCATCCATGTTCAAAGTATCCCAATCGTTTATAATTTCAGAACAAGTTATATTTGGGTAACCAAAAGCATTCCTTGTTCAAAGGTCTTAGCATATTCTTATCTCCCTTTTCATACCAAGAGATGATATTCTGATTACAAATCCTATCTATCGACTTATAATAATACTTCTATTTCTAGCAATCTATTCTTAACCATATTCAAACATCTAATTAGTAATGTAGCATCCCCTCTAATAGGTCAGCGCTTCTGTTTCCTTCAATCTTACTCTAGCTTTCTTTCTTTCCCAACTAACATTCCCAGTCAGTCAGGAAAAACGAAGTCCAGTGACCTTTTGAAAAAGCACCTTTGGGACATGAACCAGGTGGCGATACTAGTGATTAGCAGGGGAGTGTTGAGAGAACGGGATGGGGAGTTGGTCGTTTTATTACACAGCAAAATCTTGTTGAATTAATTCACTAAATTACGAATTTACTAATTAAATTGACTCCTTTAATTAATTTGCAGTTCCCCAAAGTTTGGGAATTCAAGGAGGGTGCCGCTGGGATGTGCAAATGATGTGTTGTATGTAATGACATCATAACACACATGACCGAAATAACATCCTTTGCAATGCGCTCTACACAAGACTGCCTTCGGATCCCACTCAAAAGCTGCAACTGGTCCATAATCTGGTGACAGTGATAGGCAGTATTTCTCAACCTCAGCAACCTTCAACTCCCAGAATTCCTCAGCCAGCATGTTCTAAACCAGCAGCCCCCCCAATCTTTTGGGCACCAGGGACCGGTTCCGTGGAGAAAGCTTTTTCCGCGGATTGGAGGGGGTGTGGTTTTGGGTGCTGCCTGCATCCTGCGGATGGGGCTTTGCACGGACCAGTTCCTGGCATGCTGCAGACCGGTGGCGATCCACAAACCAGGGCTTGGGGACCTCTCCTTTAAACCATGGGAGTTATGACTTGTTCTGTCTGTGCAAGGAAAGAGTCCGACTGGAACCAGGCAGGGCTCAGATTGAATTACATAAATATCCTGCTGAGGAGCATCGACGGAAAACATAAATGGCACCCAATTGTGGATGGAATGTGGCCCTGAATTCCACCACGCTATTTTTCTTCATTCAGAGAAAACCATTATTTTTATGTTTTCGTGCAGAGAAGCATTCCAACTCTTTGATGCGCTTCAAATCACATAGGTCATTTGTTCCGGCAAACTATTCCGCAGCTTCAGCCATTTTGATGCGCAGTACAATCTGCTTAAGCTGATTTCTAGGATCCTAACCCCAACCGCCCCCCCCCCCAAAAAAGCACTAAAACTCAACCGATCTTCTGAGTTGACGTAGGTGTAGGTTGAGGCTTTGTCCAAACATCCTGGACAAGCAGAAATGATCACAAACAAGCAGTTGCTCAAGTAATCGGCCCTCTGCCATGATGCGCTTTATAGCAGGGGTCCCCAAACCCCGGTCCATACACAGGCACCGGTCCGCAGCATGCCAGAAACTGCTCTGCGCAAACAAATGAAGCCCCGTCTGCGGGATGCAGGCTGCGCACACAAAACCACACCCCCTCTGATGCGCAAAAAAATCCTTCCTCCATGGAACCGGTCCCTGGTGTCCAAAAGATTGGGTGCTGCTGCTTTATAGGTACTGTAGATCACTGCACCTTGAATTGCACCCAGAGGCTGTTCGTTAACTGAGGCAGCTGAGGAAACAGTAACGATGGCGTAGGCATAATGAGAAGCACCTATTACTTCCTGCATCTTGAACCAGCTGCAGCTCCTAGATCAGTGGTTCTCAACTTTTTTAATGCCGCGACCCCTACCAGTCGTAAGTCGAGGACTACTCAACTGGTGCAGCACCGTTTGCAGAATGGGACTTTTGGCGGGCTCAGCAGGGCAGAGACAGCCTGGACAATTCCTATTGGCTTTTGAAAGCCAATAGAATTAGACTCTATTCAAGAGAGTCTATTCTATTGGCTTTCAAAAGCCAATAGAATAAAAGGGAGTAGCACAGCTAAGGAAAAGGGGGGGGAGGGCGGACTGCATTGTTTGGCGACCCCCGCGAAATGGTCGTTCGACCCCAAATGGGGTCCCGACCCACAGGTTGAGAACCACTGCTCTAGATCAGTGGTTCTCAACCTGTGGGTTGGGACCCCATTTGGGGTCGAACGACCATTTCACGGGGGTCGCCAAACAAGGCTGTCTGCCATTTTTTTCCCCTTTTCTTTGGCCACGCCCCTGGCACCCAGTGATGTATCAGTGGTTCGGGGTCACCACAACATGGGGAACTGTATTATGGGGTTGCGGCATTAGAAAGGTTGAGAACCACTGCTCTAGATAGTCTTCAAGGGCAGCCCTATCTAGAGTGCCCAGCAGTAGTCCATGAGGCAACTAGGCAGGGTGTGAGTTACTTTCCAGTCAAGTAACTTGTGCAAAGTGATTGGAGGAGAAACGGAGCAGAGCTTGCGCTAAAGACCTCGATGTCATTTGTCCACTTCAGCTGCTTCTGCTGGGGAGCTCCGGGTAGCCTCCCCACAAGACCAAGCCGCCCCAGAACCCCAAGCCAGGAAGAGCCTTCGCCTTCGCCTCCGCCAGGCCCGAGCCAAAAGGGAGCTCATGGAAAAGATGAGACGAAACGCTTCCGAGGAGCCGGGGGTCGACTCGGATGTGCAGCGCCAGAATTTCCGAGACTTCTGCTATCAGGAGATGGAAGGGCCCCGCCACGTTTGCTGCCGGCTGTGGGATCTCTGCCACCAGTGGCTGAAGCCTGCAAAACATACCAAATTGCAGATGCTGGAATTGGTAATTCTGGAGCAGTTCCAGGCCATCCTGCCCCAGGAAATGCAGGAGTACGTCAAGGAATGGGAGCCTTCCACTTGCGACCAGGCCGTAAGCCTGGCCGAGGAGTTCATAAAGAGGGCGCAAGGGGAAGAGGTGGGCATAATGCACGGGAAGAATCCTAACCTTCAACTCTGGAAATGTTTGGTAAATAGAGACGATAAAGCAGTGGTTCTCAACCTTTCTAATGCCGTGACCCCATAATACAGTTCCCCATGTTGTGGTGACCCCCAACCACTTATACATCACCGGGTGCCAGAGGCATGGCCAAAGAAAACGGGGAAAAAATGGCGGATAGCCTTGTTTGGCGACCCCCGTGAAATGGTCGTTTGACCCCAAATGGGGTCCCGACCCACAGGTTGAGAACCACTGCGATAAAGCCACAAGCTGTCATTCATTCTTGGCTTCTGGCTTTCTGCCTTCTTTAGAGGGTGACCTTAAATTTGAGGATGTGTGCTTTCTGACTGAGCCCTCAGGCCAAGTTTTACCTCATTATCTGGGAACTGTATATGGCTGCCCATCATAAAGGCGTAACTCTGGGCAGCTCATAACCAGCTTACGGGAGAAAGAACCTAAAAAGAGTTAGGAGCCCACAGCTAAATAATTAAAATAATGAAAACCGAGGCACCGTCTCACAAGTTCACAAAGCAGACGCACGTTAAATGGGGTGCTGTAACATCCTTGCTTGTGATGTCTCCATGAAAAGGTTAGGATAACTATTTTGTAGTGAAAAAAGAAATAAGAGAGATTTGTGATAAGAGAAGAATTGGTACTAATCAATGACTTATTAGACCAGTGTTTCTCAACCTTGACAATTTTAAGGCATATGGACTTCAACTCCCAGAATTCCACAGCCGGCATTGCTGGCTGTGGAATTCTGGGAGTTGAAGTCCACATGCCTTAAAATTGTCGAGAAACATTGTATTAGACTAAGAATTAGGATATATTTGGAAATATTCGAATGTTACTGTCGGAATATTATGTGTATTGTAGAAGGGATACCCAAAGTGCTAATGTTTATTCAAGATTAATTGGATTATGGTAATTGTAAATTAGTAAAGCTAATTTGGATTTACATAGATGTAATATAGAAATGGATTGACCTAAATATGTTATACTATTTGAGGGAAATAGAGAGGGAACATTTAATGAATTAATTTGAGTTTTATATATATATGACTTTGTCTTTGGATGATTGATTACCTCATCACCATTGTGTTTCTTGAGCACTCTGATGTAAAAATTAAAAAAAACTAATAAAACTTGTCTATATATATATAAAAAAGAAAAGGTTAGGATTCAAATAGGGCAGCCGTTCTGTATACAGGTAGTCCTCGACTTATGACCACAATTAAGCCCAAAATATGCTGTTGCTAAATGAGACATTTGTTTTAAGTGAATATTGATCCATTTTATGACTTTTCTTGCCCCCCGTTGTTCAGTGAATCACTGCGGTTGACAAATTAATAACTCTCTCGTTAAGCGAGCTTCTTCTAAAATCTGTTATCATCTCTACAGTTTTAAAGAGCGTTCAGCTCCAGATTGTTCGGCTGCACCACAGGACCACCATTACAATAAGTGTTTGTAATGCGGGGGGCAAGGAAATGTTTATTTATTTAATTTGTTTGCCGCCCATCCCACACGAGGTAACTCTTTCACGGCCTTCGGATGACGATAGAAGAACTTTGGATACTAGACTCAAAGATTCTTTGCTAAAAGTCGGGGCCTTTAAGTAGGATCTGGTTTGACATCTCTTGGGAAGGTGGACTGAATCAGGAGTCAGACTGGATGTCCTATAGCAGGGCTTTTCAACCTTTTCACCCATTGTACCACTTTTAGGATATGGCAACATCCAAGTACCACCAGTCGCCTAGCAAGGTGTCAAAAACTTGATGACCCCCCCCCCAAAAAAGTAAAAAAAATGATAAAGTACAGGTAGTCCTCGACTTACAACAGTTCACTTAGTGACTTTGAAGTTACAATGGCACTGAAAAAAGTGCCCCCCAAGCCACAGCCGAGCAAGACACCTGCGTGCCCGCCCGGTGGCGCTCTTCCTCCTGTCCGAAGTTTTCATTGTTAGCATTTCTGTTGGGGATTGGCAGCGGAGGTGGGGTGGGGGCTGTTTGGCTTTTATTCCCCCTCGTCTACTGGGTGGTTGCAGCAGGTTTTGGTCACTTCACATGACTCTGGGACACTGTGACCATCATAAATATGAATCAGTTGCCAAGCCTCTGAATGTAAATCACAAGACCCTGGAGATGCTGAAACATTCCAGCTGATCGGCGCTTCTTCTGGGCTCAGCAGAAGCGCCAGGATCAGCGCCGAGCTCCAGCTGGAGCCTAGCGCTGATCCTGGCGCTTCCACTGAGCCCTGACAGCCCCGAAGAAGCGCCGATCAGCTGGAAAGCGGCACTGATCCTGGCGCTTCCGCTGAGCCCTGACAGCCCTGCAGCTCCAGCCGTCTCTCGCTCAGGCTTGTGCGGTGCTGCCACCGGTTCAGCTCATTCCCCTCCCCCGCTATCACTTTTCTAGGATGGTCGCGTACCACCTGCCAGGTGCCAATGTACCACAGGTGGTACCCGTACCACGGGTTGAAAAGCCCTGTCCTATAGCAGAGGTCCCCAACCTTTTGGGCACCAGGGACCGGTTCCGTGGAAACAGGTTTTTCTGCGGACCGGAGGGTGCGTGGTTTTGTGTGCTGCCTGCATCTCGCAGATGGGTCTTTGCTTATTTGTGAAGACCGGTTGCTGACATGCCGCAGCCCGGTACTGATCCACAGACCAGGGGTGGGGGACCCTGGTCCTATAGCTCTCTGCTCGGTTCTGTAACTATAACAATAGTTGGAAGATTGTTCAGAGAGATACAGAGCAGATAAGCAAGAATTACTCCCTCCTTCGGTGCTATTAATCCTACTAAAAAGTTTTTCCCCTGCTCCCTTTGGTGTTTCAGAAAAAGGCAGCTGTTGTCTCCAAAACAAAGAGGACCCCTTCACTTGCAAAGCGCACCTCGGGGTGCAGGAAGATCGCCAAGAAGCAGGATGCCAACTTGCAAGGTAAGAACGTCTTTTGCCCCCATTTTGGCACAGCTGGTCCTTGACTTACAACCCTAAGGGATCCCAGAATTTGTTTTATAAGTCACGGCAGTTGTAAGTTGAAACTGAAAGCAGTTTTGACTGAAGGCCTTGCTTCTCTTCTCGTCTTTTGGTGAGCCTAGAAATCCGTGGTGGCGAACCTATGGCACGTGTGCCACAGGCGGCACGCAGAGCCCTCTCTGTAGGGCACGTGTGCCGTCGCCCCAGTCCTAGGCCTTCAGCTGGCTTTTATAAAAAACTTTTTCGCCTTAGGCCTCCGCCGCCGTGTGCAAAAAAAATAAATAAATCAATTACAACTTCTCGCGGGGAAAAAAGATCTTGCAAAGTTGGAAATAATTGATTGAACTTTTTAGTCCCACCCAGTCTGCCGTTACCACCGCAGCCATGCCCACCCAATGGGCCACGCCCACCCGGCACCAGACGATACATAAGTGGGTTTTGGGTTCAAGTTTGGGCACTCGGTCTCTAAAAGGTTTGCCATCCTTGGCCTAGATGGACGCATGTCGGAGAGCCAGGATCAGGCCAGCCCTCCCAGGATTGGAGCCAATGGAGTCAACGGTGGAGAGGAGCACCCTGAGAATCCAGAAGGCAATGAAGCCAGCCTGGAGGACCTGACAGGTAACGGACTAAGGGGATCTGTGGTCAGGGGAGGGATCGGGGTCCTTCCTCCTATGTTTGCTTGGGTTAAATCAGTGGTTCTCAACCTTTTTAATGCCGCGACCCCCAACGGTTGTAAGTCGAGGACTACTCAACCGGTCGTAAGTCGAGGACTACTCAACTGGTGCAGCACCGTCTGCAGAATGGGACTTTTGGCGGGCTCAGCAGGGCAGAGACAGCCTGGACAATTCCTATTGGCTTTTCAAAAGCCAATAGAATTAGACTCTATTCAAGAGAGTCTATTCTATTGGCTTTCAAAAGCCAATAGAATAAAAGAGAGTAGCACAGCTAAGGAAAAGGGGGGAAAAAATGGCGGACTGCATTGTTTGGCGACCCCCGTGAAATGGTCATTCGACCCCAAATGGGGTCCCGACCCACAGGTTGAGAACCACTGGGTTAAATGAATAAATTTTAGAACAGTATTTCTCAAGATACTTAAAGCAGTCATGTCAAACACAAGGCCCGGGGGCCGGATGCGGCCCGTGAAGTGGATTCATGGGTCCGTGAAGTGGATTCATGGAAACAGTGAGGGAACGGCCCCCGTTGCCCTGGCCCAGGCCAGCTGGGAACCAATGTACAATTTTGTGGTGGCCATCTATGCTGAAACGCATTCAGTCTTAGCTCTACAAGGCCGTCTGGAAACGGCTTGGTGCCGCAGGTGCTCAAGGGCTAGGCTGGGCATTTGACCTCTGCTGCCCAAATGATACTTATATTCAGCATATGAGATACGTCAGTAAGTAACTGATCGAACAATAAAATACACTGGTTGCATGTGAAGTTTGAACAATAGAAACCATTAATTCTAGGTAACATTCCACAAGTGACAAATTTATGAGTTACCTTACTTTTTCCCAGCTAGGTTAATACCTTTCTTGAAAGTTACAAGTGTATTATTCACAAGGACTTTCAGAGTACACTTTGTACTGTGTGGTTGCTGAAAAGGCAAGTTCTCGCATACAAAAAGGAATTACCTGAAAGGGAAAAAAAAATGAATTCTTATAGAGAAGAGGCCCAGAAGTATTATTGTCACCTTTTAAAATGCTAAGAATGAAGCCTAAAATTTGAGGCAACAATTCCCCCATTTGGTTCTTAAATTAAGTATAATTTTCTGAACCCCTATTACATTTAGCAAACAAGCACGTATATAATAATAATAAAGTTGGAAGGGACCTTGGAGGTCATCTGGTCCAACCCCCTGCTCAGGCAGGAAACCCTATACCAGTGATGGCGAACCTTTTAGAGACCGAGTGCCCAAACTGCAACCCAAAACCCACTTATGCATCATCGGGTGTCAGATGGATGTGGCCCATTGGGTGGGCGTGGCTGTGGTGGCAACGGCAGACTGGGTGGGACTAAAAAGTTCAATCAATCAATTCCAACTTTGTAAGATCTTTTTTTTTCCCGCGAGAAGTTGAAATTGACTGATTGATTGAACCTTTTTTTTATATACATACATGGCAGCAGAGGCCTAAAGTGAAACCCAGCTGAAGGCCTAGGACTGGGGCAATGGCGTGTATGCCCACAGAGAGGGCTCTGAGTGCCGCCTCTGGCACCCGTGCCATAGGTTCGCCACCACTGACCTACACCATTTCAGACAAATGGCTATCCAGTTTCTTCTTAAAAACTTCCAGTGTTGGAGCATTCACCGCCTCTGGAGGCAGATTGTTCCACTGGTTAATTGTCCTAACTGTCAGGAAGTTTCTCCTTAGTTCTAGGTTGCTTCTCTCCGTGATTAGCATTTGAAATGATGGCCAGATCTGTCCCTAGGTTCTGTCTTGGTTTAACTTTCTCCAATAAGCAACCGAGTCTGAAGATCATTTAAAACAGTGGTTCTCAACCTTTTTAATGCCGCGACCCCCCCCAACCGGTTGTAAGTCGAGGACTACTCAACTGGTGCAGCACCGTTTGCAGAATGGGACTTTTGGCAGGCTCAGTAGGGCAGAGACAGCCTGGACAATTCCTATTGGCTTTTGAAAGCCAATAGAATTAGACTCTATTCAAGAGAGTCTATTCTATTGGCTGTAAGGACCCACCCCACTTTGCATCTTAAGAAGACAGAACTCTTGGAATAGCTCTTCCAACAGGAATCCTTTATTAAGAGAAAATGGTTGCAGGCATGCTAGACAGGACTTGGGGTTCAAGCTCTCCCATTCAAGGTTTTAAGGGGTTCCCCAGTAGTCCCACCCAATCAACCCCCCTTCCAGTGATAGTTTCAAGTATCACAATTCCATCCCCTTTCTTCTTCCGTCTGGATGGAGACTTCAGATAACTACATGAAAGGCAATTACTCTTCTTTGATATGTTAAAGCTTAGAGGCCACAATAAACACACATTCAGTCCTTTGAAGTGTGCTGAAGGAAGTGAGGGCCATAAAGCCCCTTTGCTCTCCCCCTTTTCTCCCTCTTATGGCAGAATCCAGAGAAGGCAGAATTGGGAGTTTCTATGTTTGATAATTAAAGATGAAATATAATTGGATTCTGACATCCGGCCCCTCTTAACAATAAGAGAGATCCACCTGAAAGAAAACACAAGTAAAAAATTTAGTTAGGCTTGTTAGGATACTCTGTGTGAAACTTCTTCAATAGCTTCGGGGCTCTGACGTGACGTTTATGGACCCACTCATTTTGTGAGGCAGGGAGGTGTTTCCAGGCAACTAGGTACTGAGTTGTTCCACGATATCTCCTAGAGTCAAGGATCTCTTTTATTTCGAAGTGTTGTTCCCCCTCCACCATGATTGGAGGTGGTGGGGGGGGGATTTTTGGCCGTAGAGGTGACTGATGCTCTCTTTTCAGCAAGCTGCAATGAAAAATTGGGTGTATTTGCCTGAGGTTTTTGGGTAATTCTAATTCTACTGTTACTGGATTTATGATCCTTTTAATTGGAAAAGGTCCTATATATTTTGGTCCAAGTTTTTTACAGGGCTGTAGGGACTTTAGGTATTTTGTAGATAAGTACACCATTTCTCCTATAATGAATGGTGTAGGCTCAACCCTTTTTTTATCGGCTTGTGCTTTGTATGCCCGCCTAGCTTCATCTAGTGATTTTCTGACTATTGGCCAGGTGTTTTGTAGGCTTTCCATCCATTCTTTCAGTGAAGGGATCGTTGGTTCTTTTGGGGTTAACTCTGGCATAGGGTTGAAACTTTGGCCGTTGGCTATTTGAAAAGGAGTGTAGCCTGTGCTGGAGTGGACTGCATTATTGTAGGCAACTTCTGCAAAAGGAAGTAAGTCCGTCCAATCACTCTGTTGGAAATTTAAAAAACATCTCAAATATTGCTCAAGTACCGACTGGCAGCGTTCCGCTTGTCCATCTGTCTGAGGGTGATGGCTAGATGTCAGTCCCTGAGTGGTCCCTAAGAGGGATAAAAATTCCTTCCAAAATGTAGACGTAAATTGCACTCCCCTATCAGAGATGATGCGTTGGGGTGCCCCGTGCAATCTGTAAATGTGCTGGATAAAAAGTTTTGCTAAGGCCTTTGCAGTGGGAATTTTTTGGCAAGGGATAAAGTGCACCTGTTTGGAAAATAGGTCCGTGACTGTCCAGATAACAGTATTCCCATTGCTTTCAGGCAATTCCACTATAAAATCCATGGCTATTTCCCTCCAGGGGGCTGAGGGACTTGCCACTGGTTGTAACAGCCCTGGCGATTTCCCTTGCAACCTCTTTGCTGATGCACAGGTTGGGCAGCTGGCAACATAACTTTCTATGTCCTTTTTTATTGATGGCCACCAAAATTGCCGTTTAATTAAGTGTAAAGTTTTTACAAATCCAAAATGCCCTGCTGATTTTGTGTCATGGCAAAGTTGCATGAAAGTTAGTCTTTGAGTTGTTGGTATATATAACTTTTCCCCTACCCAAGGCAATCCGTCTCTCATTGTGCACACATGTTTGTTTTTCTGGAACCAATCATCTGTTTCCAAACTTTTTCTGAATTCAATCCCAGTTTGGCTGTCCAGTTGTGGTTTTATTTTGGCTTGGGTTCTTGTGGTTACTGGCGCTGCCAGTTGTGATTCTGCCATTATTGGTCTAGAGTCTGTGGTTCGTGCGCTGTTATATTGGGGCATGCGAGATAGTGCATCTGCCAGGAAGTTCTTTCTTCCTGGTAAATGTTTGAGCTTAAATTGGAATTGGTGAAAATGCTGGGACCAGCGGGCTTGTTTGGGATTGAGTTTCCTGGAAGTTTTCAGGGCTTCTAAATTTTTGTGATCAGTCCATACCTGGAAGGGGATTTTGTTGCCTTCCAGGAACTGTCGCCACGTGAGTAATGCCCAACGTATCCCATAAGCCTCCTTCTCCCATACGGGCCAGCGCTGTTCTGTTTCCGTGAGTTTCTTAGATGTATATGCACAGGGTTGCAATACTGCATCATCATTTTCTTGTAATAGCACAGCCCCCACTGCCACATCACTTGCATCTGCCTGTATTATGAAGGGCTTGTCCATATCTGGGTGCCTTAGTACTGGTTCGGCAGAAAAAAGTCTCTTTAGTCTCTCAAACGCTGCTTGGCACTCCATTGTCCATGTTAGTGGCTGGCTAGGTTTTACTGAGGATGTTCCCTTCGTTTTTAGTAAGTTGGTGAGGGGCAAGGCTATCTGTGCAAATGAGGGGATGAATTGGCGGTAAAAATTTGCAAAGCCCAGGAAACTTTGTAGTTGCTTTCTTGTGCGGGGTGGTGCCCATTCTAATACTGCTCTGACCTTCTCTGGGTCCATTTCAATGCCCTGTGGGGATATGCGATAGCCTAGGTAGTCTATCCTTTCCTGGTGGAATTCGCATTTTGAGAGTTTGGCATATAGGTGAGCGGCTCGCAGCTTCTTTAAAACCGCTCTGACAAGTTTGACGTGTTCTTCTTTTGTTTCGGTAAAGATAAGAATGTCGTCCAAGTAAACAAGGACCCCCTTAAACAGGTGCTCCCTTAGAACGTCATTGATTAATTGCATAAAGACTGCAGGGCCCCCTTGTAATCCAAATGGCAAGACTTTGAATTGATAGCACCCCATGGGGCAGTTAAATGCAGTCTTCCATTCGTCCCCTTCCTTGATTCTCACGCGATAGTAAGCTTCCCTTAAGTCTAGTTTAGAAAAAATTTTCCCTTTCGATAGGTGTGACAGCATGTCTTTCATGAGGGGCAGCGGGTATAGGTTGCTTTCACTGATTGTGTTCAGGGCCCTATAATCCACGCATAAACGTAAAGAGCCATCCTTCTTCTCTCTAAAAAGGACCGGGGCAGCCACTTTAGGCTTAGCTGGTTCAATGAAACCTCTCTCCAGGTTTTTTTTTATAAATCTTTCCATTTCCTCCTTCTCCTTTGGGCTCATGGAGTATAATCTGGGCTTCGGGAGTTTTGCCCCAGGCTTGAATTCAATGGTACAGTCTGTGGGTCGGTGGGGGGGAAGCTCATTCGCCCTCTCCTCACTGAAGACTTCAGCAAGGTCCCTATATTCCTCTGGTATTTCTGTTAATCTTTTTTCCTCTCCTATGGATGCTTTTTCTATTCTTGATTCTGGTAGCCTCTCTTGGGGTTTTAAGTCCATAGGGTCCCCCTTCGGGAATTTGATTTCTGTCGTCCTCCAATTTACCCAGGGGTTCCATTTTTTCAACCATTCCATCCCTAGAATCATTGGGCATTCCATACCTGGGGTCACCACAAACGTTAAGTCCTCTTCATGGTTGCCCAGGGAGAGGTGTATTGGCAGAGTGGCTAGGGTAGCTGGCACCCCCCCTGCTATGGATCCATCTAGCTGGCCAAATGAGATTGGTTGTTCCAGTCTCCTGGATGGGATGCCCAGATTCCCCACTAGTGTTGGGCTAATGAGGCAGCGGGTGCAGCCAGAGTCTATTAAGGCTTTCACCTTCACAGCTTCGGGCATGGGGGGGATTAGTATAGTCACTGTTTTGAAGATGGGTGTGATGCGTCCACTTACCAGGGGTTCGCCTTCCGAGCTGTCATCTGAGGCATCCACCGTCCCTGTGGTGTAGGCTGGAGTTCTTTCCCCTTGGTGAGCAGAGGTGGGGTTTTCTGCAATTTCCATCATTTTCATGGCTGTTTCTTTTGGCTTAGCTGAATACCCTCTGGGTTTGTTGATTGGGGATCTGTCTGGGTTGTGCTGGGGGGCCTTTGAGCGGCATTCTACAGCTCGATGCCCTTCTCTTCCGCACTTGAAACACCCCATCTGCTTCTTGGCTGTATCCGATGATTTCACCGGTTGGTGTGTCAGCTCAGGCGGGGGGCGGCTCCATTGTTTTCCTCGGCGATGCCTCTTCAATATGTCGATCTCTGCTTCCTCTGCCAAGACGTACCATTCCTCAAGTCGATGTGGGTCTCCTCGGGGCAGGCAAGCATCATATAGATCATAGTTTAGTCCGTCTTTGAAACGGCCAAGGAGGATGTCTTCTGGCCAATTCAGTTTGCTGGCAATGGCTCGGAATTCTTGTGTATACTCAGCCACTGGGCGTTTGCCCTGCCTCATCGTTGTTATTCTTTCACGGGCTTTGCGATCAGCCAGGGGGTCTTCAAACCGTCTTCTCAACGAGGACATGAAACGGTTGAAGTTACTGAGTTCTGGGGCATTGGAGTCATGCAGGTTCACCACCCAATCTGCAGCTGGTCCATCCAGGGCAGATTGCACGATCCGGATGCGGGCTTTGTCGCTGGGGATGTCCTGCCCATATTCCTCCATGTAGCTGAGGACTTGGGTTAGGAAAAACCCCAAGCGTGTTGGCTCCCCTTTGAATTTCACCTCCAACGGTGGACGTCTTGGAATGGATCGGTGCCTCCATTGTGGGTGGTAGTGTCTTCCGTCCAGATTTCCATCTGTGGTCCGGTAGGGGGTGGGAGCTCCTGGATCAGTAAATGTCCCTGGGGTTGCAGGTTCCACGTCCCCCTCGGTGTCTCTCCCTTTGTGGCTCCAGGAACTGGGGCGGGCGTAGGGCTCAGGAATCTCCTCTCCTAGGGAGCTGAGAGTTCTCTTCATCAGGTCAATAGCTCTCTCTAGGATCCAGTCTGAGTACGGCATACAGCTTCCTCCCTCTTCACTTGCGTGCAGGGATTTCTCCATCTCCTGCTTCCATTCTGGTTGCTTGGTTCCCCGTCTCAGGGTCACTTTTCTTGATTCCTTTCCCCACTCGCTTTTCTTTCCAACGCCCATCGACCAGCGAGGCTTGTGGTCCTGTGTCTCCACCACTTCTTCTTCTGAGAAATCTGGCCTCTCGGATCCCAACATCTGGCAAGGTTCCAACTGGGTCAGCGGCTCTCTTTCCAGGGAGTTTTCTCCCTCTCTTGCTTCGTTGTCTGACATGGTAAATTTTTGCAAAATCCCCCGGCAAGGGTCTACCTTCCAGGTGGATTAATTTTGCAAGTCCTGTCTAATGTAAGGACCCACCCCACTTTGCATCTTAAGAAGACAGAACTCTTGGAATAGCTCTTCCAACAGGAATCCTTTATTAAGAGAAAATGGTTGCAGGCATGCTAGACAGGACTTGGGGTTCAAGCTCTCCCATTCAAGGTTTTAAGGGGTTCCCCAGTAGTCCCACCCAATCAACCCCCCTTCCAGTGATAGTTTCAAGTATCACAATTCCATCCCCTTTCTTCTTCCGTCTGGGTCTGGATGGAGACTTCAGATAACTACATGAAAGGCAATTACTCTTCTTTGATATGTTAAAGCTTAGAGGCCACAATAAACACCCATTCAGTCCTTTGAAGTGTGCTGAAGGAAGTGAGGGCCATAAAGCCCCTTTGCTCTCCCCCTTTTCTCCCTCTTATGGCAGAATCCAGAGAAGGCAGAATTGGGAGTTTCTATGTTTGATAATTAAAGATGAAATATAATTGGATTCTGCCAATAGAATAAAAAAATAAAAGCCAATAGAATAAAAGAGAGTAGCACAGCTAAGGAAAAGAGGGGGGGAAATGGCGGACTGCGTTTGGCGACCCCCGTGAAATGGTCGTTCGACCCCAAATGGGGTCCCGACCCACAGGTTGAGAACCACTGATTTAAAAGCTATTTATTTTAAAGTATTCTGATAAAGAAGAATCTCCTTATGAAAGCGGAGAACTTGGAAAAATGGCTTGCATTTCCTTTTCGAGTTAGCACTACAAGGAACTTCAAAAGTAAAAGTTGACGGGTTTGGGAATAATCATCTGTCCAGTTACATCATAAGAGTTAAAGCATACAATAATACGTGAGCCGTAAAAAAGAGCGCTGTGTTCTGAATAAAAATAATTAAAAAAAAAACATTTGCCAGCGGAAAACGTCAAATAGATTATGAGTAAAATATATTCCCAACGCTTTCCTACGTTTGAATACTTGCTTTGTTCAGGGAGGCTTGGGAACAGCTGAAAACGAAGCTTATCTACAATGTATGGAAGTCCTCATTTCTAAAAGGGAGGCTTTTCTTGAAGGTTAAGGCAAATTATTAGCAATGCATTTGAAAAAAAAAATTAAAAAATACAGCTTTCCAACAGAGGCTGCCTACCTCATGGCAACCTACATGCTATTCTGCAAGCAAGGCTGTAGGGGGCTCTGTTTTATAAGGAGGCTGTGGATCCTTGGCTGGCAGAATGGGAAGTAGGCCTTGGCCTACAAGCTGTAACTGCCTTTCCCCCCCCCCCTTTGCCGGTTGCTTTTGGTAACTGGCTTTAGGCTCACTTGCATGGCTAAGTGGCTGGCTTGGGAGCAGGCTGAGGCCTGGGGAATCTCAAAGAACGGGGGTAGGCTTTGGGAGGTCTTTGGGTGTCTGGTTGAGAAGTAGGCCTCGGCCTAAAGGCTTTAACTGCCTCGAGTACCGGTTGCTTCCACTGACCGGCTTTGGACTCCCTTGCATGGCTTGGGAGCAGGCCTAGGTTTGGGGGAGACCTAGCACAGGCCTGGACCTGCCTGCCCCAGGCAATCCCACCCCTGAGATATCCAGGGGATGGGGGAATACTGGGGCAGGCAGGCAGGCTTGGGCCTCTGCTAGGCCTCCAAGGGCCTTCCTCTATTGGTTCCTTTGCTGGATGGAAATTGCATTGGCATCCATCTTGGTTTTTTTTTTCCCTTCCTTCCAGCAAATTCCTGACTCGCAGATAGGTTTTGGAGTGCTTTTGTCAAAAGATTTCATTTATTTTCAAATGTCTTTCTTTTATCAACAGCTGAGTCCCTCCATCTCTGGTGATAATGGCTTGTTTAATTCCGCAGATGACAAGCAAGAACAGGAGAAGGGAGAGCAAGAGTGCCAACTGGAAGAAACGGTGGAAGTGGATCCCGGGAGGATTTCCTTCGAAGTGGTGGAAGAGAGTTGTACAGTACAAGAGGAGTCTCCGGCAAGCGAGAAGCCCTATAGTTGCTCCAAGTGTGGGGAAAGTTTCGCCGATAAATCATTGCTCCTTGAACACCGAAGATCACATCCGGGAGACAGGCGATACGGATGCTCCATGTGCGAGAAGAGATTCAACAAGAAAGCTTGCCTTCTCGCACATGAGCGATCCCACACAGGAGACAAGCCTTACCAGTGCTCAGATTGTGGCAAGGCCTTCGGGCAGGAATCATCTCTGATTACGCACCAGAGGACCCACACTGGAGAGAAACCCTATGAATGTGTGGAGTGTGGGAAGAGCTACCCCTGGAAAACATCTCTGGCAGTTCACCAGAAGATTCATGCTGGCGAGACGTACTCGTGCCCCGTGTGCGAGAAAACCTTCAATCAGAAATCTTTACTTCGGATACACAAGAGGATCCACACGGCGGAAAAACTGTACAAATGCTCGGACTGTGACCAGAGCTTCACCCTTGAAAAATACCTTAATGCGCACAGGGTGAGGGCTCACACCCGGGAGCGACCTCACGCCTGCTCGCACTGCGACAAAACCTTCATCTTTAAATATTCTCTCATCGAACACGAGCGCATGCACACAGACGAGAGGCCTTATGAATGCTCCGACTGTGGCAAGCGCTACAATGGCAAAGCTGCCCTGGTGGTCCACAAAAACACACACGGCGGGCAGAAATCCTACCTGTGTCCTGAATGTGGCAAGAGTTTCAAAACCAAGTGTGCCTTGACGGGTCACGAGAAAAGCCACAGAGGAGAGAAACCCCACAAATGTTCGCACTGTGACAAAAGCTTCTTCTGGAAACACCGCCTTATTCTGCACGAGAGAGTTCACACAGGGGAGATGCCGTATCAGTGCTCGGAGTGTGGCGAAAGCTTCCGTTACAGAAACAACCTGACCAAGCATAAAAGGAACACGCACGAGAGACCGCGGGTGGTTGGAGAGAGGATCTATCAGTGCTCTATTTGTGGCAAAAGTTTCCGCTGGAGACGGAGTTTCATCTTGCATGAGAGGGCCCATGTGGGAGACAAGCCCTTTAAGTGCACCGAATGTGGGAAAAGCTTCATGAGCCGCGTGTCCCTCATCGTTCACAAGAGGATCCACACTGGAGAGAGGCCCTACAAGTGCCCCGAATGTGGGAAAAGCTTCATTAAGAAGCAGGCTCTCAGTAAGCACAAGACGGTCCATACAGGCGAGAGGCGATATTTGTGTAATGTCTGCGGAAGAAGGTTCTCTAACAAAGGCAATCTGATCAGGCACACCAAGATCCACACGGGAGAGAAGCCCTACAGCTGCCCCATCTGTGGGAAAGGCTTTATACAAAAAGTATGCCTCATTGAACACGAACCGACCCACAGCAAGGAAAAACCCTTCATCTGCTCTGACTGCGGGAAGAAGTTCAAGCGGAAAAGAGGGTTCCTTCTGCACTTGCGAATGCATCGAGGGGAGACCTTGCAAGAGTCCACCAGGAAGAGCGTCAATGGCGGAGATGCCTCCCCGGTGGACGGCAAGACGCCGGCGAAGGAGAGATGCCATCCGTGCCTGGAATGTGGGAAAAGTTTTCACTCAAGGTGTCACCTCATTATGCACCAGAGGACCCACACGGGAGAGAAGCCGTATCAGTGCCCAGAGTGTGGGAAAAGCTTCAGCCAGCAGTCGTCCCTCAACACCCACCAGCGAGTCCACACGGGCGAGAAGCCCTCTCTGTGTACAGAGTGCGGGAAAAGCTTTCACAACAAAAGCAACCTGGCTCGGCACCAGCGAATCCACACGGGGGAAAAGCCCTTTGCCTGCCCAGAGTGTGGGAAGAGCTTCATTCAGAAAGCATCTCTGGAGGCTCACAAGGCCACCCACAGCAAGGAGAACCCCTTCTCCTGCGCCGACTGCGGCAAGACCTTCAAGCTGAAAATGTCGCTCCTCACCCACCAGAGGACTCACACGGGGGAGAAACCCTACGCCTGTTCCCAGTGCGAGAAAAGGTTTATCCGACGCTCTCAGCTGCGCAGGCACGAAAAGGCACACGCAGGTGAGAGATGGATGGGAGCAGAGGTGGACGCAGCTTCACTCTTTATCTGTTGGGGAAGGTAGCTATGGAGAGGTATTTACTAAGTAACTCAAGGCAGCGAGCATAACCTATTGTTCCTCTTATTTTCCCCACAACAACAATCCTGTGAGGTAGGTTGCACTGAGAGAAAGGGACTAGCCCAGTGATGGCGAACCTTTTAGAGACCAAGTGCCCAAATTGCAACCCCAAACTCACTTATTTATCGCCGGGTGCCTGGTGGGCGTAGCCCACTGGGTGGGCATGGCTGTGGCGGTCCTGGCAGACTGGGTGGGTGTGGCCAAGGGGGGCGTGGTCGCCGATGTTGCTCGTGGGGAGGGACACCTATGGGGGCCGGGCAGGGTTGGGGGAGATCCAGGGGGGTCTCTGGCAGGTGGGGTGGTGGGCAGGAGGCTCATCCTGTGAGGTGAGGCAAGGCGAGGCAGAGTGGGGGTGCCACTGTTCCAGGGCAAGAAGAGGTGGACTGGAGCTGCTGCTGCCTGACACCATCGGCCTGCACACACAGAGGCCAGCGAGCGCATGGGGGCCGACAGTGTCCGTCAGCAGCCACAGCTGCTGGCCCCTCGACCAGTGCACTCTGGGGCTCTGCAGCCCGCCGCCAGTTCAGAGAAGCCGCTTCTGAGCTGGATGGCCGGCCAACAGCTGAGGAGGCGATGCAGTGGGTCGTGCCCGGGAAAAGGAGAGCATGCGAGACCAGGAGGGATGGGACGGGGGAGGGAAACCAGCCATGCTGGGATGCATCCGGCCACATGGGACCTCGGCAAGTTAGCGGACAGCTGGTTGAAGAGAGACAGTTGCCATCTCCGGGGCATGGTGCGCGTGCCCACAGAGAGGGCTCTGAGGGCCACCTCTGGCACGCGAGCCATAGGTTTGCCACCACTGGACTAGCCCAAAGTCACCCACCAGCTGGCTTTTATGGTTAAGGCAGGACTAGAACTCACTATCTCCTGGTTTCTAGGCCAGCACCTTCACCACTTCACCAAACCGTTGTAATTACCGATGTAATTTTTTAAAACTTATGTAATAAATGTATGCAGCTGCCCAACTCAGAAAGTGTTGAGACCCCAGGCAGCTTAGCAGAAACTAAAGATAACCCAAGAATTCGAATTAAAAAGCAGACAATTATTTAAGGGCAACCAGGACTCAGGTTTATACCCCCTCCCATTGGAAATTCTACTTATCCTGGTCCCAGTGAGTGAAAGAGGATGTAGAGTCCATTTGAGGCCATCCAGACTGACCTCCTGCTTAGTGCAGGAATCCAGCTAGTTCAGGCAAGGAAAATGAGCTTGTCCTGCTCATTGGCTTGTAAATCCACAGGGAAGGTGAAGAAAACCAAAATGACAAGGTGTGCGCATCAAGACACCGCAACACAAATCCTGCCCCTTTTGTAAAAATGGAGTAATAAAGCAACCACTCTTTAAAATTTTCAACTACTGTACATCTGCCCTAAACGCAACCAAATGTACTTTCTTGAGATGGATTCCTGTCTTCTCTATCCCAGCCTTATTTATAGGTTTCTCCAATCCTAAAAAAATAAAATTCAAAAGCAAAGTACACTTAATGTTGTGGTTCTGGCTAATGAAACATTCCAAAGAACTTCCAGGCATTTATTTTCCTAAAAGTCTTTTATTGTTACAAAATGTCGGCACAGGCGCAACGGAGGGATGCTAGGATCTAAGTTCTCTTCCTCTGAGCAGTTAAATTATCAGCGTGTTCCCTCCCTAAATTAGCCGTCATATCTGACACTATCCAATTAGTGTGAAGGTCAAAGGTTTTCTTCCTCTTTCTTTCCCGGGCTTTACCCCCAACACCCCTTCTGCTCTGTATTAACTCCATAATTACCAGACAATGCTACATATTGTCAAAAGCAAGAATATACAATATTTGCAGGGTCGACCTTAAGGTTACGCACTTCAGCTTTTGAGAGGGCTGTTGTCCCCCCATATAGTCAGCTTCCCAATGGCCCCCACTGTATCCAACCCCTTGGAAAAAGGCTATTGCCTTCCGCGCTAGCTTTTGGAGGCAAGAGTGTTCTTGAGAAACGGATTGTGGGGGGAGGTCAAAAGAGCCGAGGTGGCGCAGCAGTTAGAGTGCAGTACTGCGGGCCACTTTAGCTGACTGTGTTCAGCAGGTCAGCGGTTCAAATCTCACCGGCTCAAGGTTGACTCAGCCTTCCATCTTTCCGGGGTAGGTAAAATGAGGACCCAGATTGTTGGGGGCAATGTAAATATATATATACATTGGTTACTGCTGTACACCGCTTAGAGAGTGCTTGCACTTAAAGCGGTATATAAGTCTCATAAATAAATAAAATAAATAAATAAAACTTTTGGGATAATCTGAGCGAAGGGGGGGGGAGGCTTGGGGGGGGGCATCCGGTCTGAACTTTTATTCCTTACAGAAAATCCGGAGATAGACCCTCTTCAAGAGCTGAAGATCTTCACCGAAGAAGAGCCCGCCACTTCTTTAGGTAATTGGTTTTTACAGTTACAATTTCTCATTCGTGTTCAAAACATTCTCCTTTTACTCATTCCCGCAAGCCTCCCCTTCTGTCGTTGTAGGGCTGGGCAATCTAGTAGTCCAAAAACATTGCCATCTGCGAAGCGATAGCCTTTAAAACACTGGGGTGTGTGTGAGGGGGTGCCTTTAAGGTGTTAATATAAAGCCTCTCACTAAAAAGCAGAGACATCACCCTGCCAACAAAAGTGCATATAGTCCAGGCCATGGTTTTCCCAGTTGCAACGTGTGGCTGTGAAAGTCGGGCCATAAGAAAGGCTGAGTGCCAAAGAATCGAGGCCTTTGAACTATGGTGCTGGAGAAGACTCCTGCGAGTCCCCTGGACTGCAAGGCGATCAAATCGGTCAGTCCTAGAGGAGATCAACCCTTACTGCTCTTTAGAAGGCCAGATCCTGAAGTTGAAACTCAAGTACTTTGGCCACCTGATGAGAAGGAAGGACTCACTGGAGAAGAGCCTGATGCTGGGAAAGATTGAAGGCAATAGAAGAAGGGGACGACAGAATGAGGTGGCTGAATGGAGCCCCTGAAGCAGTAGGCGTGAGCTTAAACGGACTCCAGAAGATGGTAGAGGACAGGAAGGCCTGGAGCAGTGGTTCTCAACCTGTGGGTCGGGACCCCATTTGGGGTCGGACGACCATTTCACGGGGGTCGCCAAACAAGGTTGTCCGCCATTTTTTTCCCCTTTTCTTTGGCCACGCCCCTGGCACCCGGTGATGTATAAGTGGTTGGGGATCACCACAACATGGGGAACTGTATTATGGGGTCGCGGCATTAGAAAGGTTGAGAACCGCTGGCCTGGAGGAACGTTGTCCAGGGGGGTTGCGATGGGTCGGACACGACTTTGCAACTAACAACAAATAAAGCCTCTCATGAATGAAGGCAAATGCATTTGTCCCAGGATAATGTTGCAGGATCCAATGTGACTCAGTAACCAGGACCAGAGGTTTAGTCTTCCAAGCTTTTGGACTCATGCTGGATCCCGTCCTCAGGGAACATATCTCTCTCCTGAATGTGTGCACTGGGCTATTCTGTGCATTGTATTTACGTGGTGCCTGGTTGTGCGGCTTTTAGTTGTCAATTGGGGTGTCGCTGGCCAGCTATTAAGTCCTTGATTGTTGTTACCTTGCGCGGCCGATGCCGTAAAGCTTCTTTTCCTTCCCCAATCTGGCACCTTTCAGATACGTTGGGACTGGAACCCCTTGAATTCCCATTCCAGCAGGAGAGACACAGCCATTGTGTGTGTGGAAAACACTGCCTTCCATGCCGGGAAAAAGAGTCCGTTCAAATCTGTGCCATGCAGGTTGCCTTCCGTGGAAAGTAGCCTGTATTTCTGGGTCTAAAGATGTTTCTTGTGTCCTCGTGAACCGCAGAGCACAATAGCTTGCAAACCTCAGTTATACGAACAGCTGAAGGCTCTAAGTCAGTGTTTCCCAGATTTGGCCACGGAAGCATAAACTCACAGAATTGAATTCTGGGAGTTGAAGTCCACATGTCTTAAAACAGCGAAGTTTGGGAAGCACTGCTCCCGACTTCCGGTTTGCCGCCGCAGCCACTGCGGACATTTGGAAGGCGAGTTCCGTCATCCACGTCCGATTTTCCCATAGCTGGGGGACCCTGGAAAGAGTCGAACGTCGCCATGTAGGGGCAAACAAGCAAGGAGGGGATCCCCGCTTGATTGCAGGAGGGCAGTAGCCCTTCTGCTCGATCTGGGGCAACCCTCCAAACCAGCGGATGAAAGACCAGCCATAGAAATATGGCTCGTCACTAGGCTGCAGACAGCCGAAGTCAAATTTACCACCAGGCACCTGCAAAGCAGCGCGGATGAGTCTGGACGAGATTTGAACCTCTCTTCAATCCTAATTATTTTTTCCACCTATATAAGCTGCCCAAAGTATTTTCCCCCCTGCGGAGAGAGGGAAGGGAAAGTCTACCCCACCCTCTAAAAAACAGCGGCGACTGACTATCCAGGGGAGTTTAAAACGCTGAAAAAATAACTTGATTTTAACTGAGAAGCACTGCTCCCAAGTATTTTAATTATTGCTTTGGGGCTTTTCATCTTTTAACTAATCCATTTCTTCTCTTCCCACCCATCCACCCTGCTGCCCTGAATGTTCAGAACTGCTGGTTGAAACTGCTGAACCTACAGAACTTAGTGAACTTTCTATGGAAGCTATAAGCACTGCTGTGGTAAGAAGCAAACGGGGTGTGTGTTTATGTGTGTGTCAAGACTGCTAACATCGGATGTTCTTGCTTGCCATATATGAAGAAGCAAGCCTGTTTTTTATTTAGCCTGTATAGCATTTTTAGAGTTAAAGCAGATAATACTAGTCTAATGGATGGGAAAATATGCAGCTACCCATAACAATATATCTGAGCACAGCATTGCCAAGATCAGCTATAATGGGAGGGGCACTTCACCCTTCACATTAATTGGAGAATGTGATTGATGATTGCAGAATGAGGGTGTGAATTATGCTTTGCTACGAGGGATTGGGGGAGGGAAGGTTCAGTTTTTGGCTTAACTTTCGTGTGTGCTGAAGCTATGCAGAAATAAAAGGATTCTTTAAGGTAAATAAGCCTCAAAGTTCTTTGAAAAGCTACTTCTTTTCGGAACCATGTCAGTGTGTGTGTTTGGAGGGAGGGAGTAAATCCTCCAGTAAAACACCAAGATCAGTTCAGAGTTCACAGCCAAGCTTGGAAATCACCAACGGCCCCAACCGTTCAACCCTGAAACAGCCCTTATTAAAGGTGATCCTTGTTTGGCGACTGCTTCCTTTAACGACGGTGCAAAGTCATGGTAAAGTTAGACCTTGACTTATGACTATGATGGAGCCTGCCCATCATTCTCATAAGTCGTGACAATTGTAAAATGGTTATGACCTGTTTTGCGATGGTCGTTAAATGAATGCCGCGGTCATTAAGGGAACCAATGGTTCACTATGGGTGTGGTTTTGCCAAAAAATTGAAAGTAAATGTGTTGTAAAACATAAGTCACGTTACTGCAGGACGCACAAACAACTGTAAAGGCGGCCTGGTTGCTGAGTGCCCACCGGTCACATATAACAGGGCAAGGGTGGGGAACCTGGGCTCTTTTATAACTTGTGGACTTCAACTCCCAGAATTCCTCACCCGTGTGCCTGGCTGAGGAATTCTGGGAATTGAAGTCTGCAAGTCATAAAAGGGCCACGTTTGAAGACCCCTGCTCTAAAGCTTATGACTCCTTTGGTTCGTACTGGCTACCAACTTAGTGGCTTCAAAACAAGGGTCGGATCATTTTTTTGGGAAGTCCTGGGGATCAGTGGCTATTAGTCTTGAGGGCTGGGTGGCTGCTTCTCAAGGCCCTCAGACTGGTGGGCTTCCTTGGGGGAACAGACGGCTGAAGATCAGCCAGACTTTTAATTAAAGTGTCTTTGTTTCACGATCAACAGAAATCTTAACTCTCGTTCTTACTCTTTCAGATAAGTGTGGATGGCAACTTATACCTTGTGCAGACTACTGTGTAGAGCTGGATTGTCCATACCGAGACACTAAGTTTGGGTAAGTTCCTTTTTTGATCCCCCAAGACCCCAGTCACCCCGAAGGTGGTTTTTACAGGAGGCAACTGGACTTCCTTCTTTTGCTTAGACCAGGGCTTTTCAACCTTTTCACCCATTGTACCACTTTTAGGATATGGCAACATCCGAGTACCACCAGTTGCCTAGCAAGGTGTCAAAAACTTGATGAACCCCCCCCCCCAAAAAAGGAAAAAAGTGATAAAGTACAGGTAGTCCTCGACTTACAACAGTTTGCTTAATGACTATTCGAAGTTAGAATGGCACTGAAAAAGTGCCCCCCAAGCCACAGCCGAGCAAGACACCTGCCTGCCCACCCAGCGGCGCTCTTCCTCCTGTCCGAGGTTTTCATTGTTGTCAGCATTTCTGTTGGGGATTGGCAGCGGGGGTGGGGTGTGGGGGGTGTTTGGTTTTTATTCCCCCCGTCTGCTGGGTGGTTGCAGCAGGTTTTGGTCACTTCACATGACCCTGGGACACTGTGACCGTCATAAATATGAATCAGTTGCCAAGCCTCTGAATGTAAATCACAAGACCCTGGAGATGCTGCAACATTCCAGCTGATTGGCACTTCTTCTGGGCTCAGCAGAAGCGCCAGGATCAGTGCCTCTTTCTAGCTGATTGGTGCTTCTTCAGGGCTCAGCAGAAGCACCAGGATCAGCGCCGAGGTCCAGCTGGAGCCTGGCATTGATCCTGGTGCTTCCACTGAGCCCTGACAGCCCTGCAGCTCCAGCCGTCTCTCGCTCAGGCTTGTGCGGTGCTGCCACCGGTTCAGCTCATTCCCCTCCCCCACTACCACTTTTCTAGGATGGTCGCTTACCACCTGCCAGGTGCCAATGTACCACAGGTGGTACCCGTACCACTGGTTGAAAAGCCTTGGCTTAGAAGACGTTTCGCTTCTCCTCTAAGAAGCTTCTTCACCTCTGACTGGATGGTGGGGTAGGGAAGGATTTATCCTCCTTGCAGATAGCTGGTCATTTGCCTCCTTTTAGAGAGTCAAGTTGAGGCCATTTGGAGGTTTATCTCTGTCTTCAGACTCACCTGAGTGGTGCAAATGGGTGTGGAGCCTTCTTGGAATTGTTGAAAGGACTGTGTTGTAGACTGGAGATAGATGATGTCGTAGCCCACCCCGCCTCCCCACCCCGGTTGAGAGGACTGTTCAGTTTTGACATAAAGGGCCTCTTTGACTCCTTTTTCAAGCCAGCGGTCCTCTCTGTCCAAAATGTGGACTTTGCTGTCTTCAAAAGAGCGGCCTTAAAAGACAAAGTGCAGATGCCTTGTGAAAAAGATAACTGGATGACTGAGAATCTCCATAGACATTTAGCTGTGAGCCCAATCATTGTTCTCTCAGAGAAATACCAGTGACAGAAACCATTTTTAAAGGAATCACCAAGCACACTCACACCAACCGTGTCAGGGCAAGCCTCTAGTACAGTGGTTCTCAACCTGTGGGTCGGGACCCCATTTGGGGTCGAACGACCATTTCACGGGGGTCGCCAAACAACGCAGTCCGCCCTTTTTTTCCCCCCTTTTCCTTAGCTGTGCTACTCCCTTTTATTCTATTGGCTTTTGAAAGGCAATAGGAATTGTCCAGGCTGTCTCTGCCCTGCTGAGCCCTCCAAAAGTCCCATTCTGCAAAAGGTGCTGCACCAGTTGAGTAGTCCTTGACTTACGACCAGTTGAGTAGTCCTTGACTTACGACCGGTTGGGGGTCGCGGCATTAAAAAGGTTGAGAACCACTGCTCTAGTATAAAACCTGACAGCAGACCCCATTCTGTTACAGCACTGGTGATGTTACTAAATTGGGTGATAAGATGTCTGCGAGGCAACAACCAAGGTCTGAGAGCGCCAAGGAGTCCATTAAAATGATATTTACAAGAATTTACAAGTTTCAACCCACTATATTTCAGCCCATGGCTATTGGATCATTTGAATAGCCAGCATCTTTTAAGAGACATTTCAACTACTTTCAAATTCAAGTTTTCTGTTCATCAGATATTCTGCCTCCATGGCTCAGTTAAGCATGCTGTGTGAAGAGGATTATAGCATAGCCCAGGGGTAGGCAACCTTGGCTCTTTTATAACTGGTGGACTTCAACTCCCAGAATTCCTGAGCCAGCCTGGCTCAGCTTGGAAACCTCTCCCTGTCCCCTCAGCATGGCTGGCTCAGGAATTCTGGGAGTTGAAGTCCACGAGTCATAAAAGAGCCAAGGTGGCCTACCCTTGGCATAGCCAATCCTGATTTTAAATCCTTACAAGCTCTTTTTAAGTAGGTTTCAGCCACCTTTTTCTCTCTCCAGCTGCTACCCAGGTTGTTGTGAAGGTAACAAAGAAGGATACGGCCGGGTATGTCGTTGCTATGGGTTTCTTGAGAACTGATAAATCAGAAAATAAAATGTGATTTTAAATTTCTTTCTAGGAATTACAGTCAAGATAAATCAGGCACAAAACAAAGGCTTTTCAGAATGCTCATCTTCCTGCTATGCACCAACCTCTTGAGTGGTTTTGAATCGTACAGTTAAAAAAATAAAATAAACCAAGTCCTTCAAAGGGACCATACCTAACACTTTCGATCTCCTTTCTCAACTACGGTGCCCTCAAAAGCTTCAGAAACATTTCTCTGAAAACAGCTGACCTAGAAACACGTGGACAAGATTTGGGGCCGAAAGATAAAAAGTTCTTCATCCTAAAGATATATTTATAATTTAGAATATAGCTAGTTGATCTTGGCCATCGCAATTCTTAAGCCTTAATTGCGCTTTCTGTGACTGTGAGGATAAATTATGGGGAGGGCGGGGGGGGCTGCAATCTTGTGCACCTTAGAAAGGCCAAGGTATTTAAATGTAGTATATGTATGTAATATATACATAATGTGCCACCTGCATCCTAAAAAGACAGCAGGGCAGTGGCAGTTTTTGGTGGAAGGTTCCGGAAGTGGGAGGTCACCACCAAGAAGGCCCTGCCTGGTGGAAACAGCTATGAAGGCGGACCTGCTTTCCTGGGTGAGCAGCAGTTCCGAAACAATTCATCAGAAAGCTAACCTATCTGTTTCTATCAGAGGTTTTCCACCTTGGCAACCTTAAGATACGTGGACTTCAACTCCCAGCATGCTGGCTGGGGAATTCTGGGTGGTGAAGTCCAGAGTTTTAAAACTGCCAAGGTTGAAACAATGAAGAGACCCCCCTTGCCCCACCTTCTCCACCCAATTCTTTACAACTGAATGTGGCCGGTTATGCCCCAGAACGGCCTTTCCCATTCTGGTGATCTGCAGATGTGGTAGTTGAAGTCCCAAACATCTGGAGGACAACAGCTGGGGCAAGGTGGCCGGGGGGGGGGTGTCTCCTGGCTCTTTGGACCGACCTGTTTAAATCCTGCTTTGCCTTCCAGTTTTTCATTAATCCCGGGTGCTGCTCTAAATGCTTCTAATTATTTTTGTATCTCAGACAGAGAAATATTTTGGACTGCAGAGTAAATAAAATTACATTCTATACATAGTGGCCAATGTTGTGTTTTTATTGTGTGTGTATACTTGTCACAAGGTGGCTTCCTAGCATTAACTAAATGGAATCGTCCTGAATCGTCTTTCTAATTCAGTGTGATGTGAGTTAGGTTGGGTTTCCAGTCTCATAATCTCTCGCTGGCTGGATTTTTTTTTTTTTTTACAAATTTTATTTATAATACAGTTAAAAACAAACAAACAAACATTGGATTTGACGTGACATTCCAGTATATACATTCTTATCAGATTGTTCCACTTTTTACAATCAATTCTTCATCTCTACATATACATCTAAGTTTTGTATACAATACTTGTTCTAAAATAACATATATTTCTATCTTAACATTCATCTTTAATCCCGACTGTCCTCTTCAAATTCCTCCAGCGGTAAAATTTATCCCAGGTTTCCTAATAAACTGATCCACATTTATCTTTTAATATCATTGTGAGCCTGTCCAGTTCCGCACATGCTAATATTTTATGTATTAACTCTTCCTCTGTGGGAATTTCCTTGCTCTTCCATTTTTGCGCTAAAGCAAGCGTAGCTGCAGTCAGGATGTGTAGCAGCAGGTAGATTGTTCTCTTGTCGTATTTTTCTGTCGTTATTCCCAACAAGAAGAGTTCAGGTTTTAACTCTAAGTCCAGTGTTAATATATCCCTCAACCAGTTTTGTGTCCTGTTCCAATACTCACGGATCTTTGGGCATTCCCACCATATATGGTAGTATGAACCTAATGCTGTTTTACATTTCCAGCATAGGGGTGAAATGTTTGAACCCATTTTGGCTAAAGTTGTTGTTGTTTTTAATTGTGAAGTCGTGTCCGACCCATCGCGACCCCATGGACAACGTTCCTCCAGGTCTTCCTGTCCTCTACCATTTTCTGGAGTCCATTTAAGTTCACACCTACTGCTTCAGGGACTCCATCCAGCCATCTCATTCTCTGTCGTCCCATTCTTCTGATGCCCTCAATCTTTCCCAGCATTAGGCCCTTCTCCAGTGAGTCCTTCCTTCTCATTAGGTGACCAAAGTATTTGAGTTTGAAACTTCAGGATCTGGCCTTCTAAAGAGCAGTCAGGGTTGATCTCTTCTAGGACTGACCTGTTTGAACGCCTTGCAGTCCAGGGGACTCACAGGAGTCTTCTCCAGCACCATAGTTCAAAGGCCTCGATTCTTTGGCGCTCAGCCTTTCTTATGGTCCAACTTTCACAGCCATACATTGCAACTGGGAAAACCATGGCCTGGACTATACGCACTTTAGTTGGCAGGGTGATGTCTCTGCTTTTTAGAATGCTGTCTAGATTTGCCATAGCTTTCCTCCCCAGGAGCAAGCGTCTTTTAATTTCTTGGCTGCAGTCCCCATATAAGGTGATCTTGGAGCCCAGGAAAATAAAATCTGTCACTACCTCCATTTCTTCCCCATCTATTTGCCAGGAATTGAGAGGGCCGGATGCCATGATTTTGGTTTTCTTAATGTTGAGTTTCAAGCCAACTTTTGCACTCTCCTTCTTCACCCGTGGCTAACCTTACGGGTGGGAAATTCACTGGCTGGATTTGAGGGGAGTTGGGAACCAGCAACTCTGCAGCCCCCAGACAGGAAAGCTGTTCTGAAGGTACATTTGATGGTTGCTGGAGATTCTAAAGAGTGCAAATACGCTTATTCCCTAAGGGGCCTGAAACAAAATTAAGTGTCACCAAGAGCTAGGGAAGAAGAATGGACCCACTGAGAGCCCTAGAAATAGTTTATAAGTTACTGGGTGAAAATTGTCCCTGAGTTAGAAGAAGCACAGCAGTGGGCTCTAATATTTTTATCTGTGGGCAAAATCCAATCTTCTCATTACGTTGAGAGTCTGTACGTCCAAAGAGTGTGAGGACAAAGCATGGACAATGATAGAGAGGTTTTCCTGCCATTCTGAGGTGGACAATAACTGAAAGTTATGTTGAAAGAAAAATCTTCATCAGAGTCCAGTCCAAGCTGGGAATAAACAAGATGGAGACTTCTTTACAAAGAAGGTTGCAGTTTATTGAAGAGGAGAGCCAGACAGAAAGATGGCTGTGGGAAAAACTGACCACATGTAGTAGGGAGTGGTGGGTTTTTATACCTTCTTGAGCTTTTGTTTGGACTTGTTCCTGTGGCATGAACTTTGACCTGAGTCTGAGTGTGCCTTTCTGGTTTTCTGATAGTGGTGGGTTAATCCTATTATATCCCAAAGGTCATATCCTGCTTCCCTGGGGCTGTGGCTGATGACTGTTGGTGTGAGGGATTGTTGATTCTAGGGATCTTTATCTTTCTAATCCCAGCTTCTTGGCTCCAGTCTTTCTGACAAGATTATCATATCTGCATTTCTGCGGACCTGGTTTCCGTTTGGGGCAGAGAGACTTGGGGGGGGGGGGACTGGCTGGGTGAGGAATTCTGGGAGTTGAAGTCCACAAGTCTTAAAAGTTGCCAAGTTGGAAGACCCCTGCACTAAACCAAAGATTGGGGGTGGGTGACATGGTGCTCTCCTCATTCATCTCCGTTCTGCAGAGTCCAGTCAGTGGGGATTGGGAAAGAGAGATCTCTTTCCCAGCCCCTCCTGTGGGAGGTGCCTTGAGGAGCCAGTGCCTTTTGCTCCTATTCAGCATCTAAATGAGGCTGCTGAGGTGAGTTCGCTCATGTGAATGCTCCTACACTAGAGGTTTTTAAGAAGAGACTGGACAGCCATTTGTCTGAAATATAGGGTTTCCTGCCTGAGCAGGGGGTTGGACTAGATGACCTCCAAGGTCCCTCCCAACTCTGATTCTATTCTGTTCTGTTCTAGTCTTCTAAGAGGTAATATACAGATAGTTCCATATTCTATTTTTCTAAGAGGTATTATACAGGTAGTTCTATTCTGTTTTTCTTCTAAGAGGTATACAGGTAGTTCCATATTCTATTCTAAGACAGTGGTTCTCAACCTGGGGGTCAGGACCCCATTTGGGTTCGAACGACCATTTCACGGGGGTCGCCAAACAACGCAGTCCGCCATTTTTTTCCCCTTTTCCTTAGCTGTGCTACTCCCTTTTATTCTATTGGTTTTGAAAGCCAATAGAATAGACTCTGTTGAATAGTCTAATTCTATTGGCTTTCAAAAGCCAATAGGAATTGTCCAGGCTGTCTCTGCCCTGCTGAGCCTGCCAAAAGTCCCATTCTGCAAACGGTGTTGCACCAGTTGAGTAGTCCTTGACTTACGACTGGTTGAGTAGTCCTCGACTTACGACTGGTTGGGGGTCGCGGCATTAAGGTTGAGAACCACTAAGAGGTATTATACAGGTAGTTCTATATTCTATTCTATTCTATTTTTCTTCTAAGAGGTATACAGGTAGTTCCATATTCTATTCTTCTAAGACAGTGTTTCCCAAACTTGACAATTTTAAGGCATGTGGACTTCAACTCCCAGAATTCCACAGCCAGCAACGCTGGCTGTGGAATTCTGGGAGTTGAAGTCCTCATGCCTTAAAATTGTCAAGTTTGGGAAACACTGTTCTAAGAGGTATTATACAGGTAGTTCTATATTCTATTCTAAAAAGTATACAGGTAGTTCTATTCTATTCCTATTCTATTCTATTCATTGCCAGGGGGTGAGGAATCATGCGGATGACACCTATACATCTCTACTCCTAAGGAATTAAGCCACTAATTCTGGGCTTTATTCACTAGGGGTAGAGATGTACGCCCTGGTGAATTAAGAAGTACATCTCTACCCCTTAGTTCACTAGGGCCACTTCAACTCCCAGAATACCCTGAAGACTTCTGGGAGTTTAAAGTCCTCAAGTCTTAAAATTGCCAAGGTGGGAGACCCCTGAATTAAGCAATGCTATGACTGTTTTATCCCAAACCTGGAAGCTATGAGAGTCTGGATGGGGCACAACATACCACAGCTGAGTCTTGACGAATGGGTTTTGAGTTTTGAAGCCCACAATTCTAGAGACTATTGCACCATCCGTGGCGGGTGGGATTTTCCCGGATTGCAGGCTGACTCTCTCTACTTCCCAACAGCCCCAGGAATTAAATCGGCTCGTGCAAAGAAATCGCACTAACAGCAATTCCCGTGACAAAGAATCAGCCATCTCCAGGAGAAACGAGCTTGGACAGATTGGTTCTCCATAACTGAAGATACAAAGGATGGCAATGTTGGACCACGAAAACTCAAAAGAGTCCATCCCATAATTACGCAGCCTCTTACTGACAAGCCAATATTCCCATTCTCCTTGTTCTCTTCTTTGACCCCGTGGTCTGACCGTCCTGTTTCAACCTCCACTGGAGACCCAGCAACAGCTTTCATCTTTCCCTCTCCAGGTGACCCCGGTGGCCCCTGGAATAATAATAATGATGATGATGATGTTGGAAGGGACCTTGGAGGTCATCAAGTCCAACCCCGTGCTCAGGCAGGTAACCCTATACCAGGGGTAGGCAACCTCGGCTCTTTTTTTTTTTTAATTTTATTATTTTATTTTCATTACAATCATAAGAAAAAAAATTCAGATACCTAAGAAGTTAAAATACAACACACAAATTCCGACATTGCTCACCCATTTCCCCCCAGACCGCGTCCTCCTCTCATCTCTTCACTTCCCCCTTCCTTCTACCTCCTCCTCCCCTCCCTCTCTCCTCCATCTTTCTACTTACTTATCCCCCTCCTCTTCTTCTCAATCGGATGCGGTCTGGGGGAAAATGCCTGAGCAATCCTCTATCACCAAAATCTGAACTATTGAACATACTACCCATACTCTCCCCTCCCCCCTCCCCCCACCCCCTTTCCCCCCCCCCCGACTTCCCAGAGCTCAGTACAGGGTTACACAAAAAAAAAGAAGAAAAAAAAAACTAAACATAGTCAACTTAAATTTACTACTTATACAATAACCAAAATCATAATAACCCTTAACTCTCTGCAAACTTCAATTCATAATTTAATAAAAATCCATTATTCATAAAATAAATGAAACTTTGTTGTTCCATACTTCTTTTGAATCTATTC